TTACATATTGGAAATAATCGTACTGTATAATTAATATGAGATTATATGTCTAGCTCGTTTTGTTTACATTCAAACGGAAAGTATATGCACTGATCTTTATTATATTCGATTTTCAATAGGTAAACAATGGAGGTTCTATACGACGGTGTTATGTGATTAATTGGGGTTTTCTTCTGGCCGAGGGCCGGTCTGTTCTCAGATTGACTTCCTGTAAAATATACAGGGAAGAACTGAATACAAGAAGAGTTGTCATTGGTCATTTTAAAATTACAAAATGAAATCTGGTAGCATCATTTTCCATTCTAAAATAAAATGTAAAGGATGTTTCTTGTTATTCTCATATAGTTCTTAACTAAAATGTAAATGATAGTTCTTGGTATTATGAAATAAAATGTAATGGAAAGTCCTAAAATAAAATGTACAAGATAATTCTTTTAACTTTCTAGTTAAATTGTTCAGATATTTAAGTTATGTTTAACAATACTTCTTGTATTCAGATCTGAGGCATTACATTTTCTAGTGAACAGCTTATGTTACGTTAGAACTTACTGAGTTTATTTTACACAAGATCTGAGTTTTAAAATTTTGTCCAGAATAACGAGAATAATATCAGCACTTATCAGGTACCCTTAGTTTATGATGTTCATTAAGTGTCTGATATATTACATGATTTTTGATGTTTTCAATTGATATAATATATATATATTTATATATATATTTTTTCTTATTAATCAAGTATTTTTAAATATAATTGCCTCATCAAAAGTATCTAAAATTGTCCTTTCTGTTAAAAAAGAAAGTTCTTGGTAATTAATTCTTATTTCCATGTAGATCATAGTCTCTGGCAAGCGAATCTTGAAGCATTTCCTTTTATTTAATTTCCAAATAATTTGTTATCTAAACATAACTTCCAGGATATGGACTTGAACATTATGATAAAATATACGCTGGGTTCGAATCCCGAGAAAGACTGATTCTTTCTTGATCGCTCATATCTAAGTGATGCAGGGTTGAGTGTTCATTTAGCTGGTTTGATACCTTATAATTTAAAGATGTTAATGATAGCAGTGTAACCCAACCTTATCCGCATCAGCAACAGTAAAACAAAACATCAAAATTAATATGTCAATTTGACAAAGTACATTCACCAAAAATCATACTTATCTGCTTTAACTTTTTCTGATTCTGATTAAATTCTAAGAGTCTAACAAATTTTAATTACAGGGAGCACCGGTTGTATGCGAAAAATATGATTCATGTGAAGACTATGAATCATGCGTTTCAGAACAGGAATATTCAACTGTGGTAAGTTTTAGAAGAAAATTAAATTTACTTATAGCAAAAGATTTTTCAACCCTTTGAAATTACCTCCTACATAAATACAAAGATTCAGGCGATTTATTCAAATTTTGAATGCTTCAACATAGCCCACTTTAGATACTATACCTTTCAATAACTGGACACTTGCCAACCGATGTGCAATTTACTATTGTAACGATGACCTGCAAGATGTTTTGTCAGCGTAGAAAAGAGGAAAAGGTCACAGGATACCAAAATAGAGACATTAAGAATCCCCAAAAAAGTCTAAAACGGCAGGAAGCATATTTCTGTAGGAGGAGATAATTTCCAAGGGTTGAAACAGATATTGTAAAACAGTTCCTTTTGTTAAATTTCCTGACCATATTGCTTTACATATTGATCCAGTTCCTGTGATCTACTTATGCATCAAGTCTGGAACCAGTTTTATCGGGTTTTCTTTGTAGATGAAATTAGGAATATTGCAGGATCGGTTTGATTGAGCCTATTTATTAATGGACAGTTGTGCCAAGTGCATATCACGGTCCTCGCCCCCAAGCACCGGCCCAAGCAAAATTCAACATTAAATATGAAATGGCAAGATTTTGAATTTAGAAACATTAGAAGTCAAGCAAATACTATGGATATTTAAGGGCTGTCACTCTTTATTCTTGAAAACAAACAATTGCTGTAAGAGTAATTCCAGTAGTAGGAGCGTTGCCATGCAAAAAATATATTACGCCTTTTATATCAGTGGAGACGCTAATTTCATCGAAATGTTTTTTTCTTGATTTTTCTTATCACGAAATTTTTTTGACCAAAATCTTTTTTTTTCACTTGCGAACTAACGTTATATATTGAAACCAGATTTCATAACAAGTCAGTGTATAAGAAAAACGGCAACTGTCATATTCAGGAAACATTTTCAGTAGTTTTCTATTCCATTTATCTCGCTCCTTCTGATTAGTTAGATTGTTAGAAAATTAGGTATCCATCTTGCAGTTATTCGCCCAACTTCTTTAGGAATCGAATAAGTTGACTCTTTTGATATCTCTGCGATATTGACCATCTGGGTAAATGAAAGTCCGTCATCTTTGTCAATGATTAGTTTGACAGTATGATTTTTTGTGAATAATTATGGTGCGTTTTCTACGAGAGTTTTCTACGAGGCATATTTTATTGACTCGTGCCTATTTTTCTATTCTATGCAACAATCTCACAACAGTTGCATATTACGATACTTATATGTTGCCATAGATACTCTAAATATCATTCAAATATTTATAGCAAAGTTTTGCTCGAGCTTTATTATTAAAAAAGGTAATAAAAATGCCCATTTATTAGTACTGTTACATAACTCTTTACCAGCTGTATTGTACATGAGATTACTTGAATGTTTTAGGTTTTTTTTTAATGTAAATGGAATTCTTATTCGAGTGTGGTATCATTTGAAAGCGGATGCTTTGATGCATAGTATAGATTACACAAACAAAATAATTATAAGTTAATTAAGAAAATGTGCTGTATATTTCATTACCTATTGACACCCTTCGTAGACTTAAAATGAAATTTAAAAAAGAGAATATTTACAGAAACAACAATGCAAAGGTAAAGTCATACTTAGAAGTCGAAGTTTAAAATGTTAAAATGGTCTCTTATTGGATTTGTTCTGTGTCGCTTTTTCACTTACAATATACATAAGTTAATGCTACTTTCCTCTTAAAGGGAGACACAGGCAAAATTTTCATCTCTTCGTTTTAAATTTTTCATTCATTACTTGTTAATGTCCTCAAAAAGAATACACTAGGCAGTCACATGAACAAAACATTTCTCCGAATAAAGAATAAAATGGTGTTTTTCTAACTTGACCCACGTGGGTCAGGTTAGAGCGTTCAGATTTCACAATAGTTGTCAAAGTAAACTCTGGAAATGTTAAAGAACATGTCAAATGAATGGCTTAGACTTGTTTCAATCATACAATATCCAAAACATATGTTATTGTAACTTCCATGGTTTGTTCAAGTCACATGACTTGTTTTAAAACTACTCGGTGATTATGTTGGCGTCTACATTTCGTTCAACATATAGAGATACATTTACACTTCAAACCCAAAATATATAGAATTTATACAGAACATTCATTCTTGGACTTTAAAAATGTCACTTTATCGTGATTTGAGTACATAAGATCATTTTAATATTTTTGTCATTAATTTGCCTGAATATCCTATTAATTACTTGATAGTTTTTGAAACACAACCACGTCCCCTCAAACCTTTACAGAATCCCAAAACAAAAAAGAGTACTATTGGAAGAATTGCAGTGACAAACATTTATACTGAATTGAATTGCTTCCGACCATGATTTTGATTGATTTCTTATAATTAAATAAAATCCTCTTAATTACAAAGTAGAAGCATGATATGTGATAATGGATTGGCAGCGGAACGGAGGGTATGTTTAAGAAATAAATTTCAAATTGCTTATACGAACAAAAAAAATTGTACAGCATATTGGTCGTAATACGATTTTTTTATCTGTTTTCATTTACCTTCAAACAATCAGCTGCTGATATGACATAAATATAATTCATATAATTAAATTTGGTTGTTCGCACCGTATCTTGCTTATATTTTGAAGTGTTATGCTTAGTGGTAAGGGAATTTTTGTCGAACCCGCTTGCGTTGAGCTAGACATAGTTGTCAGAATGGCTATTCAATGTTTGTGTGAACGTGCCTGCATTAAAACTTGTCCATGCCATAACTTCTTTGTGCATTTAGGAATTTTCAAAAAGCATGAATTGAGTTTCTTATGCACAAATGTCCATCATGAGACTTTGTGTCATGCACATGAACTAGGTCAACGAGTCATTAGTCAAAGTCACAAGGTCATGCAATGTTCAAATTTTGCCTTGGTTATGGGGTTGTGTTGCGCACATCACACATTTTTCTTCTTGATCTGAGGCTTATATGTTTGGGATTGAATTAAGACAAGCAAGATCGAAATTCTGCCCGTGGGCATGTCGTGTTAGTCATTTAACTCTCCTGAGTACAAAATGCTCAGGCTAGCTTTTGTGATTGCAATGTGTCTATTGTTTGCTGTACCTTTTAAACAATGTTTATTATTTACAAAACATCCATTGTAAACCAATTAACTGATATTGACAACATTTTACAGGAATGATACTAAGGAAGATGTCTACAAAAGTAATATAAATGGTTCTAGGTTGATGCACAGGAAACTAAACATAAATTTAAAAATGATATATTTACAATGCCTCTTCTCACAAACTATCATTCCAAGGGCTTAGATATATTTGTTATGTAGAATCGCATTGTGGTCCTCTACAAAATTGTTATTAAATATGCATCTTAGGTAAAAAAATCCCAACCCTAGAGAGTTTACATAGCTTTATATGGGAAAATACATTTAGGGCTTCTTTTATAAACAGTTTCTGCAAATCTCTGAGCTCTAATTTTAGCATTAGGCACTGCCAATCACACCTTACAAAAGATGTTTACTTCATGCTCCTGAGGTCAAAAATGGCCAAGGCCCGGGTTTCACTTAAGTTATATAAGGTTAACACATTTAACTCTTATATTTGGAATTTACAACGCCAAGAGCTAAGATATTTGGCGAGTTTTAACCTAGTGTGCATCTACAAGCTGTATATTTCATAACCCTGGGGTCAAAAATGACTCTACATTTAAATTGGGTCATTTAATGCATAGTCTTATATAGATTTTTTATCTTTATTCTCTAAAATATACAATGCCTAGAGCTTAGATATCTTTGATCATGCCTTAATTTGTCGTCCTCTTCGACAGTTATATAGACCATGCCTTTGAGGTCAAAACTTGTCAACCTTGGAATCACATAGTATATTTAGACTTGTATATTAGGAAAATACATTAAAATATTAACAAAAAGAAAAAACGTCTCAGACGGCAATTTTAAAAATGTTCAAGGCTTCTTTGATTAAGCCTATTCAGGTTAATTGCAAGTTACCGTCCATGCCCGCTAGCCCCGAATTAAGTAGAATGAAGCATCCACAAATATGTTCAAACGGCGATTATCATGGAACTTTCAATGAGACATGATTTGTATCATTCTATGAAAAGCGGCTTATGGTCCCTAATGAAAAATGTTTGTTTCCTAAACGAGAAGTAAATGGACAGAAATATACAAAATGGAGGTTTAAAGGGTAACAACGGTTATGAAAGTTGTAAATCACAGAAAAGACGTCAAAAGACAATTTTAAAAACAAGGAAACATATCCTGAGGCAGATTCAAAGTACTCTAGTAGCTATATTGGAACCAGCCATCCAGAAATGAGATCAAATAAAGACAATACACGTAAACGCACCACAAACATGCACACATAACAATATCTCGACGAACGATCTTCCTTTAAAACAACTACAATGCCAATAGCTTTGATATTCGGCATCTAGCATTATTTTGTGGTCCTCTGCAAATGTTGTATAAATCTTGCCCTGTGATCAAAATTGAACCCACAACAAGGGTTACTTGATTGTCCTGGTCATTTTGGTACAAAAGAGGACTATAGAAATGGGCACAGTCTGTCAGTCTCTATGTCCGCTCCTCCACGCAGGGATAGGCGACCATCGAACTGGAACCAGAAACATAAAAAAATTGATTTTTAACATAAGAATTACCGTATTTTATTTTAAAAAAACAGAAGGAATTTCTCTTTTATCTCAATTCGTTGTTAAAGATCAACATTTCCGAATGAAGTCCAGGTCCATACCTTAAACTTTGAAATAAGTATGCGCTTCATGTAAAACTTTCCGTAGGCGAGGACATTTGTCTCTGTTTATAATTCTTTTTCAGTAAAGACATTTCAACATAATTATCACTACAGATGTGTACATTATCATTGTGAAGAATAATATTGTCTTTTATATATAGATGAGTTAATATAGCGTTTATCTTATCTTAATTCTTAGTGTTTGTGTTCATTATTTTACCAGTTAAAATATACTGCTAGTTTCTTTGTGTAATTGACACGTTTATCCAACTTGGTACAGACATCATCTAATTTCAAAGGACAACTGTTATTCTTAATTTCATACCTGTAGTTGATATAATTATGATAAATATAAAATTGTCGAATCAAAATATTTTATCTTTTACATTTGTAAATATTTAAAAAAAACAACTTTGTTATTTGAATGCAGTCTTCGATTGTCAAGGACATTCTTAAAAAGTTGAAAAGTTAGTGTGCCTCCAAGTGTTCTGATCTCATTTCCAGAGAATAATAAGGCTACAGAATCTATTCAATGTTTTCTGATTGTTTACTAATAGAATAATTATAGGTTTGTATTATGTATTACAGTCACTGATTTAAGTTGACTTTGATTTATTTCTTATGATTTAATCAATATTCCTTTTAATTACAGTATTGTTCAGGAAACAACAATGGGTTTGATGCTATATGTGAAGCAAAGGTTTCAACTAATGTAAGTGTTATAAAGTAATTTCAAATAACTTATATTTGTAAAGTTTAATAACTTGAAAAGCATCTAAATGCTAGGAGATTAAACGACAGCAATATGAAGAAACAATTCACAGACATCGACCTGCACTTGTGTGATAATTTTAACTTGCAAAGTATATTTGGAAATTAACATCTCGAAATAAAACGTAAAATATAAACTATAAAGAATTTTTTGTAAAGAAAGATAATATTACGTTTCAACATAATTATCACTATGGAAGAATACATCATCATTGTGAAAAATAATATTGTCTATAAATATAGATGAGCATAATATAGATGAGCTAATAAAGCTTCTATCTTATATTAATTCTTAGTGTTTGTGTTCTTTATTTTTTAAATTAAAATATACTGCTTGTTTCTGTGTGTGATTGACATATTTTTCTAACTTGACACAAACATCTTCCAATTTCTATTTTTATGATTGATATATGACAAATATAAAAATTTCGAATCAAAATATATTTTATCTTCAACATTTGTATATATTTAAGAAATTATTTGCTCATGCTGATCCTCCAGCTCTAAAAACAAAAAGTAAGAAAAAAGCCAGGTTATTTGGATGTGGTCTTCCATTGCCAAAGATATTCTCAAAAAGCTTGAAAAGCAAGGGTGCATCCAAGTGTTCTGATCTTACTCCTAGACCAGGTGAGATTTTCTTTTCATATGAATATTCGTAAAAGGTATGAAATCAGTTTATTTGTAGAAATGAAATGAGATTAAAGTGGTAAATTATTGTGTTAAATGTGGTGACGCCACTTTACTATGCTAACTATACTAGTAAGTTGTATTATCATCAATGTAACAACCATGCAGTCTGACTAAAATAGGCTCCATCAACATTTCAGTTTTGATGTTTGGACTTTATGTTATTTTATTTGGTTTCATTTCACCTTTTCACTGCGGGTCATTCAGCTTTAGGTTTTTGGATATTGAGACCCTTTAATCCTTGCTATTTTATTATCTGTTATGGACAGGGCTAATGTTCAATTTTGGACAAAACCATTTATCACTTTAAGATAAAATTCAAAATAATTTTAACTGAATAATGAATAGTGCAGACCATACTCAGCACGCACAAAAGTACCGAATGATCATGGTCTGCATTGGGCTGTTAGGTAAATTTAGTTTCCGTCAGAAGGTTTAAGGTTTGTATTTCAGTTGCCTGTGCCATATTCCAAACATGGTCAGTCAATAGAATACAAATTCAGCTTAATAAAGTTTTAAAGAAATTGATCATTCAAATCCAGTATTTCTTTTTTTTTATTTTTTTATTTTCTCATCATGTTTACAATGTTTTTGATATTTGTTGGGACTGAAATTACATTGAATGTTCTGTCTCTTTTCTCTTGTTTGACAGTTATGTTGCTCCAAATGTAAATGCCCCTGTACCTGAATGTTAAAAGTTTTACTTCTTTAAATTATATAAATATTGAAAAGAGTTTGTCGTACTTAAATTGTAATGTTTACTGTGATACAAGTATATGTATAAGTAGAGAGTACAATATAATTAATGGGAAAACTTACGGTATCCACAAACTTGATATCTGTTTCCTAAACCTAGAAGATTTCGCAGATTGAAGTTACATGTATATGCTATACCAAGCAATATGGTTATTCAAAAGCTTTCTTTTATAGAACACTATATTTTCGTTATTTTTTTTATTTTTGTTAAATAAATAATATTTTTAAAGATGTCATCAAAACGTTATACACATTTTTTGATATTCTGCATTTTGGCAATTTCTAATAGTATTGAAATTGATAAGCTAGTTGTCTTGTTAACAACCAGGTGTAGATCTAAATTCTGAGAGGAGGAACCTTTGTTAGCTTACTGGCATCAGGTTTATGGTGTTAATGTTAATAGTGTTTACAAAACAAAACATGTGGCCAGTTATTTGGCTGTGGTAACTCTCTTTAAATCAAGTTACCCTCAAGTTACCCTCACCGCTCGGGGTTCAAATCTTGTCAAGGACTGTAGATTGTTTCACTTGAAGAAAGTATCTATCAACCTTGCTTATGGCAGGTCATTGGTTTTACTCAGGTAATTGCTTCAGACTGAGATTTTGCATGGAGTTAACACCTGAACTCTCCTTTAACCTTTTACGTAGGGATATTACTGAATGATATAAACATTGTCTTAGTAATTTAATACCCAACTGAATAACAAAACAGAACAAGACAAAGAATTGCAGGTTAAAATATAATTATACAAATATTTGAATATGAATATATATGAAGCATAGAATTATGTTTTACAGATGAAGCTAATACAATGTAATAAGATAGACAATGCAAATCTTAAAATAAAGTTGTATGACGGTGAAACCAATCGCACAGAAGAAAAGTAATTTTATTTTATGACAGTTTCTCAAAAAATAGCATAATGCCGTAAATCTATATGTGGAACCCTTTTTCTTATTAACTATTTAAGATATTTTTGCTGAACTGCATAAATGTTGTCACAGTTATTTTCAACTTACCACTAAGATTGTTACCTGTCAATCTGATAAAATGTTAGTTTGTTTGAATCTGAAATGACATCATAATCTACAGGTGAAACAGTTGTGGTGTAATGACCATTCATTAATTTAGGATGAACAGCAAAGATATCCTTGGTTTACAAATAAAAATAACTACAAGAGGTCACTTTAAAATGAATGTAACTGTAATATTATATATTATATTAGATATATATCAATAAAAATGGTTAGATCTTTTATTAACCAGGGTTTATTTTTGAAAATCCTGGTTACTAAATTAAAAAAAAAACGGCTGGCGTTCTGGCGGAAGTTAAAGTGCATTCCGGTATGAATCAGATATTGTTATCAAACTTGTTATACATAAGGCTTATGTAATAAGCTCGCTTTAAATTGCTATGTGGTCTGTCTATATGGCCACTGTAAAGGCGACTGTTCAAGTATCTATTCTGTGATTATGGGATTTTCCCCCAGGTTAGTTAAGAAACCATTTAAAGCTACGAAAAAACTTTTGTTATGTTTTCTTTTGTTGTTTCATTTTGCGCTAGAAATTGGTATAAATGACTAAATTATGGTATAACGATAATTCTGTATTTAGTCTTAAATCAACACATACCATGCATAATTTAATTCTCTGTAAGTTTTATATTGATTACTTATAATACAAAGTAAAGCTTTAGGGAATAAAGCATGTGTTTTTTTTACCTTTTTGTGGCTATTAATGGATTCGATTCGATTAATAGTTTGACAGTAATGTTAAAAGAAATCTTTTTGAGTAATTCCAATTAGACCTTGACTTTTTTTGATATTCACCTTATTAAGCATATTTGTAAGACAAACACTGAGAGTATGAACCCACTTGTAGTTGCTATTGTTAAGAACTTGGTTTCATAGCATTGCCATGTTTCTTCTTAATATATAAAATATGATAATATATGTAAAACTCACAAATGGCATTGTCGAGATAATCTTTAAAGTACATTCTGTCTGATATGTAAGATTTCTATGAAAATATTATTTGTTTTTTCTCTTTGTGTCATTACATTAACTAAACTAATACACCAAAATGATGGTTTTCTTCATAATCCTTGGAGGCTTCAATCATGTGGTTTGTATCATACAGAGGGGGATATCAATCCAATAGACTTGCTTATTCAAATACGTTTTGGTTCATCATAAGAGTGTCGTGCTAGGGGAAATACTTGAGTCACTAGATCACATTGTGCAAAGCAAAATTCCTCCCAGATATTAAATTTCATGGTCATTTCTTACTCACTTCTTATTCATAAATCATGTACGATAAATGGTCAATCACTTGCAGGGACATTTGTAATTACTAGTTAGATATCTAGGAAAACCGGTAAGCTGGGCCAATGGCTGATATATGAACAATAAATGTAATAAAATTGGCATAAAGACAGACAAACAAACGAAAGATTTGTAAAGGAAACATAATCATAAAAACATCATTGTCTCATAGCTGATATTAATTGATTCAATCACTTATCAGTTCATGTCTCTCAATTTTGAATTATAAGTTAGTATCACATTAGGAGTTGGAGATCTTACTGGCATCTATTTATTTTAACAGGTGATCATATGATATCAGTGATTGGTTTACAACAGTTACACGGACAGTGGAATGTGTCAGATCAGCTGTTACAACTACTGAGTGTAACGAAAGAAGATGTGGTGGACAAATTAACATTTTCTAAGGTAATATTATTGGTTAGTTTAACTGCTAAGTAATACATATTACAAGAATATGATCTCCTCCTTAACATATGTGATAGAACTTCGTCGTGCTGATGTGTTATTGTAAACTAAATTTTGTTTTAAATATGTATATCCATTGCTGTAATTAAATAAATTTATTTAGTCTAAATATATTATTTAGTCTAAAAATGGTATGTTAATTGTTAAACGTTTTAGGGACATCCGTGGCCAAGTGGTTAGGGTTTTTGCCTTCAAATCAGTTACACCCATTACCACTGAGGGTTTGCGTCCCGTCAGGGACTTGGTATTTTTATCATGTGAGGAATCTATGCAGCTAGAATACGGGATGTGTATGGTGGTTCTACTAAGGTGTATGTTCATACTTGGGGTACCTGAGGTCTTCTTGCACCAGTGCAACTGAAAAGTTTCCATGCAACTTTGACAGTATTAGTGAAACATAAAACCGAACAAAAAATGAAATGTGGACATTGTAATGACTTGTATAAAGAGACATTATATTCACAACAATTTAAGATTTAAATCACAAGAACACGAATGAGTAGAGATGTTTATGTTATCTCGATAGCATTCTAAAATTTGCAAATTAGTTTTTAACAATCATCAAATCAAAGATAGACCATCAGTATTGCAGTTTAAATAGCAAACATCAGATGTTTTTCAGAAATTATGACCCATGGAAATTGTTGATTCTCGATGTTTATGATTATGCTTTTAAGTACTTCTGATGAATTTTGTTAAGTTTGTAACGAATTGTTAAAACTTGTATTTCATTAATTTTGAACTATCTGTGTCTAGGATTCTAGTGTTGTTTGTACAGTGTTGGTTCTTGCTTGGTTACGTAAACAGTTTTCACATAGACAAGAGGAGTGGCAGATGATAGAAGCAAAAGCACTTGTCTGGATATCTACTCAAAGTCCAAGCTTTACAACAGAGGAACACATTAAACATACTACAGAAATGATGTGGGCCAAGTAATATTGTTCATACATGTAAATATAGTCATATGTATAGAGAACTTACTATGAGTTGTTATTTCAAATCAACCCTTATGAAAAAAGAACATGTACAACGCAAGCGTCTTGCAAGCTTAACGTTTGATTAATATGTATGAAATATGTGTCTTATTATCTAGAATGCCAGAATACACGTGAAAAATATATAAAGGGATGAAAATGCATTTTTCATTATTTGTTACTGTATACATCGCATGAATAATGTCATCTGAATTTATTTGCACCTTTAATATGATTATTTATAGCATTTTATAAAACGTTATATTATTATACTTCTGTAAGATATGTTTGAAGGGAAACGTTTTATTATAATTATGTATGTATTTTGTTACGTCTATAAAGGGGGAGAATTCTATTTTTCCACCCGTTTGCTGGGTTAGCGTCTTGTTTTCTACAGCTATGCAACGTAATATGTAATTTAATGTAGACAATTTTACCATGCAACTTTGCATTTAGTTCATTTTCCATGTGATACTAAGATATTTTCAAAACCATGTGCGAAATCGACTTTTTATCTGTGATATATGTCTAAATCAATTGAAAAAGTGACATATCATGTGCACACCGTGCATTTTCTCATAAAATCATATTTTGTAATTGATTCTTAAGTTACTTATTTCATTGATATAATATTACGTGATTTATTTTAGTATCTTACAAGAATAGCAATCTGTTAGAAAAAAAATAACTTAGTTAGATATTATTGATTGTGATTAATTGTGTGCTTTTTGGCTGTTTTGCCTTAACCATGAAATTTGTAAAATTTGTAAAATGTGAATATTTTAGGATCCTGTCATTTAAAGGTTGGAGATTATTTGATTTTGATTGATGGATGAAACATTTTTATATCTTGTATCTATGAATTTTTCTTCATATATGCAATGAGCCTATTTTTATGTCAATCTTATGCTAGAAAGTCTTTCATGTAAATATTTCTAATGTATTTTTATGTTAATTGAGCTAATCCTAATAATTATTTTACAAGAATATATGTATGTAATAAACAAAGCAATATCATGTTAATCTTAAACATTCATTGCACATTTTGCATGTGGCATCAGAAGGGTGTATGTATGAAGATTTTTACTTAATGTGGTTATAAGTAACAAATATGTTCGACTCCACCAGATTAGTGAACATGGTGAGGCAGGGGCTAAATTAAGATCACTGTGACGTCAATTTGCTGTTCAATGTCTGCTCTGTTAATCCTGTATTTTGTGGAAAAAATCTACATTTGCTTAAATATCTATATGAACAGTGCCATGTGATTAACCTTTGACGTACTCGTGCAGGCTCAAGTTTAAGATCATACATACAGGTCAAATGTCAGAGTGTCAACTATCACTTTGCTATTTTGTGTCTGCTTTATTAATTTCTGTGAACTCTATTCCTCTTTATGAAACTTGGCTCAGATATTCTGTCCTAAAAGGCAATGCACGTAACTCATAATGCAGATATGGTAACTCAATGTCAAGGTCACATGTTTAGGTCAAATGTTTACATCAACAAGATGTTGTGCTTAATCTTTGTTGCAAAATTGCAGCCTTTTTGTCAATGTCATACTTGAATGCCATTTGTTACACAATTTTGTGTTCATTGTAAAACATTTTAATCCTTGAATTTCTTAAAACTTTGCTTAAATGGGCCAAATAAGGTTTAGAAAAGTTTTAGATATTTCACTTTTACTTTGGAAAGAGCCCCAATTTCTTGTGTGCTTCAACATGCACCCATATATAAGTGTACTAGAGAGGCACAAGACTCCTGTTACCTTTAATTTCAACAAAAACTATTCATCAAAGTTTAGGATTTTACAAAATGATAAAAAAGAATAAGAAAATGATGTAATATATTTATTTTGCTACAAAAAAACATAATTTTTGTAATAATCACCACCAACTTGTATATGTATATTTGGCGTTGTTTAGAATAAGCATGTTTCAGTAACCATTCGTGTAAGTTATTTATTAAAGAATTTGATATACTCTGCTGTAGATTAATTTGGTTACAGTCGGGCAAACATAATAACTACAATGTACTATCATTTTGAAAGATCATTAGATGTAGAAATAAACATGTTTTTTTATTGATATCCATTATAAATATCAGGTAATGCTAGTTAAAACTGAAAGCCTAAATGGACTGTCGTAAATTCTTCAACAGATAATACAAATAAATTGATCAACTGTATTTTAAAAGTGAAAAGTTTTTTGTTATAATTTTAGAAATACATTGTTTGATATGTAATTGTATTGTTCATGATAATATTTATGTACAAATAAAAGGAGCTAAACATTTATTCTGCTCTATTAATAAATCATAAGTTGATCTCTTTGTTTTATTTTATAAGTTTATTAACCATAATCGCAATCTGAGATTTACAAGGATTTATAAGATCTATGTAAATAATATTGTCAGAATTTCTATTTCCATCTTTAAATAATGAAAAAATTTGATAAAGAATGTGCGTCTTGTACAATTTTGCAGTATTTAATATGATATATGACTTTCCAAAAATGTCAATGATGCTTATTCAAAAAGGAGTGAAGGACAATTTACACCCTCCACAAATTTTGCGCTTTGAAAGCCCTCTCATCGAAAAATGACAGCGGACTGAAGATGAAAGGGCAAACAAAAGCCCCCTCAATTTCAAAATGTCCATATGAAAAATAAGGGACTTACTTTCAGTGATATGAGCAGAGCGTGACATGTTGTTTGAAAGTGAACTTGTACAAATTTAGCTCTCTTTGAGAAACTACTGCACGAAAATTGAAAACCATGAGAAACTGTAAAGATTTCATAACAAAAATGCAGTTAAGAGTATGCAGTTACAATTTATCTTAAAGTCTATCTCTGTGTAGGAATGAAACTCATTAACAGTTAAAATGGCAAATAATTGCTGAAACGCAACGTTGTCTTAATGGTGTTGCAATGCAATGATCCATTAAACCAATGAAGTGTTTCCCTGTCCGGTTATTTGGTCTTGTGCACTAGAACGGCACATGGTGTGCATTTCTAATTCACATGTGCACAAGGTTGGGGATTTTAATTTGAGCTCGACTGTATGTGTTGTTGTTCTCTGTTCTTTCTCGCCATACACTTGCTTATAGCCTAGGGTTTTTGTTTTCATTGCATTTTCATATGCACAGCATTATTTTCCTATCGTCGCCTTACGTTTTCCGATCGAACTGAAAGTACAGGTTAAGATGTGATACTTGGGTTTGGTTACAATCGTATTTCAGTGGGCTTTCTTAAATAGATTATGAATGTTAGACATATTTTCAATCATGATTTTACCGAAATATACCTTATTTTCTTTGGATGTCAAATATATGCATTCGGAAATCTAATACATTAACAAAGATTAAAGTGACAGTCTCTGTTTTTATCACATCTTAAACCATGAGGTAGAACTGTTATCCGAGGTTATTATAAATAAATAGCCTACGTGTTATTTAGTCATTTATAAATTTAGTGTTCGTATACCCGTACAAATTTAACTTCTTTGTAACTTGAAACTTGAATGTTTACAACGATTGCATAAAAGGAATGTCAATACACTTGTAAATAACATTACATAAGTGATTATAATTCTAATTATTTCGTCACGATGAGTTCATCAAATAATGATAACGATGGCATCAGTGAGAAAATGAAGATTTCACCTTACGGATTAGTTAGATCAGAAGACCGCCCGAGTAAGTTTTATTAGTAATATTTCAATAACAGTCAGGATAACTTCCTTGTTGGGATCCAAGGGAACTCCCCGTCAGTGGATCACGATCAGGAATTTAACTTCAAAATCATCCACCGATCGGGAAGCTTTTTGGTCAATATTTGCGTACCTTGGGAGATATTTTTCTGTGCCAAGAAGTTGATAACCCTCTTAAATTCGCATTGATTAATTGATTAATTAATTAAATAATTAAAGCACAAAAAAATAAGACACTTAAAACCCTGGTCTCAATAAATTGATAATGGAATGTTTGAAATATATATATCTAAGACATATTCATCATAAATCAGCAGTTGTTAGACCTTAAATTTATGTAAAAGCATTAACTGGAGCAAAAGTGATTTAAAATAATTGTTTTTAATGTGTTTAATGCTTTTTAACCATGCTTTACTAAATAATATTTTAGGATAAGTGTTGCAGCTTTTTGTACATTTAAATTGTCTGTTTGTTTTTATCTCACCAGATATTACAGTTTCTTTTTTTAAATATGTTGCTGCTCTCTCTATACATGTAAATGTCAAATGGTTGGGGATAACGAATGTTTTATGATCAATGCGAGATTTTCAAACTTTTTTGAATATTTGAGAGGATATTGTTTTGTTTGATTATATGTTGTGCAGCCTGGACTCGTCATTTTTTGTATAAAAGACGTAAACATGAAAAGTACGGTGTCTTATATCGTCCACAAATTTTCGCTAGTAACACGAGATAATTAATTAAGGCCTCAAAAGAGCGAAATATTTAGTTATAAATTTCGCACAGCTTAAATTTTGCTAGTCTCTCAAAATACTAGCGAAATTGAAAAAGTTTGCCTCGATTATTATCGTCTTAATTTTCGTATGCTATGTGTTCTTCACGTGATAATTGTCTGGTTGAAGGACGCGATAATAATCGAAGTATCGAAAAGTAAGACGATAATTTTCGAGTTAAAATGGTTAAATTTCGCTAGTATAAGTGAGTGTCCCTGGTTTGTAAATGGTAAGAGACTAACGAAATTTAAGACATGCAAAATGGTGTACTAAAATTTGCCCTTTATCGGCGAATTTTATCGCGTGTTTACTGGCGTAGAAAATGGATATTGTTTAAATGGGTAATGAATTGTGCGTGTTTGGTTTGGGTGTAGATAAAAATCAGTGCGTTTGGTTTGTTTTATGTTTATATGGATTTGGGATAAATAAAAAGGATAAAAATGCCACATAGTTTTTACGAAACAATTATTTGCCAGAAGATAAAGTCACACTTAAAGGTTGAAGATAACATGGCACAACTATCTACCACATTATGTTATGTTGCGTTTAAGATCCATGTCCCTACTTCAAAGGTTAAGGTGACACTAAATATAGTTTAAAGGTACCCATTTTCACAATAAGAGTTTGAAAGTACACATTCATGTCCAGACTGTAACTTTGTCATGTATTGAAGAATTTTTAAAAAATATTGCCACAAATGTCTACCAAATCAAGAGATCGTGTGGCATCTTAGGCCCATATCAACACCTAGAAGGTAAAGGTCACACTTAAATATTGAAGGTACAAATTAGCGTCACGACTGTAGGTTTATCATGCATTGAAGGATTCTAAATTAACTTGGCATAAATGGCTACTACATCAAGACAATAGGTCACGTTCAACACCCATATCCTTACCACCAATGTCATTGTGATACTTCATTTCACATGGAAAATGTTAAGCAATAAGTTACTTTAATAATATTTTCTTTTAATAATACCTTTCTGCGTGTAGTTTTGATTAAGATTTCCAGACAACGTTATGGTTTGACGTTTCCCAATTAGTGAATTTAGCGTTGAAATGGAAGATTTCATCATGAACAGATTATTTTCTTCCAATTTTCATCTAAACAGCGATTCAGATAAAACTAAAACAAATATGTATCAAGTAGATATAAGGTATAGAAATGAAATTCAATTGAATTTGTCAATAAAGAAAATACTTGATTTTTGTTCTGGGAGACAAGTCTGTCATGAAGAAGTAAGTCATGTCGCAAAGAAGATAGATCTATGGTTACGTACAAAGTCTCTAATTGTATGTGTATTTTTATTCATTATATTTATCACTACACAAAAATTTGATAAAAACAATATTATACTTAATATGTAATTACTTTACATGTGTATCATGGCGTAATTTGCGTACGAAAACAATATTTACAGCGTTCAAATTGTTATCCACTGGATTTTTTCCACTGTTAACAACTATTACTTTGTATATGTGATAAACAGCATACTATATTAACTATATTTGTGTGAGTGAAATGATAAATGAAGTATTGTACTGTACCAGCGCTCATTCAATATCCTTTTAGTTTATGATACATATGTCTATCATCACTTTTGCCACGTTACGTATAGGATATCGACCGAGTACGAGGTCTTTCCTAACCAGAAAGATCGATGTACGAGGCCGATATCCAACTTACACACCGTAAAACTGTATTGGCTCGAGCATTGGCTGATTCGAAACATTTGGTGTAATGCACAAATATTATTTTTAACACAACGCATTAACAGGTAAGCTTTTATCAACGTTCTGCTTTTTAATACAACATTTATTTTGCATTTAAATTTGCTTTTCCCTTTAAAGTAGGCCTAATAATCAAAAAAGCTAAATGTGCGATTTGTCAATAATAAAGTGAATAGGTCTGTAATGGAAGGTATGTTAAAGAATGAATAATTATGTTGATAGTATTTCGTATCAGACGATGCAGATTCTAGGATATTTGCCCACGGACAGTTGTCACCCCCACCCCCGGACGTTTGCCTTTTTTGTTGTTGCTGTTTTGACTTGTCATTTGTCAGAGGTCATCTCATGTATAGATTTTTTGTATGCCAATGGAAACATTCTGTTTCATTTATTTATGGATGCTATTTTAACGATGAATAGGCGATGAATTTTGGTAGCAAACAATTCAACAATAAGATATATTAACATTTTTAAAACAGGGAGGGGGGCAAATGTCCGCCACTTCCAAAGATATGAGGGGGCAAGTGACCGCCACTGCAAAAAGGGGGCAAACTTCCGAGGGGGCAACTGTCCGAAGGGCAATGTCCGGATACCCAGCAGACCACGAAAGACTTACATATGTATATTGTTGGCAAGTGTAAGATACATGATCCGAAAATATTTTAATAAAGCAGATTATAAAGTGTTCTAGAATAAAATATGATAGTTCATCATAAAAGTTTTATACTAAATCACTTATAACTTTATTAACATTTTAAAATCGTAATAAGTATGCTGTGATTACTGCTATATAGTTTCATAGATATGATCATAGATATGAACTTGAAGAGTCCATTTTGTTACATTGTGAGCTTAATGACAGAAAAACCACTTAGATTACTATTACTTTGAAAAATGACGCATTTAAACAAATGTTAAATGTGTCCTAACTTTGATATGCTATCCATTATTTTTTATTCAAAGATTTAATATAGGGATGCTGGAATAATTGCTTAGTGCATTCAATGAACATTATCTTGTTTAAAAAATGCATCCCGATTTTGTAAGACAAGAACATTTTGACAATCATTTACATTTTATTTCAATTTTTATTTTTGATTGCATTTCATGTTTTCATTGTCTGCGCATTGGCAGGTCTATTTTTTCACATGTATTTCATGACCGGGTTTGTCTGACTATAACAGACCTGTGCACGTGCAAAAGATAGACCTCATAACGGACTTTCTTTTGTTTAAACAGGTCTATCCGAAAAATATAGACCTGTCACAAACAATAGAGGAGGTGTGTAAATTAAGAGCTTAACTTAAAATACATGTTAAAATTATAACTTTTTGTACAGAAGTTACGAAACATAAACATAGTAAATATTCTTTCGTTTCAGATGACTGCTTTTCACCGTCTATATCAAGATACCAGTAGTTTTGCTTATATATCGGATACACCGAGTATCACAAACCATAATGTGATACATACGATATTGTATTATAAGATACGACGAAACTCAAAAGTCAGCGAATGATTTTGAAAAATAAACATTGCCATTGAAATATTTTTAATGACGTTTCAAGTATACTGTCCCATCAACAGTATGCGCTTATTAATTCACTTCTTTCAATTTGATGTACAAAAACGATATTGGCTCATTTTCTTTCCGTGGTGCTCGTTTCGGCCACAAAATTGCACAATTTTGCCTTACTGTTTCAAAATGTTTGCGTCATTTGCTGGTTATTACTGGATATTCAATTTACTTTAAAGAAATAAATGAAACAGCTTTCTGATTAGCTGGAAACAATATAGATACTAGTACGCAAGTTGAAATGTAAATTTCCCTTGCATTTAAATAGAGAAAAAAATATTTCCAGTTACCTAAAAAACAAGTAGCCTTCACCAAGAGCTCAATAAATATTTCTTGTCACAGGTGTCGCATTCATATGTCTATTCGCCCATAAGAAGGGTTACTTTGCAACTCTTCAAAACTCTTAGTAATATTAAATTGTTTAGAGCAAATGTATATATACCGTGTTCCTGTCAGGTAACTATGCGTTAACAGTCTCAGTTTGTACACAATTTTAATATTTGTACAGCTTACTACTCATCCTGAAGTTTGGACAAAAGTATGATTATTTCGTGAATGATGTAGCAGGAATAATAGCTAATATACAACTAATATTTTCAAATAGTTGATTTCTTTCTTTATAATGATATCAGCTGTACCAACATCCTAAAGATCTTTTGACCGAATGCTTTTTACATTATTGTCTATATCATTTTGGTCTCCTTTAAAACCATAGAGCTATCTCCTTGGCGACATGACTACCTCCTTCACGACAGCACTGTATCGCAGAATAAATATCGAATACTTTCTTTAATAAATAACCCTTGATTTAAATTTAATTTGACTTCTAGACCTTAAACCTACTTGAAACGTGATCGTTATTAATCTGGATTGCTATTTAAATGAAAATTAGAGGGAAAATAATCTGTTTCTTGATGAAACGGTCCATTGCTACGCAAAATTTGCCAACTGGAAAACGCCGCTACAACTTTATTTCAAACACAAATTTGTCAACTTAAATCAAATATTATATGGTATGGTATTCTTCAAATTTCGATATTTGGTGTAGTGTTTTCAAAATTTATAAAAAATAGTCTTTACCTTTGTTGACACTAATCGCATCTTTTCGGCCCTTTCTGGCAGTCTTCGAATGATATCCGAGGACGTTTCGATTGTATTGACGACATGCACTAATTCAGAAGTAGCGATAGAGCGAAATACCGTATACCTAAAGAGATAACTCTATCGTTTACCAGGCGTGTTAAATATTACAATATATATATAGAAACTGGACGGCATTTGGAAATACCGAGACAAGAGTGACTTTTTCAACACTGTTTTCAAAATGATAACGATTCTTAATTTGCGGTAAATTTATTATTTGCGAAAAAGGTTTTGATAAAATTTGATGGTGTTGGTTTTGCTCTATTTAATCGATGAATTTCATGTATTTTTAATTTAGAAAAATATTTTCCCAACAAAGACAATGTTTTATATCTCCATGTTGCAGTCATGATTATACCTAACATAATTTTTGACTTGATTAATAAAACTCAAAATGGAAAAAAAGAACAGTGCATTGTTTGTTCATGAAATTATGTAAATTATCGATAACTATTATAAATAGGAAAAACATGTCGTAGATAAATATGTGTATGGTAGACACATTTAAATATTGATTAAATTGTGAATTTAGGGCCGGGTGCATTTATTTTCAAAATATATTGTTGTTGTTGATGATGTTGTTGTTGCCGTCGTCGTCATAAAGAAAATCTTACTCGAGTGATATACATTTGTATGGCCGTCATGTTTGTGGTACTTTGTTATTTCTAGAAAAACTAACATACAGTATCTGAACATTTGCGTAAAATTTGACTTTCAGTCGTATCTTGGAATCAGTTACAGCTCCGTGTGGTGTTTTGATTTTCAGACCAATTATTTTTGAAATTTGTTAGATTGCTTGTTTTGTTGATTTCTAGGTCAAATTTGATAAAAGGTCATCTTGTTTGAGAACTGGGTCACAGAGCTTAAAAATGGAAAATCTTATAATTCAAATGGTGACATTTTCATTAATTTGAAATTTTGAAAGTTTTGTTGTGTTCTCTATAGCACACGTTGGAATATGAGTGATCTTGTGTTCAGCCCTAATATCCGCGAAATGTGTCAGAGAGATTATTTCGGCTTATTTACCTGTAGTTTTCGATAGTTTTCCTAAAAGCAGTTGTACATGTACTGAAAAGTGAGCGCAGTGACCGTCATGGTTCTCTGGTAGTATTTTGCTTTTTTATTGATTTTATTTTACTGGAAAAGCTAATACATAGTATCTTAAAGTTTCCAATCATAACATTAGCTAAAATTCAGACTTTCATTTGTATATGGAATCAGCGACAGGTCTGTGTGTTGGACAAGTAAGTTTAAACAAATCATATACTGTTTTTCAAACATTATTTCAGTTCCATTAAAGTCTATAAAAGTAGATGTTCAGATATTTGGCTATGTAGCAGAAGTGACATCCTTGCTGACCTACTTCAATACTGAGGAAACACCAGTTGAGGCGGTGTTTACATTCCCTGTAGATGATGGCAGTGCAGTGTTTCAGTTTGAGGCTCACATTGATGGCCGTCATATTGTCGCTGAAATCCAGGAACGTGAGCAGGTTGGTTTTATACAATTTTAAATATTTTATACTCCTGATAAAAGAGAGCATGTAGTTGTTATGTTTATCTGTCCGTATCATGAAGCCCCACCTTTCGACTTCCTGGTATTCTTCACCAACCTAACCTACCATTATGACCTTTTTCCTAGGACATAATTTATTTCTTCTTATTTCAACTGACTTCCTATCCAAAATAAAAACCTTCCAGTAATCAAATTACATTTACAAACCCATTCATCATGTTTAGGAATTTTTTACTGTAATGAATCTATCAGCAGAATAGCAGTGTATAATTAGTACTGGTCTTTTACACACTTTCCGCAAGGGTAGAATCAATTGGCACCTGTAGGGTAAAGGTTAATGATAATTTTGTTTCAGAATGATATGAAATATTGTCATTTTCGCACAGTTCTTCTATATTGATAGCATATTGTTATTTATACATGTAAATGTTCTTTTATGTTTGTATGTAATGTTTTTATAATAATATAACAAAAAGTTATGTATTTTCAAGACAGAGATAATTTTCCAAAAGGATTGAGAATATTTATTAACCAGGTTTTACAATTTTGAAAATTCTTGTTATTAGATAAGTGAGTGGCGGATGTTCGGATGTCATCAAACAGTTTCTTGTTACATATTTAATTTAACTTGGTATTCAGGAATCTGATGTTGACACTCTGCCTAAGATTGCTTTTGGTCCTCCAAGGGTCATATAACTGTTACTAAAGAGGAAACATGGGTTTCCGGTCAAAAACTAGAGTAAGACTGGGAATTTTGTTATCAGCAAGGTTGTGTGAAGACCACACTCGGATGTGAGTTTGGCCTTTGGTCAATATCACTGTTGCTAAATAAAAGAAAAATATTTTAGCGTTTACTTCAGTTATGAATAAGATGCTATAATATGGTTTATAGCTCGAGTTGAGATCTCGCTTAGGATTGCTATTGCGCCCTAAGGTCAATGTAAAAGCCGCTGGTACTTAAATAGAGAAAATGGTTTGCGTTTGATAACAATAGTTTGGAATAAGATAGTGAATTCAAACTTAGTATATAGCGATAAACTGTTGCTTGAAATAGCACAATGTTTTTTGCCAGTCGATATCCAGAGTTATGAATGAGATTAAACTCAGTATAAATCAAGGAGATCTCGCTTGGGACTTTTGTTTTTCTCCCTAGTGTCAAGGTCAATATATCTGTCAAGTAATTGTTACTTAAATCGTAACAATGAGATGTTGTTATGAACTAAGTATATAGCAAGTTTGTGTAGAGAGATCTCGCTTATAATAGCGTTTAGTACCTCTTTGTTAATTGCTAAGGTCACTAACTATTTGTAAATAAAAACGGAAATAGTTGTTCACTGACAGGTAGGTATGAGATATGGTAATCAAACTTATTATAATGCAATCATAGTTGAGTCTTTATCGGGGATTCTTTTTGGACACCCTCGGGTCACAGGTTCACAGGTAAAGAAAAAAATATTAATAAATACTTGACAAAACAGTACTTGTGACAAAACAGAAATCAGATAATTCACGCCTTACCTTGACCAACAATAAAATTCCAATAGATGTCTATTTAACATATTAAATATCCTATATGTTGTAATAAAGGTTGTTACCACACTTTAGTGAAATTTTATATATGTATATTATTATGCTTCTAAAACAATTTTCAAACATCGAAGGATATGTAAAATATGTACTGAAAATATTTGTCCACATTATATGCAATCTCTAAAATATTTGCATTAATTCCTTATTGAAAAAAATTGACTAAGACTTTATGGAAAATGAATTTCTAATTACCTTCCATTAGTAACATGAAATGTAAATTCGGTAATATTTAATAATTTAATATTCGGTAAAATAATGCTTTTGGAACTTACAATATTGATAAATCATCAATTGAGCATTATATTCATAATATTAAACCATAAAAATTTGAGTTACAGGATCTTTTGTCTAGAATTATTTTAGAGGGTAATATTTTAATATATTACTTATAAAAATATGTTTGCTTCTTTATGAGTGTTTTAAAAATGTTTTATCCGAAACAATTTTAAATATATACACTAAATTCTGTTATTTATATTTTCGTATTGCCATGGAGCATATTGTAAGTTATCGATATTCTATAAGCGCGGTGATGTGTTGTACATATCTATATCAAAATAATAGTAAAAATGATGTTTAGGAGCACTTATTATGTTCCTTTTAAATATAAATATATTAAATATTAAATATAGCAACAATTTAAATGTATAAAGAATAAAGTGTTGCATTTTCTTTGCTAATTATATTTGTGTTTTCTTGTATATCTAATGAATGTAATAACAAAGGAGAAAATAAGTACATCTGACAATATGATATTTTTATGTTATTGTTAAAAAGTTATATGCAGATAATCCTGTACATTGATTTGTAGTGCTTTACATTTTATCTCAGGCTCAACTGACTTATGACGATGCTGTTCAAAGTGGAAAAACAGCAATGCTGCTAAAAGAAGACAGTTCTGCCGGGGATATCTTCAGTTGTATGCTTGGTAATCTACCAGCTAAAACTGAGGCATCATTGGTGATGAAATATGTGATTGAGTTACCACAAGAACCTGATGGTCAACTAAGATTCACACTCCCTACTGTACTTAATCCAAGATACTCTCCAGGTAGAAGTATATTAATTAAAGCAGTATATTTGCTTTACCCCTCAGTCTGCTGGAACCTAAGTGATCGGCCAACATCGAGCCAAGCCAGCATGCCCGTCCATGCAGTCTGACCAGGTGGTAAGCTCAGTTAACGTTTTATATGCCCGATGACCAAAGTGGCATAAAAGATGCTCTGTCTTTTGACTATCGAATACTATAATTGAGCAAGGGGCAAGTGCCTCTTTATTAAACAGAAAAAAAATATTAAAGAAAAGAAAAACAATAAAAGAAAAAAAGAAATGGTCCTGTATCAGATTTCGGTCGCGCGTCCGTCCGCTTTGCGTTAGACAATCGTAGACAATTGGTTACCGCAGGGTTACTTTTGAAGGATTTCAAAGATTGTGTTTATATTTGGAATGAAAGTATGATATATTCATATCGAAACACAAGTTAAGATCGAGAGTTATGCCCCCTCTTGACCAATTATTTGTTAATGCAGAATTTATTTTGAAAGATTCCATTGTTTGTCTTTATATTTGACTTGTAAGAATGTCATGTCAAAGCACAGGTTAAGTTCGATTTTCGCAACTCTGTTATTATTGACAGAATTATGCCCATTTCAAAGAAAATTTTCTTTTAAATTATTGGGTAACGCAGGATAACTTTGAAGGATTTCAATGATTGTGTTTATATTTGGCCCGTAAGAATGCGTTATCAAAACACAGGTTGAGATCGATTTTTGCAGCTATCATTTAATCAGTGATTAGACTTAATATAAGCCCATTTTAACCAAATTATCTGTAAAATTACTGTTATCTGCATGGTAACTTTTGAGGGATATTGTTTAACGATGTGTAAATTGTTAATGTTGCATCTTTGCCGACAGCATCTTGATTTGTTAAAAAAGCGAAATGAAAGGAAAAAAACGACATACATGCTTTATAAAAGATGTATTTATTTTCATTTTAGGTATCAACAGCAAAATGCAATATTTGTACTTGAATTTATCGAAACAGAATTCATACCGCTTTCCCCATTTTTTATCCTAACAGTAGTCCAAGCGTTATCGATAATAAATAGATTACGCGCAAAGCAGATACAAATTGCTAAAGCAACGGTGTCCTATTTCGTCCACAGATGTTTTCCAGTAACACGCGATAATTTTCGCCTCAAAGGGCAAAATTAAGCTGTAAATAAACATGTCTTAAATTTCGCCAGTCTCTCGAGCGCCCTTTTCTTGAGAACAGGGAAACAGGTACTAGCGAAATTTGAAAAGTTCGCCTCGATAATTATCGTGCTAATTTTAGTATGTTGTGTGATCTAAAGGCTAAAAATCACAAAAAGGGTATCGTAATTAAACACGAGATAATAATAACCTCTAAAAAGCGAAATTTTAACTGAATTTCGCATGTTTCGTATGCTTGGTTTTTGTAATACTACATCATTGCGTATAGCTAACGGTAGAATTGGTGATACCAGTTCAACCAACGATAATGTAGTTCAACTGACTATTTGGTTTTGAATGATAATGATTGTAAGCGGATTAATACATTTCAATGTTACCGTTTAACGAATACAGTGATCATGCACCACTCTTCTTTGAAATTACTATTAATTCTCTGATAAGTTATCAAAATATAAATGATTATGAAAATACCTCGGAGTATAAAAGGTCAGATGATCACAAGACAAACTTTAGACGTGATATCATTTCAAAGCTTCCCGAGTTTAATACAGTTTTACTCAGTATCATTACATTAGAGAGCCTTTCTATTGATAATTTAGTTGATGTTTTTTCCTCGTACTTTAAAAATTCGCGGATATCATGCAATATGCATGCTACATCATGTAATAAAGAGTGGTTTGATCGCGAGTGTGTAGAATAAAAGAAACTGTATATTTTAGCGCTTAATTCATTTAATGGAAACAAATAAATAGATAACAGACAATTACTTTTTGAGCATAAACGTTCTTATAAACTTTTAATGCGAAAGAAAAAAAAGAAGAGTTTTTCAGACTAAAAAGTCGCGCGAATTATGCGAACTTCGTAAATCTAAACCAAAGCAATTTTGGACTCATTTTAAGTCTAAACTTCAAAATTGTTCAAACGATGTAAAACCTGAAGAATTTCGTGAGTATTTTTCTAGTTTGTTCGATGATATAAGATCTACACGTATAGAAGATGTAGAAATTTTATCTTTGAAACAGACTTTAATATAAATAATCCATCTTTTGAATGCCTGAATACGCCTATTACGTCTAATGAAATACTAATGGCAATTAAAGATCTTAAGCGAAATAAGTCACCATGTCTTGCCGATAATTTACTAAATGAGTCTTTCATTGAGCCGTCCGACATATTTATCGGCCATATCACAGACTGTTATAACACTATATTTCATTCCGGTCATTTCTAATCGTATGGTCTTATGGTTATATCGTACCATTATATAAAAAAGGGAAATAAGATGGTACAGAATAATTAGAGAGGTATAACATTAGTTAGCAATGTTGGTAAACTATTTACAAAGGTATTAACAAAACTGGTTGAAAATTGGGCGCGTGATATCAATATACAGTCGGACGCACAATTCGGTTTTCGTTCAGGTGTAAGCACCGTTGATGCAATTTTTGTTTTGCATTCTTTAGTGGAATGAATACTATCCCAAAATTCACGTCTTTATTGTTGTTTTATAGACTTTAAAAAAAGCTTTCAATTCAATCTATCGTTATGCTCTTTGGTATAAACTTTTTAATCTTGGACTAGATGGTAAATTGATCAGGATTTTTAGAGATATGTACTCTTCGGTGTCTTCCTGTGTTAAGCACTGTTATACTTTGTCAGACTTTATTGATATATCGATTGGTCTAAGACAGGGCCAAAATAATTCACCGACTTTGTCTGCTTTATTTCTGGAAGATCTGGAACAAAACTTAAGGAATGATGATAATTATAACGATAAGGGTTTCACTTTTTATGATATATGTATCATTATTTTACTGTTTGTCGACGATATGGTTATATTTGGAATGTCAATTTAAGAATTGCAAGCAATCGAATCTAAATAATTTAAAGTTTTATTGTGATAAATAGGGCCTCGAGGTCAACACAGATAAAACTAAAACAATTATTTTAAGGAAGAGGGGAAGCATCAGAGAAAATGAAAAATGGTCATACGATAATACTTTATTAGAGACTGTTGATAACTTCAACTATTTGGGTGTAGTTTTTAATTATACGGGGTCTTTTCAACTTCATAATCAGTATGCTATAGGAAAAGCTATGAGGACCCAAAATGTTCTACTTCTTAATATTAACAAATATGATGTGACCCCTTCCGGTTGACTCCAACTCTTTGATGCATTTGTTGCCTCATAATTAAATTATTCTTGTGCAATATGGGGTTTTACAAAATCTAAAGGATATAGAAAAAATTCACTTAAAATTTTGCACTCATTGTTAGGCGTTAAACACAGTACATATACTGCAGCAGTTTATTCGGAGTTAGGCCGACGTCCTCTTCATGTTCAAAGATATGTTCAAATGATAAGATTCTGGTTACATATTCTTCATTCAAATAATTATATCTTAAAGTCTGCTTTTTTAAACATCAATTAGTCTTCATGATAATGGTTATAACTCCTGGGCAGCTAAGGTTCATTCTATTTTAAATGAATATGGATTCACAGATGTATGGTTCAACCCAATGCAATACAGTCCAAAACAGTTTGTTGAAATATTCAAACGTAGATAAGTTGATTGTTTTATACAAAAGGTAAATGCCGACATTCAGTCTAGTTAACTTTTGTCTAATCTGTACATGTATGTACATTTGATTGACAAATTTGAACCTGCATATTATCTTGAGAATTTATTCATTAAAACCCACAGACAAAGTTTATCTCGTATTAGGTTATCTTCTCATAAATTAAAGATAGAGGTAGAGAGATATGGTCCTAATAGACATCGACGTTCTGAAAGAAAATGTGAATTATGTGATCTTCAAGAAATTGAGGATGAATTTCATTTTATTATCATTTGCAATTGTTACACTGCATTACGTAGGGAGTTCATTAAGCCATGTTTATACAGAAGGCCGAGTATATTTATTTGCAGCTTTTAAAGTTACTGTAACAAAAAAAAGATTCGAAATAATTGGACTTTCTAAATACATCATCTTTGCTACGAAGCGTCGATAAAACCTAATTGATATTACGATTAAAAAAAACTATTATATTAGTATGCGCATGATAATTTTGCTCATTAAAAGTGGCAGTATGGTATTTATCATGTATTTTGAATCGTTAATTCACTACATATCAGATATATGAAAGTCATTTTTGCAATGTATTTACAATGCAAACTTTGTATTGTTTAAATATGGATTTAAGAACCTTCTCAACGAAATTTCGCTATAGTAGAAGATCCAAAAATCTATAAGAAAATTGCTTTATTAAAAATGTATAAAGTAGATAATAAAAAAAAACAAAATAATGATATGATTTTAATCAATGATGGTGATAATCTCAATCAATATATGGTATTACAAAAAACAAAATTACGTCAATACGAACTGGCTAGTATATCAACATCATTAATTGAAGATGTTAAATTAAAGTTAGTTTTTCCTAAAGCAATCACTAATCTTTGGTTGTTTCGATGGTAAAGTCAAGCCATGGCGATCTCAACATTGTGCAGATTGTGAAATGCGTCCTCCGGAATCTCCTTGTTTTTTTTCTCTTTTTTTTCAAAGAAAGACCGTATTGTCGAAACTGAGGCTAAAACATCTTCTTTAGTAACGTCGACGAATGGGCCGTATCAATATCGTCGTCGTCCTCACTATCGCTGAGCGTACAAGGCGACCGTGAAGGTAGCTGGAGATCAGAAATTATTTCATCATCCGTCATTTCTTCTGTAGCCACAACACTGACGTCAAGGTCAACAACATCAAACAATGTAACCTAGGCATATATATTTAAAATTGATAAAAAATGACGTAAAAAGCTTTTAACTTGGCGTTAAGAGTGCTAAAAATTGTCTACAGTACACATCACCTACATGTACAATACACTTTTTTATTAATGATCCGTATTAACTAAATCTTAAGTATTCAACAACTTTACTTTCGTAAGAAACTGATAAAAGATTTTACTACATGCATTATCTTGACAAATTGTTATCAAACAAACCTCTGTCTGCGTTTTTCTGCACAACATTGCAAGTGGTAACGACTCTTGGTAGCCTTCCATCAACAACTCCTGCTTCACCACATATGGTTTTAGAAACTATGCCATGTCTCATCTTGAATTGGTCTATCCAACCACGATTTGGCATGAAACAAGTCCCATTTTGTGAACAAGGTCCGAACATTTGCCCAACAATATCTGCCCAGAAAAAGGTAAATTCTGAGCTCGAGCTCCTTTAAACCAACTGAAAAGGGCCTTCTCGATGCCCTCATAATTTCCAGAGGGGGTGTCTCTTTATGCTAGGCGAGAGCGAGGATGCTTGGTATGACTCACGCACGTTTTTCTTTCCAATTTCTTATGATTGTCGATAAAGTGCTAGGCGTATTCCAAATTTTTCAGCGATATCCTTTTTCTTTAAACCTTTTAGAACTTCACTTAAAATTTCAAATTTTGTCTCCAAATTAATAGCTTTCGTTTTAAACCTCTATCCATTTTAAATCAAATAATCACAATAAAAACTGATACACACGTAGGTCTAGAAATAAATCAGCTCAAGTCACATTTCATGGGAATGTTTATACTTTTAACAATCGAATTATTATAATGCCTTTTAAACATCTTTTAAAACTTGTCACGAAAAGATATCAAGCCCTCTTTTCATCGCATGATCAATAGAGATGTTATAATTAACACCTGGAGGCAGTCAGTCTTCTCTTTGTTGTACTGTCAAAAATCGATTTCGCTATAACTGTGCTGATTTACGTTAAAATATGTATCACGAGACCTCAGAATCCTTACGTTATAACCGTTTTTTTTTCGCTGTATCCATATTCGTTCTAAGCATGTAAGGAGCCATATAAATAAAGAAAGGTTAAATTCGGGGAATTGATTTCCTTTCGATATAACCATTTTTTCGTTTTAAACGTTTATTGAGCTTCGCTGTATATACTTTTGTTTAACAATGTTTGTTTTCAATATAATCGTACCATGACTTATGATTTAATATGTATTACGTGCTTTGTAATATGAATATGTACAAATATGTATACGTCAATAAATTATATCTATCTATTAAATTTTTTTAGTCTCTCGTGCGATAATTATCCCCCATCAACGCGATAAATATCGCGTGAGTAACACAACATACGAAAAATAAGACGATAATTATCGAGTTGAAATTGTTGAATTTCGTTAGCATAAATGTCCCTGGTCTATTGGAAAGGCAATGATGATCGTTTGACAGACTACCAAAAATTTAAGATATGCGAAATTAAGTATCAAATTTCGCCTTTTAGATGCAACAATTATCGCAAGTTTGCTAGCGGAAATTTTGTTGGCGAAATAGGACTTACATGTTTAAATATTATTTCAAGATAAATAAATCACAAAGGTATTTAGAAGAACCTTACTAAGCAAAATATCTCTATTTAGCTATTTTTGTGATAATTTGTCAAGTTGTCGAATAATGCAAACGTCCTCTTTTGGAGATGACACCTGTACCTGATTTATACTATTAATATTTTGTGATTACAGAGGCAGTGAGTTTTTCACACTCGAAAAATAGATAGCATGTTTCTTTTTTTTTCATTTCAAAAGTGATTTGGGAAAACTTTAAAAATTTGAATGGTGAAATAAAAAATTATAATATTAATTAGATTTTTGCGTTTGTTTTATAAATAGGCGGAGAAGTTGCTGCTGAGGGTGCCACATATGTTCCACCATCTAAAGTACCGTATGAATTTAGCTTGATTGCTACAATTAAAGGTTACCATAAAGTAACCTCAGTCACCTCAGAAACAATCTCATTAAATGTCCATTTTGAGGAGAACAAGAAGATAGCAAAGGTGAGTGAAAATTGTGGTGAATAAATTAAACTTCCCGCAGATCTGTAACATATTATCTTTGATATAGACTGATATGATAACAAAAGAAGAAAGTATACAGTTTGAATTAGCAAGGCATGACACATTTTGAAGACGGAAATAAAAAAAAAGTATTGTCTATATTTCATTGACTAAATAGTACCGTATGAATGAGACTTTGAAGTTTGAAGTCTCGGCAACAATTTTTGTATATTGACATTAAAGTACCGTGTATATTTGTTTTAACTGTAAAAACAAGTTTGAGCATATATCTTTCTTAATTTAACAGATTAAATGAAAACAATATGAAAAGACAGACCGTTTTCAAAGTTCATTGACATAAACAGACTTTCCGAATAAACCTAGTATAACTTTATCTGTCCAAATATGAATTAAACTACAACCTAAAATTTCATACTGTCATTTCTGAGATGCAACTTAACACTTACAGACCAGCATTTGCTGCTTGAATAATTTGCCAAATCTCTTTATATTCATAAACTTGTTATGCAATTGAATCAATATCGATAATAAAAATTACATTCATTAGATATGTACGAAAGACCGGTGGGGAATTTCAACGTTTTGAATACTCAGTTCTATTTTTGTGAATTCAAGATTTTAGCCTCACGTACCAATTAACGATTTCGACTTCAAGAATAAACGACTTTAACTTCAAAAATTCACGATTTCAACTTCCTGAAGATGACATCGTGAATTAGTGATGTTGAAATCGTGAGTTTGTGAAGTTGAAATCATGAATTCATGACGTTAAAATCGTGAACCAATTATGTTGGAATCGTGAATTCATGGAACTGAAATCGTGAATTCTTGAATTACGTATGCTGAAATCGTGGAAGTTAAAATTTTGAATTTACGGGAATGAAATTCATGAAGTTGGAATATCCCCACCGGCCTCTTGTAGATATGATAAATCTGCTACTGTTCATCTATAATCAACGCAATCCTCTCTAGACAGGTGTCTTACCATTATTTGTCACTAGAGCAATTTGTTTTAACTTTTGGAAAGTTTGAAAAGTTACAATACCTTGATTTGCTTAAACTTAATAAAACCACATTACTCTTGTCAAGCATCTTGTGAAAATTGGCCGTTGGTGCTATTAACTTGTTATTTGAGAAAGTGGCACTGTCAATAAAACACAAACTGTTTTGTAGGTTACCTTTTTATTACATGTAAGTATTGGTGATGCTTTAACTTGTTTACTTTTTAAGTTATGATTATATACCAGGTAAGCCTTGGTGATGATTTCAAGTTTGACCACGATCTTAGATTTGTTGTGCAGTATGAGTCACCTTATTCTCCTCAGATTGTCCTTGAAGACGGAAATCCAGATGCCGGTGAGAAACTTATGAAATACATTTAATTTAATATGTTAGTGAAAGACGGGGACTTGACCGGTTCCCCAAAAGTAGTTTTTACAGTAAAGCCGGGTCTGTTATCCCGGGTTTTTTGATAAAAACCCAAAATCTAATATATTGCTAAGTTTTTTTAATTTTTTAATATTGAAAACAATTTTTTCTTTTTTAAAAAATTTTAAACTCATTCCCAAGCCTGATTCACGTTTTATACAGTAATATACAGTGTTGATATGGCTTCTCATTTTAAAGATCCCCCAAAGAATGCTGCAACTGTTTACAAAGAAACATGCTTAAACTTAAAGGTCATGGCGAGTGATTGAAAATGCCTTTTTTGTCATATAGTTTTATCAAATACAGCTAGTGTATGTGTTCGGTCCATTAGTTTTGTATGCTAAGTCTTCAAAATAAATACACATGATCATCTTAAATAATGTTTGCAAGACATATGTTCCGTACGTCAAGGTCATGTTTGTAGGTAAAATGTCAAATACTCTCAGGCTTACAACTTATTCATTTTACTTGGATTTTCAAAATATGTTAGATATATCTACACCGAAGTCAGATGATGTGTTATTCTGAAGACAGATGTCTGCACCTCCAAGGGTTCATCTGTAAATCAAAAGGCAATTCTCTTTTCTTTATATTTTTTGATTCCTTGATGTATTTTCAATTGCCAGTTTCTTCTACAATATGTTTAATTTGCTTTTCTTCTTTTAAAGGTTGTCTGTTAAGGAGAATATTAAGTTTCAGTTTTCACCCAAAAGCCCTTTAAAATTTAAATCCTTGTTTAGTAGATCTATTTAAATATAGCCTTAGATATCTTTTACTTGTAAGCAAAATAATAATATTTTCATACTTTGGACAAAAATATTTTTTTGTTAAAGGGTTTAAAAAAAAAATTTTTTTATAATAAACATTTTTAAGGGTTTGCTTCACTAATGCAACAAAAATTTTATATGCGTTTAAAAGGGTAAATTTTGGGATAATATTATGGTTTTAAAATTGTGCTTTTTTTTAAAATTAAATTTTTTAATGAACATTCCCCAATTGGGTTTAAACAAAAGTTGACTTTTAAATTTAAATCTAAAAATTTTTTATGAACGGGCCGTATTTTCAAATGCAAAAAGAAGCTCTTTTTCTTTTCCTGAAAAGGGTTTGCCAAGCAATGTTACTTCAACATTAATTCAGTTTTTTGGGTCACCTACTATTTTTGTTCTCAAGGTTTTTAAGGGTTATTAAGAAAAGTAAAATTTCCAGAGGTGTTTTTTTGCGTGTAAAGGGGAAATGCAATTAAATCCGTAAATGGTATTTTTCTACACACTTCAAGAGTTATTTTTCATTATTATGCAATGTAGGCCTTTGCCAGTTGAAAGATATAACAGTCGTTCAGTCTGCACGAACATTTGATTTTACTTTTTGTTTGACAAACCTTTCCCATGGGCAAAAATGGAAATCCAGAATATTAAGTTCAGAGCAGTCATAAAGTTCCCCACAAAAGAAATCCATCGCCGCAAGAGTGTTGTTGGTAAAAGGAACCCCGACGTAATTTCAAATCGTGACTAAACTGTCAGTAGTTCCTTAGAAGAAAGACACAAGAAAGGGGCGCCCTGGGTGAAAGTAATTTAGGGAAAAATTGGGTCAGCAAAATCGTCAGCAAAGGGGTGATCAAGTCAAAAAACAGTAAAAGGGAAAAAGGGTTTAACCCAAACCAGAACTTCCACAGGCCCCTTTTTAACAAGAGACAAAACTTTGGCTTCGCCACTGGGAGCAATATATCAAAAAAGATTCTTTGCAATGAAGGCGCACTGGCTCCTACCAATCGTAGATATTTTCATTTTTGTACCTAACAATCGACCGGCAAGCTTATGATTATGATGACAACATGATTTGGGACTAAAAAAGATATATTGATTGATCTTAAGTATGTTTGTTCTTCAATTACAGGAGAATGCTATGAGATACTGAAGATGTAGTATTGAAGCCTCTGAGGGATGACTATTTTTCCAGTGTTTTTATTTTATATTTTACTACAGCAAATGTCAAGTGCCGTGTGGGAGCAGACAAAAAGTTGGCTTAAATATAATAATTCTTGTACAATATTTCATCATATGTAAATGTATAAGAAACTTGCTGTTGTTTGGAGCAACATATCTCGTATCAATAAACATTTTATTATTGTCACTGTTACTATCTAAATGTCATTAAACAATTAGGCTTGCAATTTAAAGAACACAGTAGGGAGAAGAAAGCCGCTTGTGTGCTTTCGTGCATGATAAAACCCCCGTGCATAAGGCCGGATTTGCAAAAGCGACTATTCGTAAGTAAAATGCAAGTTTGAGCAGTTAAATCGCCCACCAAACCTTGCCCGAAGTTTAGAAGTTTGAAGTCCAACATTTGGAACGAGGTTTTGGGACGATGATGAGTTTATGGCTGGTACAGAGGCTTATTTTGGAGACCAAACAGACGACTTTTATTTCAAAAGCACTATCTGCTTAAAATAAAAAGTCGGCCTCATGCATGGACGTACATTTAAGTAAATCACGTATTTTGTATTCGTTTATTGGTAAATGTCTCTGCTACTGGCTGTAATATAATGAAAACAGTATGCCACATTTTACTGAAATGTATCATCAACATTATAATACTGCATGCTCCTGATGTCAATTTTCACTAGACTTTTATCAATATAAGAGTCATCCACATTTATAAACAGAGATGTAGCAAGGCTATAGCTTAATTTTTGTTGTGATAAAAAAAGGACATATGCAGTATCATAAATTCGTGTAATATAGTCAATTGTCAGGTAATTAAGCTGTGTTTTAATTGTTGCTTGCTCTATAATCTTTTATATATTTATATAGCATAACCAGTAATACACGAAGAATCTTGCAAAAATGTTTTATGCCAAAAGCTAACCTGTTTTTCATGATTTACGTCAGGTATAAAAATGTAATATATGAATTTCATCTGCACATTTTATATTATTTTGTCAATATATATGCAGTCTAATATCATTCAATGCATTAATGCAGTTCAGGTGTAGGCAAATCACGTAAACAGGTCACGTTTTGTTATTGTGACCAGAGTTCAGGTTGTGTTCTTTCTTTTGAAAATTTAATAAGATTGTTGTGTGTGATACTGTACACCGAATCACACAAATTACTGTATAAACATCCGATTAATCTAGCGCAAGTAAATCTTACTCAATGTGCTATATAATTTATCTTACGATTGTCATACTTAAAAAATGTAGCTGAATTTGTGCTTTTATAAAGTGAATTCAGATCTTTGTCTGAATTTCATTTGATCTCTTTATTATGCATCAAAATCTTTAACTTTCAACTTGGGTGATTCCAGTAGAACCCTTAAGATATGTTGTCTGCTTTTTAAATTTGTCTGTTGACGTCTTGTCGGTGATGTACAGGCTTCATAACCTCTTATCTCATTTCAAAATTCCATTTAATTAGTTCTGTCTATTGCTTTCTCGTTAAGGGCACACACATCATTTTAGTAGGGGACAATATACGCCGCTTTTCATGGAATGACACTTCTTTGTCACATTGAAGGCTCCATGATAACCGCCGTATGAACACATCTGCGGATGTTTCTAAATTCAAAATTTCCCCATTTTCGTGTTGAAACGTTGTATTCTTCTTAAGCCTGTGCTAGGGTGGTGGACGGTAACTTGCACTTTCCAATACCGTCCATGAAAAGGCTCAATTAAATCGACCCTGAAACATTTTCTATTGAGCCGTGTTGGGCTTCTTTCTGTATTTCTGTATTTTACTTATTCTTGATTGGTAGGGTTTGAGAGCTTGTAATGTTTTGGGGATGTGAGAAATTAGGTCTAATGAGGTCGAAAGGCATATATTTGTATACATATTATAGTTTTACTCCCAGAGAGCAATTTTGATGTAAATGTTACCTTGTTTCACGAAATGTTTGTTTGAATGGAGGTTATCAGTGGAGTGAAGCCATACTTTTTTAAACTTTAAGTTAACCGGAATGAAAATAATTCTCAGGGATTTTCATATAAACTTATGAGGTAATTAGATTATGAAGTAAATTAAGACTTAACTATTTGCAGTGGCAGCCAAAAGTACACAGAGTCAAGTTTAATTGAAGCTATCAGAGCGCAAGAATTGATGAATGCTGACATGGGTGGAACAGAAATTCTCCAGCCTTTAGAACATGTCTTTAATAAAAATCCTATACCTTCACATCCACGACGGGTAAGTTGTTAAATAGACTTTTGAGGTGTAAATTTATTCTTGTCATGTTTCTCTTTTTATACTTTAAAATACTTTACTTGGATTTTTACTATTAAATATTTTGTTATTTAGGGTAAATATAAATTTATCTTCTTTTTCATAGGAAAAAAAATCTTCATTTATTGGCAAGTATCTTAGATAAATGTAATGTAAGTACTTTGCAGCTTCATTCACACTTGGTTTGAATTTGATGTTGATTTTTACCTGGGTGATAGGTGTGGTGTGTGTATGTATAAGTATTTAAATTATCAACTCCTGGACCAGAATTTTTTAAAGTGTTCGTTATATCAAGCATTGTCGGGGAGTATCCTTTAGTAACTTAGTATCACAGATATGTCTTGTCTTAAGTTGTATGAATTAATATAAACATTATTTTGTATATCTTACGCTTTTGAATGATGTATGCATGTTAAAAAATGTATAAATATTTTTCAGGTTTTTGTTCTAACAGATGGGCAAGTAGACAACACAGATGCAGTAATCGGATTGGTCAGAAAAGAATCCATAAACACAAGTACAAGGTACTTTATAACATTGTTCTTAACAAATATTTATTCAAATTGACATTATTCAGTAGACTCCTAGTGAATAAATAGAGGATATTTGTTTAGTTCAGTGTAAGATCGGAAAAACCACCGAAAAGCATGTAATAAATTACTTTTATTTCATAAACTTTATTAACTGAAGATGCGGAAATGTTTTAAATCCATAACCTTTAAGGACATGCCATCTGTGTGGACTTGTCTATGAGCGAATAATGCGCTATGAATGGTTTGATTCCTCTTTTGCCATGAAATATTTGCATACACAGTACACGTAAAGAGCAGTAACAAGTATATTTGCAAATAAGCACCTGTAAGTAATGTAGCGCCAAATTTATAACATTAACAACATTCACCTGGCCACAAAATGTTAAATGCAGTCAATGTCGAATAAGGACATAAAATATACTATTTCTTATTCATCCATATGGAAAAAGAATGATATCTTGGAAACATTAATCATTTGGAAATTAAGCACTCAGAAAAAACATCTAAGTCTATAATTTTTACGCAGTGATCAGCGTTTTAAAAATAGAGTCCACTAATTGCATAAACTTTAGTTATCTATAAATGTTTAAATCAATGAAATTGTCAAACAAATTTTAAAATGTTCAGAGAGTATTTTTTTCATTTGAGAGAAATATATACCATATTTCACGAAAACGAAAAATAACCTTTTTATTTAATTTCATTTTCAAAGAAAAATTGTGACGAATAACCTTGCTTGCTACGCAAGTGCAATTGTACAGGGCACAGTAATGTATTGCTTTGTCTTTTTTTGCACGCGCTGTTTGACGCTACATTATGACGTCACGTAAACAACTCTTTAAACGTCTGTACAGCGGTTATGACTGAATTATAGATTGGTGTTTGGATTTATTTTCTTAGACCATTGTCTATCATTCTAGACAGTTTTCAAGACAAAATTCATCAAAAAGTTGTTTTTCATTTATCTTTTTTTCAAACACTTTTATATTTATATTTCATATTCATTTTTAACAAATATGAAATATTTTTGACTGATATAGCACCTTATTTAATGGGTAAAATTACATAAAGTATTTTATTTCGTATCGCAATGTTTCTTAGAAACAGATTGACAATATGGTCAACCATCTGAATGTAGGTATCCTTGTGGCACTGAAACACCCTACACTTCCTGTTAAGAGTTCATATATTAGTGCCAACAGCACAGAAATTTTGAATCACTTGATTTCTTACATTCTCTCACTTTTTATTTGAATACTAAGGCTTCAATGACGACGTGGTTAGCTGTATTACATACACTGGTAGAAATGATGTTGTGTATCTATATTCTCCCTATTGCTTTCTCTATTTCTATAATTTCAACGATTTCTTTTTGCATAAATCAGGAAACGTTCAATTTCCAATACTATGCTTCTTTCATTACGTCTGGCTTCTGGTTAAGGTCTCTTATTTATATCAATAAGTTGCGATAATCCGATCTTTCACCTAATGTATCTAAACCTTGAACATTTGTATCGAGCCATTCCGAAAACTTAAATAGTTCTTGAATTTCGTCCGCTGATGTTACATCCCGTGTAAATTACATATTCCAACAGTGTTGTTCTATCAGTCACAACAATGAAATAAAAAGACGTTTTGCGTTGGTTGTCTATGCACAGTTGCGATACAAATGCTGACAATACAGGCAAACTTAAAATTGCCTTTCTTAGGGTCTGTTAGCAGGAATAAATCATTGAAAATATATGAAATGAAGAATTTTATTCTTGATAGAAAATTAAATGAAGAATTTTATTTTTAAAATAAAACAATCATTTTATAAAATGTTTAGTGATTATCTAAATCTTTGAACTTTGATATCATCATAAAAATATGATATTGTATTTTAATGCATAAGAAGCGACAATACACCAAACAGTTAATACAAGATCAAATTGTTTCATGTGACATTAAAACACACACTCAGCTGAAAACCATTTAGAAGTGGTATGGTGTAACATCACATAGGTAAACAGCAGTCTTTCAGTATAATAAAGGCCACAGTTAGACTAGACAATTTTGGTTTCATTACTCTAGAAAGATGGCAACTACCATACTTTTTTAAAACAGTAAAAGTAGTCAGAATGTTTAAAATATTTCAGAGTATTCACTCTTGGTATAGGCCATGGTGTATCAACAGCCCTGATTGATGGTATTGCAAGAAATGGTGGAGGGAAGTCAGAATTTATAAGTGGTGAAGATCGTATACAGCCCAAGGTAAATGAAGTTTCTTTTCCTGCTAAGTGCAGCTAGAAATAAACTGGATTTCTGTATTGCAAAGCAAAAAATGTTTTGACTGTATGGAAATACAAATAAAATAGAGAGAAAAATGAATCTCAAAAGAACGCAATCAACAACAAAATTAAACATGTTGCTCGGTTGATTGAGCGTCCACGTCCCCTAGCACCGGGTCAACCATAATTCAACATTTAATAATTGTAATGGTGAAATTTTGAATTACAGTTTTGCCGTTTTGGGCATTCTTTAGGATTTTGTTTCTTCTATTTCGCTGTGTTATGTTAGAGATGCACACATTGATTGCCGTCCTTCCATGTTGATCATTGTGTTTGAGAAATATTGCATGGATACATTCCTATATACAATCTTTTATAAACAATGTTTCAATAGAAATAGCGTCATTATCCTGTGCCTGCCTACATAAAATGGTAAAAAATGATGTGTTCAATAAGTTCTGCACATTAGGCTTTCAAAATATTGGAAAAAATATATCAAATAAAAAGTTGTGTTAGCAAATACTATAGCTTGCCGATACATTTTCAGTTTGGTTTGCATAAGTGCATTAATCGGAATTTCTTTGATTTTTAACTGGAAATATATGTAAAATTTTAGATGTTTCGAAACAACTATCTTCTTCTGATGTGTTCGCCTTTAGAAACAAAGAAAATTCGAGTGTATGGTACTTGTTCTTGTATCCCTAGAGGATTTGAGAATATCTATATTATTTATATTTTAATTGGTGCTAGATAAATTATGTGGTAGATTAATGATTACTGCATTTATTCAAGATATATCTACTTGTACAGGTGATATCATTATTGAAGCGTGCGATGCAGCCTGCTATCACAGATATCTCACTAGATTGGGATCTACCTCCAGGTATCACACCCGTGTCCATACCTACTAAACTTCCAAATATCTTATCTGCTGGTGAACGACTCACATTATTTGCTGTCCTACAGAATGTTGATAGAAATGTAAGTCTCCTAAAAGAAGAGTTTTTTTCTGATTTTATCTAGTATATGTAGCTTTTAGGAGGTTGGTTTTACACCTTTGCACGTTTTTTATCACCACTGCGACGGGCAGTGATCTTAAGGCCCACAATAGGGATTTGTTTTGAGTTTTATATCGCATTATCTATTTCTCTCAGGGTAACTTATTACCGACGTCATTTGTATTAATTTATAAATATATAAACAATTTTATTTTTTGTTTGCTTAAACCTTAAGTAGATAATAAGCTGTAATTTCTATTTCAGGCAAGTTATGCACCCAGTACAGTGACGTTGAAAGGTGTAAAAGATGGAAATGCTGTTTCTTATAGTTTGACCTTCACCTTGTGTGAAGCAGACAATATAAATGCATCTGCTGCAGTTCATCGCTTAGCAACTAAGCTGCAAATAAAGCTTCTACAGGATCAGGATGCGGAATCTGCTGCACAACGTTTGCAGTTTTTCTTTTTTTCTAGACAAATAAGAATATTGCATTGGATTTCCATGTCAACATTTAAGATTTAAACTTTACTTTTTGAGGAAAAAGCGCAGCTATTGTCAGGAGCCATTTTCCTTCATTTGCGTTGGTTCACGTTTTAGGCCTAATTTTTGCTAATTTTCTTTACTAAAATACTGACGAAGCTGTTTTACTAAATCTATTATGTGGATGCACCCTTATAAGTTCTACCTCCTACACCTATTTTTAGATCAAAAGTCAATGTCACTTTGTCCTGTGATAACAAAAAATGCAACTGGTCATTGAAGTATGTACATTGACATGGCATCTTAAAACTTGTTTATATGATACGCCTCAATGAGCTGTACCTGACATTAATCTATAGGTTAAAAGATCAATATAATAATATATGATAAACAAGATCAACAAGGAAAGGTGGCGTTCAATTAACGCAAGCCCCACACGACTCAGCAACAAGGACGAGCGGTCAGGAGTCCAGAATGACCTCAAACAAAAACAGGACTGGGCACAAGACAGAGTACGGACAGACACTTACCATTAAATCAAAATGTATTGCCCTTGGAACTTTCAACGTTGTAAGTAGGTGCACCTTAATGAATTATATCTGCCGCATTCATTTTCAGACCGAACGTAAAAAGGCTTATGTCACTAGGTCCTGAATAAACCAAATAAAACTGATCATAAGACAAGTGTGCAATTGCTTAAGAACTTAAAACTTTGAGTTTTACATGTCAAGCTAATTTTACTGTGACCTGAAATAGATACTTGTCTAGTAATTGGTTAAATTCCATTTCTGACAAACTATTAAATATATTCATTTCGAACCTGATACACATTACCTAGAATCACAAGGTCAGATACTTCTGAAAATATCATCAGTAAAGTTATTACCCTTTGACTGACTAAGGTGGCGTCCGTCACCGAGTGGTTAAGGTCGTGGACTTCAAACCACTTGCCCCTTACCTATGTGGGTTCGAATCCCGACAGGGACTTTGGATTCTTTCATGTAAGACAGCCATCCAGCTGGCTTACGGAACGTCGGTGGCTCAACAACTCAGGTGCCTGTTCGTGCCTGAAAAAAAAAGCAAAAAAAAAAACACGCAGGGGCACGTGAGGTCTTCCTCCACCAGTAAAGCTGGAACGTCGCCAAATGACCTATACTGTGTCGGTGTGACGTAAAACCTAAATCAAACAAATAAAATTTGACTTACTAGATTCATCTCTCTGTTTATACGTTTTTCCTCACTTGTGTGATAAGTTTTAATTCTCAAAATGTTTTAAAGAAATTCACTTGCAATACATTTGTAATAGTTGTCATCTTTCTAAATTGAAATTTCATTGAAATAACCATAAAGTCTTTTTGTTTAATTAACCTATATGTTCCTAATTTGATGACAGTTACTTCATCATGCTCAAAACAACAAAATTGAAAATGTTGCATAGTCGGTTTTGGTCCTGATGGTCTCCTTGTCGGTGGTCCTGTGTTGCTGTATGTGGAGGTTGCGTTAATTGAACGCCACCCTTCCTTGTTGATCATATTTTTTCAACTGAGTCTGTCCATGAACTACATTTGAAAATGAAATGCAAGCAGCTGTCCCATACCCCGACTACGGGATAAAACATGATTTTATATTTGAATGCGAAAAAGGTGAAACTTTTGATTTAGAAACATCCGCATATGTGTTCATATGGTGGTTATCAAGTAACATTCAGTGTCGCACATAAATCATAAGATACATTTGCTTAAAACTTGAAATACTTGTTTACAAATAAGGACAGGAAATTCCAGATTCCCCGATATTGTTTTCAAAATCTTGCTTGAAGTTCATATTCTGCTGTGCTTTTATCACATTATTCAGCAATGCACAAAACTATGGAATGAATCTCGCTCCTCTTTGGACAGCTCTTGTTGGCCAAGTCTTAATAACATCTTTTGCCTTGATGACCAGCTTTAAAAGTGTTTCTATTTATGCTCCAATACACTTTACAATACACAAAATCTTATTAAAATTGAGAATGATTTTGCGTCAAAATGATATTATGTATTATTTACTGTCTGAAACATATTTATGATAAGACATAATGCACACATACTGTCTTCTTAAAGTGGATGATATTGGATACTCAGCTGACTTAGATGCTATAGATGTAAACAGGAAGAAGGTAGTTAGTCTGAGTTGCCAGGGTAACATTATATCAAAATATACGTCATTTGTTGCTATTGATACAGACGGTAAGAAGGTTGAAGGTACCGCAGCGAAAAGATCTTGCCCAGTGCCTTCATTATCAAGTGAATTTGTCAAGGGAATTGAAGAGGTATGTTAAACTCTATTATATTAGGCAACGTTTTATTATACTTAATAAGCTCAGCTGATTAAAATTCACAGAAACTGTCATTAAGTAGCCCTCTTCAAAAAGCTTTGTAATAAGTTTCAGCTAAAATACTTTGAAACTTAGATTTTTAAAAATATTCTACACAGAAAGTAATTTAACCAGAGCTAATGTTTTTACATGAAGTTGAAGAATTGTTTACATTGTGGTCCTCGGAAAAAAATATAAATCGTTTCCTTTGATTAGCACCACACCTTAGTCACTAAGATTATATAGTTTAAGTTTTATTTTAAAGAAAGTATTTCCAGAATTTGTAATGCCCAGAGATAAAGTATTTGGCATGAAGCTTAGTCTAGACAGTCCCTATATGTCAGCCCATCGGTCAGTTTTGACTTGTAATATAAATGTCTTAATGAATCTCTTCTCTGAAATGACAATGCCAAGAGCTCTGAAATTGAGTATGTAACATCGGCTAGTAGTCTTCTGGAGTAAAGAGGAATTGATTCAGCTCCGGGGTCATGTAATTTCTAAAGAGTTACGGTAACTTGCACTTTTCAGTACCGTCCATGAACAGGCTCAATCAAACCTAGCCTGCAACATTTTCAATTTTGTTGTGTTGAACCTTCTTTAGGGATTCTGTATTTCTCTATTTTATATAGGATAATACGGGGTGTCCGAGATCGAGTGGTTAGGTTCAAACTACTTGCCACTCACCGCTGTTGGTTCGAATCTTGCAAGAGACGTAAACGTATTTGATGTGAGGGAGCTATCCAGCTAGCTTTAGTACTTGTTTCTACTTAGGTGCCCGTTTGATACTGACAAAATGCATGGGGTGCATTTTAGGTCTTTCACCAGCAGTAAAACTCAATGTCGCCATGTGACCTCTTTTATGTTGGTGGGACATAAAACTCAATCAATTGTAAAAAAAAAAAATAGGAAAAAGAAAAGTACATTCAAGACTTCAGTTATGAAACAGAATCTAGACATTTAAAGTTAAAATGTCTTAAAAAGAATCTTCTTCTCGGTAACTACAATATCAAGAGCTTAGAGTTATTTTCAGACTACAATCTACCCGAACATTTTGTCATTGATGAAAAGTTACACAGTCAGAGCAACAAGGAAGGCAGAGCAACAAGAAAATCACCTACAAGGGCGGCCGACAAAGCAAAACAGAAGACGAACAATAAGACTATTCGGTCCTAAAGGGCTTTAAGAACTTTAAGAAATTTCTACATTGGTTGTTATATACCAAAAAGATGGAGAAAAATAGATTCCCTAAAGAAAGTTCAATACGACAAAATTGAAAATGTTTCAGTCACGGTTTCATTGAACCTGTTCATGGACTGTACTGGAATGTGCAAGTTGCCATCCACGCCCCCTAGACAGGTTTGGTTGCAATGATTGTTATTGTCCGAAACCATGATGTGAACCGACCCACTGATCAACCGACACATCTGTCTGACCGTCTGTTACACTTCGTATTCGGTCCATAAGTCAGCAATCGACTAAGGAATTTTGAAATAGATAAAAAATGTTTACCATAATGAAAAATGAAAAAACGGACCCATATGGGAATTAAAGGGACAAGGGCTGTTAGGGTGAAAAGAGGAGAGGTCAGAAAATACCTACCGTAAACGACAATCTAACAAAACAGACATTACAAAACATGACATGAAAAACAACGAAAAAGGAACACAGAAGAGTACCGCCTTGGAACGGTCAGTGGTTGTTAAACCACTGGGAAGTTTAAACCGGTTTAGGTGCCCCAAACCTCACTCTTAGCCCAAATATGTTCCTGAGTGACACGAAAGTGTAAATAAAATTTATCGCCGCCTAGTGAAATTCTAACAATGGTCATGGTATCATTAGACGAAATAAATAAAACACATAAAAAAAGATTTTGTAAATATGACCATTACGAAAGTACTCGATGCCTTAAAGGATGGCAGAGCAACAAGAAAATCACCTACAAGTGCCTGACGAAGCAAAACAGAAGACGAACATTAAGACTATTCAGTCCCAAAGGGCTTTAAAAACTGTCCGCAAAAGAGTCCCTCACCTAGTCCGTCAGATGTAATTAAAAGAGGAAAGCGTAGCGTTTAATTATAAAACGGTTGAATATCAAGCATGCGGTATGCCTTAAAATAATTTGGTCATAACCTCTTTTAATAAACCGAGCCTGCAACATTTTCAATTTTGCAGTGTTGGGCTTTCTTTAGGATTCTTATTTTCTCTATTCCATTTCTTTAAGGGCATTTTTGTGCGGTACAAAACTTTTTATCTACTTAGGGATTTTGATATAACCTTTTTCTTTATTGATTAAAATCGCAAAAATGTATTTCTGTTGAGGAGTTATTTCAAATTAGTTTTATTATGATTTTTTGTTTCATCTGCAGATTTAGCATTTACAATATCATTTGCATTTATTCCTTGGTTCAAAATGATCTCGTCCTAAGTTTTAAAAGGCTTAAATAAGAAGTCTTCTGGTGTGAAGATCTAAGTCATTGGACCTTGTAGTATATGATAGAGACGATCTTTGAATTTCAGTGAGCGATCTAGTGCCATAATGAACCTTTTAAATTTTCTCTCTCTGTTTTATTTTAAATGATTTCCTGTCTGACGCACAACTCTAGGATTCGAATGAATTGCCTCGAAACTTAAGAGAACTCCATTCGTACGAAATAATTAAAGTTTCTTCTCCTTCTTTTCCCCTACATTGAGCTATTGTGATATGACAATGTCTGATATCAGTCGTCCGGGCTTTACAATATTAATGAAACAATAACTCCTCATATGGCCAGTGGTAATAAAACAACACAGGGGTAATCTAATGGTTGTACATTTAAAAAATAGCTCATTTAATTCATTTTGGCATAACAAAATGTCTGGAAGACCTGAAATAAAAAAAATCGTTCAACAACATCCCCTCCTAAACCCCTTGATAGATTTTGAAACTGTCAAAAAGGATCATTCGGTTATCTTCATATCATTGTACAAATGGTTTGATACCACAGCTTGAAAAAAGATAAACATTAAATCAAATGTTTTTCCTTGGTTCTTTACTTAGCGATTCTGTATTTTGTGATCAATGTGGTACACCACACTAAGTGAAATTATACATATGTACATAAGTATGCAAATAAAACAATTTTCAAACATCAAAGAATATGTAACTTTTGTACTGCAAAAATTTGTGCATATTATATGTAATCATTCAAATATATGCATTCATTTTTTATTGTAAAATTTGACTTAATCTTTATAGAAAATGAATTTTTATTACCTCCCTTTATTTACATGAAATGTTAAATTCGGTAATACCTTTATAAGTAATGCTTTTTGGAACTTACAATATAGATAAATCTTAATTTGAGCATCATATTTATGATTTAAAACCATAAAAATTGTGTAACAGGATCTTTAACATGCTGAAATGTTTCTAGTCGACTTTACAAGATGGCCCTAGAAAAATTGAAAAGTACTTTAAAAGGCACCTGCTCATCAATAACTTGATAGACTTTGACAACAATGATTGCTAGGTAGTCCTTTACTCTACAACAGTATCTTAATTGTCTATTTATGCTAATCACATTCCATAATCTCTGGCAAGCGAATATTAAATTATTTACTTTTGTTCAATTTCCAAATATTTTTTGTTCCAAACATTACTTCTTGAGATGGACATGATATTTAGAATATGATATGAATATACCATTTGCCCATCATTGCTGTAGACTCGAAACCTGCAAAAGAGTTTGACTTCTATCGTTATAGCTCATACCTAAAATGCATGGTAGAGAATTCCGATATGATGCCAAATAACATTAAGACGTTAATAATAGCAGTGTGTAACCCAACCATCTCCGCCCAGCACCAACAAAACAGACATAAACAATTATAAAAATAATATAATGACAACTGAAAGTCATCAGAAATAATACTTATCTGTTTTAATTGTTTCTGATTCTGATTATTTTCTAATCTTCTAACAGCAAGCTGATGTTAACTTGAAAATGTATATTCACGTGTTAAAAAGGGACTCCACTGAGGTTAAAAACCTGAAAACATAACATCTGATTTTCTTACATAAAAGAGCTGGGGCACTTTAAACAAAAAAATATATGCAAAGATAGTTAAGAAATATAATTTGAAATAAATTGAAAATCGTATGTTTATGCTTTTCCCAGCCCGATTTGAGTGAAAAGCGTTTAAACACTTTTCATTTTGGGTTAGGTTTTTACAATTTGAATAATTATTGTGAAAACAAAACAGAGAGCGCGAATGGTCTGAAATTTTGAACAAAATGTTGGTGGTCTAACCATTCACGAAATGGTACATTCATCTGGAAAAAATATTTTCAGACCCATCAAAAACCTCAGTGGAGTCCCTTTAAGTTAGAATATTCAATTATTTTAGTAAGTATTAGAAAGAGATTTAAATTACTGATAGGAAAAACCTTTTCGAAAACATCATCAAGCTTGTAGGAAACACCAGGAAACAGTCTTATCTATTTTAATTTAATTTCAAACAAGGCAAAAATAGCATTCTCCGTCTCTTTTGATGCCCTTTTTGTCCCATCTTTTCTTCGTTTTTTAGCCCACAAAGTTCGCAGAGGTGAGCTTCTGTAAAGGCAGTGTATCAAGCTTTCGTCTTCCGTTCTTGTCCACAACATCTTTATACATAATCTTCTCCTTAACCACTGAATGAATATTGATCACACTTTACAAGATTGATTCTAAGGTAGACCTCCACAAATGTCATCAGCTTTGTTCAAGACTGATGCATAACTAGGTCATAGGAGCTAGAAATACAAGGTTAAGTCAAAATGTAGAACAGTATGGTTGAAGGAAATATTTTGCATTTTCTATATCAATACTTCTGAATAATCTCCTCTTGAACTTTTTTAACGTTTCAACAAAGCCCAATTTAGGTATTGCACCTTTCCATAACTGAAATCTGGCCGACAAAAGTCCTTTCCTACATAGTAGCAAAGACTTTTGAGATGTTTTGTCAGTGTTGAAAAGGGGAAAAAGTAACGGGATGCCAAGTCTGGGGAATACGAGGACGGTCACTCGTTTTTTGTGTCCCCTTAAAAAAGGCGACATATAGGGGTTACTTTTGTCGGCAGCGTCGTTATCGTTGTCGGCGTCGTTGTCGGTGTCATTGTCGGCGTCGGTGTCGGCGTCGGCGTCCCCTAAAGCGTGTCCAGAGCTGAATGTTGACAATTTGGTAACGCTCAAGTCGGTTCTAGACGTGAGGGATGTTGCACGTATTCATTATCTCTCATGTGCAGACTGAATCAAGCCGAGTCTGCAATTTTCTTTTAATTCTGTTGTGATTAATGCCTCTGAGGGATCACTTTATTTCCAGAATTTTGAAAATGAAAACTCAAGAATTCTTTTGTTCAGAAACATTAAATGCTAAATTTTTTTTCAGAAACAATAAGTGCCAAACTCCTTTCAGAAGCATTAAATACCAAATTCAGGTCTCATAAAAAAGTCAAAGCTAAAAGTGTTAAAATGGTCTGTTAAAGCATATATATCGTGGTCTTCATTTAGAATATATTTCAATGTGATTCCCCTTTAATCACATGATTGATTTTTAAACACAACCAAGTCCATCAGACTTAAGAGAACCCAGAAAACCATAATTACTACAAGACGAAGTGTGGTGACAAAAAATCATACTGAATTTAATTGCTCCTGGTCCTGATTAACTAATATTATCTAATATGATTATTTTATTTACAGAGAAGAAGGATGCTCTGTAATGCTTCTTTACAATTTCGAATGGTAAGTATTAGAAATAAACTTCATGTTTCTGATACTAACAAAAACTATAAGAAACATAAATAGCTCATAACTATTTAATTTCATATTGGTGGTTGCAAAAACATTCTTTCCATTTACCTTTTAAGAATCAGATGCGGCTAAGACTTAATATATATTTTCAGGCTCTCCTGCAGTCCTAGGGTACCTGCAGTTTTAGTCATCGTTTTATAAGAAAATACACCTAAGCTTCTTGTATGAAACTGCAATATCCTCAGTATAAGCATATCGCATTGCCAAGAAGACCTCTACAAATGTTTTTTCATTATACAATTGCTTTGAAACTTATGAGAACCCCATTCGTAGAAAATACTCTTCAGTTCTTTTCCTGTTCTTAACTCATCTGTCACACTGACAAGGTGATTTTTTGTGACACCGTGTTGCCTGTCGTCCGACAGTCTGTTCGTTTGTGCGTTAGCTTTTTCATTCAAATGACATCTTCTCCAATACCGCTTGGCCCAATTTAATGATATTTGGCAGACATGTTTCTTGCATGACGCTCTACCAAAGTTGTTAAAAAATTAAATTATTTGAAGAACTCTGGTTGCCTTGTCAAAAGAGTTCTTTGAAAAAAAAAACAAAAAATATCTTCTTGTCAAAAGCCAGAAGGTATAGAGCTTTACTGTCAAAAACCACAAGACGTAGAGCCTTGATATTTGGTATGTATCATGCATGATCTAGTGGTCCTCTTAAAAAATTGTTCAAATAATGCCCTCAAAAATTATTCGAATAATGTCCTTAGGATGAAAAGGGTTCCCGCTAGGAGGCTTGTTGATTGTTACCTCACCTGTCACCGATCAGATCTTTGGGAAACCTTTGTAAAACTGAGATCATCTTTTACCCAGTTCAATTGAAACTAAGAATGTTTGTCTTCACAAAATACAGGCATATACCCATGCCACAGGTCAGCGACCCAGGGCCCATGTGCCCTCTTGTTTTTCTACATTTAGCTATTGTGATATGACAGTTTCTGATGTCAGTCTTCCGGGCATAACAATCTTAATTTAACAACTCCTTCTAAATTGCATGGCCAATGATGATGGAACAATAATGGGGTGATAAAATGTTATTCTTTATAACAAATTGCTCATTTAATTCCGGTTGGCAAAACAAAATGTCTGTTGATAATTTAGGTATCTTCATAAAATTGTACTAATAGTTTGATGGCTGTCACAGCTTAAAATAAAAATAAACTTTTAATCAAAAGTTTACGTGAATCGCTTGATAGAATTTGCTGAAACTGTACAGAAATTATTCTTAAATAATTCTTTACTTAACATGCATAAATGGTTCTAGACGTTTGAACAAGATAGCCGCTTTAAAGCTTACTATAACAATTTGAAAGAACTTAAAGGGAACTACACATCAACTTCTTGATATAGTTTGGCAGCAACTATCTAGAATTAGTCTCTGGCAAGCGAATCTTGAAATCTGTCCTTTTATTTAATTTCCAAATAATTTGTTATCTAAACATAACTTTTAGGATATTGACTTGAACATTTAGATAAAATATGCTCTGGGTTCGAAATCACTCGATAGACTTTTGATTCTTTAAAGATCACTCATACATAAATGATGCAGGGTTGATTGTTACTTCAGCTGCTATGATGCTTTATACTATTAGGACGTTAATGATAGTAGTGTTTCCCAACTCATCCGACCCCGCATCTGAAAAACAAAACATCAAAATTAATATGTCAATTGGAAAAGTACAGTCATCAAAAATCATACATATTGCTTCTGATTCTGATTTACTTCAACTATTTTAATTACAGGCAGATTCGGTTGAATATGGAGAATATGAATCATGTGAAGAATATTCATTTGCGGTAAGTTTAAGAAAAATAAATTGGAATAATTATAGCAAAATTCTTTTCAACCCTTCGATTATGTCGTCCTACAGAAATATATAAGTTTAAGGCGTTTTATTCAAATTTTGAATACTTTAAGGTATTAGGACCCTAATGGGCACTATCAGAAACTAAAAAATTGACATCATAGGTCAGATGTATACCTTAAAGTACACCTGTATGCAAAATTTAAACAAAGTTTACCGTACGGAAATCAAGTTATGGCCACTTTTCTGGACTCAAGCTAGAATGTTATGAGGGCACTTTTTTAGATATGCGGAACCTTTACATAATCTGCAATAACATTCTTATGAAAAATGTTTTCCCATTAATTTTTGGTAAGAAACAAATAGTACCATTCAGCTAACAATCCTCATAAGCAAAATTATGGTTTCTACTTAAAATTTATGAAATCTGTATAAAATGTTACCCTACCCCACCCATTTTTTATCACGTGTCTGACCATTTTTCTACTTAGGGAGCCTAATTTAAAAAATTCTTAAAATTTACCCAAATGAGTGCCTGTTTTCAAAGTTTACTTAAATTTTTAAAAAGGTATATTGGTTGATCTTATAAAATATGAATTACTTTTACCGTCTAGTTTTGATTATATTACACTTTGAAAATATCAGGTACCATATTTATTACTAGATTAAGCATAATTTAGCCAATAAATACCTATATAAATTAAAAAATCTAAATTAAACACTTTTTTCTTTCCAAATGGGACATGAGAGATACATAAGTAATGTTAAAAGAAAAAAAGAAAGAAAAAAAAAGTTGACTCTTTGGGGATTGAACCCATGGCCCCTCTTTTTCAATGTAGTCAACAGTCGTTCTAGCCTATTTGAATACTCTTCAAAGCGGAGGTAATGCATTAGGGTGCTAATACCGTAACATAGCACATTATAGGTACTATACCTTTCAATAACTGAAACCTGGCTGTCCCTAGTACATTTTTACTCTTGTAACGACGACCTGCAGGATGTTTTTTCAGGGAAGGAAAGAGGCAAATGTCACAGGATGCCAAAAAGAGCAATTAAGAATCCCTAAAGAAAGTCCAAAACGGCAGGAAGCTTATTTATGTAGGAGATAATTTCGAAGGGTTGAAACGGATATTGTAAAATTATCTTTTTGTTAAATTTCATGATCATATTGCACTTCATATTGATCCAGTGCCTTGTTCTACTTATGCATCAGTCTGGAAATAATTTTATGGGGTTTTTTTGTAGATGAAATTACAAATATTGCAGGCTCGGTTTGATTGAGCCTATTAATCGACAGTAATGCCAAGTAAAATCACCGTCCATGCCATGAAGCACCGGACCAAGCACATTTCAGCATTAAACATGAAATGGCAACATTTTGAATTAAGAAACATTAGAAATTTATCAATTACTGTGGATGTTTAAGGGCTGGCACTTTTTTTTCTGGAAAACAATCCATTACTGTTAGAGTAATTCAAGTAGAAGAAGCGTTGCCATGCGAAAATATATTAAGCCTTTTATATCAGTGGATCAGACACTAACTTTATTGAAATTTTTTTTTTTTTTTCATTTTTTCTCATCACGAAATTCTTTTACCCCAATCTTTTCTTTTTTTCACTTGCGAACTAGCGTTACATATTGGAACCAGATTTCATTACAAGTCATCATATAATAAAACAGAAACTGTCATATTTAGGAAACATTTTCAGTAGTTTTCGAATCCATTTAACTCGCTCCTTCTGATTAATTGTTAGAAAATTGCGTATCCATCTTGCAGTTATTTGCCCAACTTCTTAAGAAATCGAATAAGTTGACTCTTTTAATATCTCTGCGATATTGACCGTCTGGGTAAATGAAAGTCTGCCATTTTTGTCAATGATTAGCTTGACTTTATGATTTTGGTTACTAGAATGGTGCATTTTCCAACAGACTTAGGCATATTATTGACTTGTGTCTATCTTTTATTCTAAACAACAACCACAAAACAGTTGCATATTACGATACTTATATGTTGCCATAGATATTATAAAATATCATTCAAATATTTATAGCAAAGTTTTGCTTGAGCTTTAATGTAAAAACATGCCCATTTGTTAGTACTGTCACTTTACTGTTTATCAGCTATATTGTACTTGAGATTACTTGTGTCAGTTTTTTAATGTAAATGGAATTCTTATTCGAGTGTTGATAGCATTTAAAAGCGGATACTTTGATGCACAGCATAGATTACACAAACAAAATTACAAGTTAAATGTTGATGCTGCACATCAAAGACGCCGTCAAATGATGTGAACAGTCACGGGTAATGTACAAAATCAGAATTGAAAATCGTTCTCTATTACAGTTGAACATCCGAATCACTTTTTATTTTTTGCTAGCCAAAAGTCTAGCAAGGACACACTGTATTGGCTAGCCGTCCGGCACGTTTCAAAATTATATGGAAGAAGAAAATGCATATGTTATTTTATGACTTTAAGCAAGGATTTTAACCAAGAAACAGCAATTGCCTTCGTATGTTTACTTTTTAGAGATTAATCGTATTTTGGCTACAGTAAAGAAAGTACGAATATTGATCTTTGTCATCTCAAACGTCGAGAAAGCAGAACGATTGGTTGCAGTTAAATAACATCAATTGAAATAGTTTACACAATTTTTTGGTAATAGTCCTTTCTTTCCGCTGTGTCCGTAGCGCCAAAATAATCTCCGTTGCATATTTAAGTGATGCCTCTTGTTCCCTGTCCGTCATTAGATTATAGACGGGTGTCAACGGGTTTTAGAACGATCGACTATAGACTGGCTCATTGGCACGAAGATAAAATAAGATAATTATAAAAAGAATATGATATTCAAACATGACACTATCATTCAGTTTAACGTTTATTTTAATCCTTTAAAGCTCTGTGACATGATGTACATCAGAAAAGCTAAATTTATTAGAAAATTTGAAAACAATTTGATTTTGTTTAAGCATAAAAAAATTCCCAAAATCAAGTCTAATATTTTCCCCATTGCTATACGGACAAATGCATATCTACTAGACGGCACGTGCGTCTTATAGGTTGTTTTACAAAATCTGCTTTATATTTCATTACCTATTGACACCCTTTGTAGACTTAAAATGAAATAGAAAAGAGAATATTTAGAGAAACAATAATGCAAAGGTAAAGTCATACTAAGAAGTCAAAGTTTAAAATGTTAAAAAAATCTCTTATAGAATTTGTTCTGTGTCGATTCTTCACTTACAATATACATAAGTTTAAGCTAATTTCCTCTTAATTTCTTGATAGTTTTTGAAACCTTTACAGAATCCTTAAACAACAAAGAGTACAACTGGAAGAACTGCAGTGACAAATATTCATACTGAATTGAATTGCTACCGGTAATGATTTTGATAAATTTCTAATTAAATGAAATCTTCTGAATTACAGAGTAGAAGGATGCTATGTGGTGATGGGATGGAAGCGGTACAGAGGGTATGGAAGATATATTTAAGAAATGAATTTTAATTTGCTTATACAAACAAAAGAACTATTGTACTGCATATTGGTCGTAACACGAATTTTTTTATCTGTTTTCATTTACCTTCAAACAATCAGCTGCTGATAAGACATAAATATAATTCATTTTGTATAACCCTCGTGCGGTGATCTCGACTTACTCGCCACTTTTGGCATGTTGTTCGGTGTATGTGCGTCCATTCGCTAGTCCCTACGTCCGTTCGTGAGTCCGTCCGGATTTGTTTGGTCTATATCTTGTTCAGTCTTTGATTTATTACAAAATTAATTTGTATGAATGCTCAACATAATGGGATTGTGTATCACACACAAAACCTAGGTCCATGGCTCAAAGATCAAGGTCATAACCTCAGATCCCCTTTCAAAATGCCACTATATTTAGTTCTGCCCATTGTTTTCTTGTTTAGGGCACACGCATTTTTTTACTTGAGGACAATACGCCGCTTTTCATGGAATAGCACTACTGTGTCAATTTGAAGGTTCCATGTACCGCCGTATTAACACATCTACGGATGTTTTCTAAATTCAAAATTTCAACATTTTTGTTTTAATGTTGAATTCTGCTTAAGCCGGTGCTAGGGGGCGTGGACAGTTACTTGCACTTTCCAGTACCTTCCATGAACAGACTCAATTAAACCGAGCCTGCAACATTTTCATAAGTGACTCTGCACTTTTGGGTCATTGACTGCATAGTCTTATATAGGATTTTTTTCTAAAAAATCTTCTTCTCTAAAAAATATAATTCCTAGAGCTAGACCTTTTAAGTAATGACATTTAATTTATCTGATTACATTTGTGACGTATGTCAATATATTTTGTTTTAAGCCCTTTCCTTACTGAAGCAATTTGTTTGTTTACATGTACATGTTGTTTAAAGTACTTTTAAATCTATGAGTTAAGGTTGTTATATATCTTACCTTATAGATGGTCTTTGCATTAAACTGTACACAATTATGTAATTGGATATTGTATGTTGTAAATAACAGTAATTAGAGCTAAACGTAGGTTTTACGGTATAGATAAGTTTACTGTCTGAAACTGCGGTAATAGATATCAGATATTTGGTGCGATCCAACGTCTCTTGGATCTCTTCTTGAATTATTTATCACATTTTGCGCTGTCTTTGTGGTTTCTTGATAGACATACACTTGTATATATGTAGGGGAAATATGGAGACAGCGTAACCCCGCGGAAGCATCAACCGCAACAAAATTAGTAAAAATTGCAGATTCGGTTTGATTGATTTTATACATGAGGGCTAATGAAAATGTACAACATCCCTCATGCCTCCATCACCGGCTTGAGCGATACTTAATTCTCAACACTTAAAAGTGTTGGAATCAATGATTGCGAAGGACCAGAAAAAAAATGCTTTTCAAGATACTTTTCTCTTAGTTTTTAAAAAAATTTAATGTTATAGTAGCATATCATGATGCTCTTCTTTATTTTTGTTTACATCATTATCATAAGTTGAGCTTGGTGGGCTCGTTAGGATTTAAATAGACTTTCATCAAGTAAGCTGTTCATTTTTAGAATGATACCTGTTCATATTAACCTTGTATTAATTGATAAGTACATTAATTTGCTGATTCTTTTACTGATGTCTTTCCTTCTAAAGAATTAATTCACTTATATCTATTTGTTTACTTATAGAATAATTAAAGGTTTTTATTTTAGATATTATAGCCACTGATTTAAGTTGACTTTGATTAATTTCTAATGATTAAATCAATTATCCTTTTAATTACAGATGGCGCATCGTTCAGAAAACAAGAATAAGTTTAATGCTACTGCCATTACTTATGTAAGTATTTTAAATAAATTTCAGATTGCTTATATAAGAAAAGCTTTAAAACTTGAAAAACATCTTAGTGCCGTAGAAGATTTGACAAACAGTAATAATTAGAAAACAATTCAGACACATCGATCTGCACATGTGTCGTAATTTTAAGGTACATAATAAATAAAGAAATTAACATTATTGCAAATACAATATTATTTACAAAGATTGTTGACAGATTATATGACCCAATATAAACAGTATTTGTAAATATAACCCGAGCCTCGAGGCGACGGGTTATATTGCAAACAACCGATTATATACGGCCATATAACCTGTCAACAATCATTATAACGAATTTATAATACAGCAAGCATCGTGTTTAAGAGAAAAAAGTAAGATTTCTTCATGAATCTACAGCAACCGTGTATATAAAACTATATTTAACGTCACGATTATCCAATGAAAAGCGACGTTACAAACGTGCAGTATTATAATGTAAATTAAAAACGTTAAAGAAAGCTCTGTAAAGACAGATATTATAATATTTTAACATAATTATCACTATAAATGTATACATTATTATTGTGAAAAATAATATTGTCTATATATATAGATGAGCATAATAAAGATGAGCTAATATAGTTTATATCTCATCTTAATTCTCAGTGTTTGTGTTCATTATTTTCCCAGTATAAATATACTGCTAGTTTCTTTGTGTAATTGACACGTTTTTCAACTTGGTACATACATGTTTTAATTTCAAAGGACAACTGGCATTCTTTATTTCATACATGTAGTTGATATATGATAAATATAAAATTGTCGAGTCAAAATATTTTATCTTTTACATTTGTAAATATTTAAAATAAAACAAACAAAAAACTTTGTTATTTGAATGTAGCTTTGATTGTCAAGGACATTCTTAAAAGGTTGAAAAGTTACTGTGCCTCTAAGTGTTCTGATCTCATTTCCAGAGAATAATAAGGTGACAGAATTTATTCAATGATTTCTGCTTGTTTACTAATAGAATAATTATAGGTTTGTATTATGTATTACAGTCACTGATTCAAGTTGACTTTGATTTATTTCTTATGATTTAATCAATCTTCCTTTTAATGACAGGATGAACGACAGGAGAATTGTTCAGGAAACAACAATGGGTTTGATGCTATATGTGAAGCAAAGGTTTCAACTAATGTAAGTGTTATGAAATAATTTCAAATTACTTTTATTTGTAAAGTTTAATACTTTGAAAAGCATCTCAGTGCTAGGAGATTAAAAGACAGCAATATTTAGAAAACAATTCACAGACATCGACCTGCACTTGTGTGATATTGTCTATAAATATAGATTAGCATATTATAGATGAGCTAATAAAGCTTTTATCTTATATAAAGTCTTAGTGTTTGTGTTCTTAATTTTTTTAAATTAAAATATACTGCTTGTTTCTTTGTGTGATTGACACATTTTTCTTACTTGACACAAACATCTTCCAATTTCAAAGGACAACTATAATTCACTATTCTTATAATTGTTATATGACAAATATAAAAATGTCGAATCAAAATATTTTATCTTTAACATTTGTATATATTTAAGAAATTATTTGCTCATGCTGATCCTCCAGCTCTAAAAACAAAAAGTAAGAAAAAAGCCAGGTTATTTGGATGTGGTTTTCCATTGCCAAAGATATTCTCAAAAAGGTTTAAAAGCAAGGGTGCATCCAAGTGTTCTGATCTTACTTCTAGACCAGGTGAGATTTTCTTTTCATGTGAATATTTACAAAAGGTATGATCCAGTTAATTTGTTGAAATAAAATGAAATTAATGTAGTAAATAATTGTGTTAAATGTGGTGACGCCACTTTACTATGCTAACTATACTAGTAAGGTGTATTATCATCATTATAACAACCATGCAGTCTGACTAAAATAGGCTCCATCAACATTTTCAGTTTTGATGTTTGGACTTTATGTTATTTTATTTGGTTTCATTTCACCTTTTCACTGCGGGTCATTAAGCTTTAGGTTTTTGGATATTGAGACCCTTTAATCCTCGCTATTTTATTATCTGTAATGGACAGGGCTAATTTTCAATTTTGGACAAAACCATTTATCACTTTAAGATAACATTCAAAATAATTTTAACTGAATAATGAATAGTGCAGACCATACTCAGCACGCACAAAAGTACCGACTGATCATGTCAACATTAGGCTGTTAGGTAAATTTAGTTTCCGTCAGCAGGTTTAAGGTTTGTATTTCAGTGACCTGTGCCATATTCCAAACATGGTCAGTCAACAGAATACAAATTCAGTTTAATAAATGTTTAAAGAAATTGATCATTCAAATCCAGTATTTCTGTTTTTTAATTTTTTATTTTCTCATCTTTACAATATTTTTAATATTTGTTGGGACTGAAATTGCATTGAATGTTCTGTCTCTTTTCTCTTGTTTGACGGTTATGTTGCTCCAAATGTAAATGCCCCTGTACCTGAATGTTGAAAGTTTTACTTTTTTAAATTATATAAATATTGAAAAGAATTTGTCGTATGTAATGTTTACTTTGATACAAGTATATGTATAAGTAGAGAGTACAATATTATTAATGGGAAGACTTACGGTGTCCTATTTCGTCCACAAACTTGATATCTGTTTCTTTAACCTAGAAGATTTTGCAGATTGAAGTTACATGTATATGCTATACGAAGCAATAAGGTTATTAAAAAGCTGTCTTTTTACAGAACACTATATTTTCGGGTTTTTTTTGTTGTTGTTTTTTTGTTAAATAAATAATATTTTTAAAGATGTCATTAAAACGTTATACACATTTTTTGATATTCTGCATTTCGGCAATTTCTAATAGTATTGAAATTGATAAGCTAGTTGTCTTCTTAACAACCAGGTGTAGATCTAAATGCTGAGTGGAGGAACATTTGTTAGCTTACTTGCATCAGGTTTATGGTGTTAATGTTAATAGTGTTTACAAAACAAAACATGTGGCCAGTTATTATGTGGCTATGGTAACTCTCTTTAAATCAAGTAACCCTCAAGTTACCCTCATCGCTTTGGGTTCAAATCGTGTCAAGGACTGTAGATTCTTTCACTTATAGAAAGTATCTATCAACTTTGCTTATAGCAGGTCAATGGTTTTTGTCAGGTGATTGCTTCAGCCTGAGATTTTGCATGGAGTTAACACATGAACTCTCCTTTAACCTTTTACGTAGGGATATTACTGAATGACATAAACATTGTCTTAGTAATTTAATACCCAACTGAATAACAAAACAGAACAAGACAAAGAATTGCAGGTTAAAATATAATTATACAAATATCTTAATATGAATATATATGAAGCATAGAATTATGTTTTATAGATGAAGCTAATAAGATAGACAATGCAAATCTTAAAATAAAGTTGTATGACGGTGAAACCAATCGCACAGAAGAAGACAAGGGTAATAGAAAGTCCGTGGAGGATAATGATAGTGCACCTCGAGATAACACTAGGGAAAATAGTGCTGAAAATGTTACTGGTTCAGGGGAATCTACAAGTCAACAGAAAGGTAATTTTATTTTGGACAGGTTCTCAAAGAATAGCATGATGCCGTAAATTTATATGTGCAACCCTATTTCTTATTAACTATTTAAGATATTTTTGCTTAACTGCATAAATGTTGTCACAGTTATTTTCAACTTACCACTAAGATTGTTACCTGTCAATCTGATAAAATGTTAGTTTGTTTGAATCTTAAATGACATCATAATCTACAGGTAAGTTGTGGTGTAATGACCATTCATTAATTTACGATGAACAGCAAAGACATCCTTGGTTTACAAAAAAAATAACTACAAAAGGTCACTTTAAAATGAATGTAACTGTAATATTATTTATTATATTAGTCTAAGATATATATCAATAAAAATATGGTTAGATCTTTTATTAACCAGGGTTTATTTTGGAAAATCCTGGTTATTAAATTTGAAAAAAAAAACGGCTGGCGTTCTGGCGGAAGTGCAAGTGCATTCCGGTATGAATGAGATATTGAAATCAAACTTGGTATACAGAAGGCTTATGTAATAACCTCGCTGTAAATTGCTATGTGGTCTATATGGCCACTGTAAAGGCGACCGCCAAAGTATCTATTCTGTGATTATGGGATTTTCCCCCAGGTTAGTTAAGAAACCATTTAAAGACATACTAAATTTTTCAAGATACAACTACGAAAAAAATTTTATTATGTTTTCTTTTGTTGTTTCATTTTGCGCTAGAAATTGGTATAAATATCCAAATTATGATATAATTATAATTCTGTATTTAGTCTTAATTCAACACATACCATACATAATTTTATTTTCTGTGAGTTTTATATTGGTTACTTATAATACACATTTCAGCTTCAGGGAAAAGGCATGTGGTTTTTGACCTTTTTGTGGCTATGACATTGTAATGGATTCGGTTAATAGTTGGACTGTTTAAAAAACCCGTTTTGAGTAATTCCAATTAGACCTTGACTTTTTATATTCACCTTATTAAGCATTTTGGTAAGACAAAAACTGAGAGTATGGACCAGCTTGTAGTGGCTATTGTTAAGAACTTGGTTTCATAGCATTGCCATGTTTCTTCTTAACATATAAAATATGATAATATATGTACAGCTCACAAATGGAATTGTCGAGTTAATTTTTAAAGTATATTCTTTCTGATCTGTAAGATTTCAATTAAAATGTTTTTTCTCTCTTTGTATCATTACATTAACTAAACTAATACACCAAATTTATTTTCTTCAAAATCCTTAGGTGCTTCAATCATGTGGTTTGTATCATTCAGAGGGGGATATAAAATCAATAGACTTGCTTATTCAAAAATGTTTTGGTTCATCATAAGAGTTGTGCCGGGGGGAAATACTTGAGTCACTGGATCACGTTTTGCAAAGCAAAATTCCTCCTAGATATTAAGTTTAATGGTCATTTGTTTCTCACTGCTTATTCATAATTCATGTACGATAAGTGGTCAATCACTTGCAGGGACTTTTGTAATTACTGGTTAGATATCTAGGAAAACCAGTAAGCTGGATCAATGGCTGATTCATGATAAAATTGGCATAAAGGCCAGAAATACAAGCGAAAGGCTAGTAAAGGAAACATAATCATAAAAACATCTTTGTCTCATAGTTGATATTAATTGATTCAGTCACTTCAATCACTTATCAGTTTATGTCCCTCAATTTTGAATTATAAGTTAGTATCACATTAAGAGTTGGAGATCTTACTGGCGTCTATTTATTTTATCAGGTGATCATATGATATCAGTGATTGGTTTACAACAGTTACGCGGACAGTGGAATATGTCGGATCAGCTGTTACAACTACTTGATGTAACGAAAGAAGATGTGGTGGACAAATTAACATTTTCTAAGGTAGTATTATTGGTTAGTTTAACTGCTAAGTAATATTACAAGAATATGATCTCCTCATTAACCTATGTGATGATGATGTGTTATTGTAAACTAAATTTTGTTTTAAATATGTATATCCTTTGCTGTAATTAGATAAATTATAGTTAATTAAAGCAACTATTATTTAGTCTAAAAATGGTATGGTAATTGTTTAACGTTTGAGGGACATCCGTGGCCGAGTGGTTAAGGTTTTTGCCTTCAAATCAGTTACACCCGTTACCACTGAGGTTTTGCGTCCCGTCAGGGACTTGGTATTTTTATCATGTGAGGAATCTATGTAGCTAGAATACGGGATGTGTACGGTGGTTCTACTAAGGTGTCTGTTCATACTTGGGGTACTTGATGTATTCTTGCACCAGTGTAACTGAAAAGTTTTCATGCAACTTTGACAGTATTAGTGAAACATAAAACCGAACAAAAATGAAATTTGGACCTTGTAATGACTTGTATAAAGAGACATTAGATTCACCACAATTTAAGATTTAAATTACAAGAAGAGGAATGAGTAGAGATGTTTATGTTATCTCGATAGCATTCTAAAATTTTGCAAATTAGTTTTTATATCAAATCAAAGATAGACCATCAGTCTTGCAGTTTACATATGCAAACATCAGATGTTATTCAGAAATTATGACCCATGGAAATTGTTAATTCTCGATGTTTATGATTATGCTTTTATGTACTTCTGATGAATTTTGTTAAGTTTGTTACGAATTGTTAAATTTTGTATTTCATAAATTTTGAACTCTCTATGTCTAGGATTCTAGTGTTGTTTGTACAGTGTTGGTTCTTGCTTGGTTACGTAAACAGTTTTCACAAAGACAAGAAGAGTGGCAGATGATAGAAGCAAAAGCACTTGCCTGGATATCTTCTCAAAATCCAAGCTTTACATCAGAGGAACACATTAAACACACAACAGAAGTGATGTGGACCAAGTAATATTGTTCATACATGTATATATAGTCATATGTATAGAGAACTTATCTCGTGTTGTAAATTCATATGACACATTTATCAAAATAGTACAACAAAATGTTTTTGAGCAATCCTTTTTTGGGTGAGCTTAATAATTTTTCCTCAGACAAGATTGAGAATATGTCATATATCACACTTAAGAAGTTTACTGCAAAATGTGAAAACTTTCCGGCTTCGATTAGTGATGTGTATCTAATTTAAGAGACTTTTTAAATTTCTTATGCCTTATAAGTATAATCAGAGCAATTTCTGACTGTTTCATTGTGCATGAAATGACGCACATATAGGATATGATTTCAGACGTTCGACGGCTTCACGAACACTAAGCAAACAAAAGTAATGCAATTTTTGAGTCATCATTGCAGAATAACTGTGAACGGTTTTAGAGAAATAATTATATTTAAAACGAGAAACATGTCATTTAGAACAAAACGCAACATTAACTTTTGTATAAATTTTGTCAAAACAAAACATAAATAAAACGTACGTCAAATAAAGTTCGGCAGAACTATAACACCCAGTATCTAACTGGTTAGCATAAAATACTTGTGCTTTTTATCTGATTGTTGAAATTTTAGTTAACTTTACTTTCGTGTGAACAATAAATTAAGTGTTGCATAAAACGTTTAACATACAGGCAATCCATTAAGTTTTGATAAAGTGTTATTCCCCAAATAATTTCCAGCTTCATTTTTTGATCTTTTGATGTAACTAAAATGTTCTTTACTCGTAATCAGTAATTTTAGTGTTGTCATTTCATCATTCTACATTTACTGTAGCTGTAAATAAAGATAGGTATTTCACATGAGTAATGAAAAGGAATTATTGTAACATTTACATACCACTTCTTGCATTGAATTGGTCCACTTAAATATAATTATTTATTCTTAACAATACAGATTATATTCTTTTCTATCAATACATTTTAGAAAGAGATGGTGAATGAACTTATTCTATATAGTATTTTGGATGGTGCTTTGTTATCTGGTTTAACGAAGTCATTACCCAAATATTTCCAGATCGTCGTACAATGTACGCACCACCTCCTCGTGTATTTATTTAATGTAAGGCATATTATATAGGTAAATCTTAATTCATTTCATTCTTTGCTTTATAACCTAATTAATAAGATGCAATGTGTCACTTTTCCCAAGCTCATTATTTCTATTATATTGTGGACTCGTCATTTATATGTATTATTATTAATATATTGCATAAGCACAATTCAAATTGTTCATGTTACGATACTTATGATATTTGTACCAGAGATCAAGCTTCAAAATGGCATCTAATCATTAGTTGCAATGATTGTGGGTATACATAGTTTTCTTCTTGCTTACAAAAGAGTCTATGAAAGTGTATGCTAGAGTTACATGTCGACATGTAGCAGATTGAAGAGTTCATAATTGAATACATTGTATATTTTAACTTTGCGTGATCTAAGAATATGATAACAGAAACATTTTAAGCTAAACGAAAGGGGGCTTGTTTCCATGAATTTGATTTACTTTTGTAATTTAAGGTAATTTCAAGGAAAGATATACAAAAATTTTACAAATCTTGTTGTTACTATTTGCTTGTGCTTTACATTATATTACCTTGGTCACGTTAGAAAATTTTATGGTATCTATTCATCATTTGTGTTCCCTTCATTCGTTTTAAGTATGGATTCATCATATTAAGAGATTTACTAAAAAGGCCAATTTTGTAAATGATATCAATTAACTAAAAAGAGATATCACGCAAACTACTCATTACCAATGGTTGAAATTTTGCACAATCACCCGAGTGGAAGTCATCATGAATTTTCTGTCAAATCAAATTCAAGAGCAGATAAATAAAAGAATAATGTAAGTGGCCATAACTGTTTCCGCTTAAACTGTTTCTATTGTCATATTGTAGGATCATGCAAAGTTTCAATAATCTTTATATTGTTTTTGTTTTTATTATTCTGCTATATGTGTATAATAACTATAACAACTTTACAGTGTATAATATGTTTAATAGTAAGACGTTCTTTATTGAAATCTATTTAATATAGTTATGTATATTTTTGTTAAATTCATAAATATGTTTGCTTGCTTTATGCCTCGTTTTCTTGGCTGTGTTTAAAGAATTTTCTATATCTCTGTTTCATATCATGCAAATTAATTTAGAATATTTTAAAGAGCAACTTTGCATTTGGTTGTTATTGCATGCAATACTTATGACATACTTTTGAAATCATTTGAAAGAGTTCTTGGTTATCGTGAGCAATTTGTATAAATAGCAACAAGAGCTATTATTTGCATGCCTTCTTGAAAATCAGGAATTGTTTTTGATTTTTCAATTTTTGCTGATATGTATGTTTAAGATGCTAGGTTTATTCAGTGGTTTGCTTTTGGAATGGAAAGAAAGTCACTCTTTTAGAAACAAAAGCGTGATCAAATATCATTGATTGTGTCTTTTTCCCGTTTTGCTTTTATAACTTAAGGCCCTGTCACACTAGACTGCGCTTTCACTGCGTTTGCACGGCGTTGTTAAATTTAACAAAGCGCCGCGAGATCGCAAGAAAAATCTGATATTTTTGATGACATTGAGACTTCACTGCGTCTCCATGGCGTCCTCACGGCAATCATGGCGTTGCTACGGAGCTCCCAAGGCGTTGCAATGCGTTCTTACGGCGTTTTCATTGGCGATTGTCTGCGTTTCGACTGCGCTTCTACTGCGTTCTTTGCGCTTCCACTATGCTTTCACAGCGCTCACACGGCGGTCTTGCGGCGCTCACACTGCGCTGAAATCGTGCTTCACATACAAGCGAATACTCATTCTGAATAGTTGTGTACCTGCTGCACCTGCATGCAAACAAGCAATATTCCAGCTTGCTGCCGTTCATCATCAATGGTTAAAAAGATATTCACGTTCTATATATACAGTGAAAACCCTCAATTAAGACCACCAAAGGGACTGCAGTAAAGTGGTCTTGATTGCGGGTGGTCTTAATTGTGGATATAATTAATTATCAAGGCATATCTATTTCATGACCATTCTTTTTGAATTATTATGTATAAACATGTTCAAACAATTATATTATAACCTTCAAATATTACTATAAACTGATGTTATAATATTTATTAATCCTAATTAGAACATTAATCTGATGATATTTAATGTATAAATTATATTTAAAGGTCTTGTTTCATGTACATAATTCACCTTTTAATTAAGAAATTAATTTGTCACAAAAATATGCAGAAAGTAACATTAAACCAATCTGAAGTTTAATGTCTTACCTTTATACAATATTCTAATCATAACAGTTTTAACACATTGTTTTAAGTGTCATGCTTGCAGATGAATAACAAAAAACTTGTTATCTGAAAAGGTATTTACTTGAATATCAGTAGTCGGGTTAGGTAAATAAAACAATGAATTGGGACTAAAGCTGGTGGCCTTAAATGTGGATAAGTGGGGTAGTCTTAATTGTTGATCATGTTACCATTAACATTACAAACAGAAAATTCTTTTCTTTAAAAATGGGTCTAAATAGAGGGTTGGTCTTAATTCTGGGGTGGTCTTAAGAAGGGAATCTACTGAACCGTATTCTGCAATTTCAGATGAACGCAGTAGAAAAGCGTATTGAGTGCGCAATGGTCGCCGTGACAGTGCCGTAGGGTCGCAGTAAGATCGTTTTAGAAAAAATAAAGCTCCGTAAAAGCGCCGTACACACGCAGTATAAACGCAATAGAGACGCCGCACAGTCTCCAAACAAGCGCCGTGACTATTTACGCCGTTTATTCGGCAACCCTTCTGCGCTCTTACGGCGCTCCTGTTGCGTTGTAGGAGATGTTACTGAGTTGCTACGGCGTCCTTACTGCGATCCCACAGCGCTCTTTTCAGAACGCCGAGTGACGGCGTTTGTTTTGAGCTTGCTCAAAATGCGCGCCGTCGGTCGGCGTTCTATGCAATGCCACTGCGATGCTATGACGATATTGCGGCGATGTTTGCGATCCTACTGCGCTCACCCCAGCGTTCTGAATTTTCTTTGGACGCCGTGAGAACGTCGCCCTAGTGTGACAGGGGTTTTACTTTGAAGGGTACGCGCTTACTTGAACATTGTGGAATATGCAAGATGTAAATATTTCTAAAATGTGATTACGGATTCGTTAATTGTTGTAGATTGTTATATTTTGATTCATGAAAGATATTATTTTTATATGTTATCTTTGTATTTTCTTTCATATACATAACATCTTCATGTCAGTCTTGGGCTCGAAAGTCTTTGTGTAAACGTTTTTAATGTAGTTTTTTTTGTTTGAAGAGCTAATCATTATTATTATCACCAAGAAAAAGCAAATATCATGTTAATCTGTATGTAGGCTCTAAAATGAGAAGTATGTACATGTATAAATGTACAATGCAATTAATATTGTTTAAATCTAAGATAACAATTAATGGGGAAAAACATTGCAGGTAAAATGAACTGAAATAAGGCTCTAAAATGAGAAGTATGTACATGTATAAATGTACAATTCAATTAATATTGTTTAAATCTAAGATAACAATTAATGGGGAAAAACATTGCAGGTAAAAATGAACTGAAATAAGGCTCTAAAATGAGAAGTATGTACATGTATAAATGTACAATGTAATTAATATTGTTTAAATCTAAGATAACAATTAATGGGGAAAAACATTGCAGGTAAAAATGAACTGAAATAAGGCTCTGAAATGAGAAGTATGTACATGTATAAATGTACAATGTAATTAATATTGTTTTAAATCTAAGATAAAAATTAATGGGGAAAAACATTGCAGGTAAAAATGATCTGAAATGAAATTATTGAAGACGAATAAATTGTTCTGTTTGCGGTTAGCATGGTTAGTAGTAGCTTTTCCTATGCAAGTTACCAAGTTTGACTTCTTTAAAGATACTTTTTGTTTTAGTTATGGGCGAAGCCATTATCGGTGATCAATATTCCACTAAATAATTGTTTTTTCACGTGATCAACCACCATGATACCGAATGCAAACTTTAGGGTTAAACTTGTCATGCATGGTTCTTTGTATTTAATCTATTTAAACAAACTGCTATGTTACTGTTGCCAAAAACATAATTTACAAAAGGGGTTTTCGGAACTCCCGTACAGCAAATTCATATCTTAGCTTTAGCTTCATCACTGCAACAGCAAGAAGCATTCGTCTTTCAAACTAATATTTTTTATTTCATTTCCTTCAACAATAATTTGTTTACAGACATAAAGTCTATGATTAAAGCTGCACGCCTCCAGATCAGCAAAAAAATTTCAATAAAATCAAACCTGAAAAAAAATGTACTAAGATTTTAAGTGTAAAGATTCAAAGTTCTAGTAATAATTTCAATGTTATGTGCGATTAATGACCGATGTTTTAGTATTTATAACTAAATTTCTACTGCGTTACTAACGCAGTAAGGGCTATTTTTGCATATTTTGTCCTCTTTTTAGTAATTTACGTGGGTTGTAAGTGGCATAGATATTGTGTAAATTGCTTCCTTTTGGTTATTTCACTGAATAATACTTTTAAACACAATTTAAAAATTTTCATGAAAATTCGCATGAATCTGGTGGGGTGCCGCTTTAATAATTAAATTCACGGTGTTAATATTTGAGCCGCGTCACGACAAAACTAACATAGTGCGTTTGCGACCAGCATGGATCCAGACCAACCTATGCATCCACGCAGTCTGATCAGAATCCATGTTGTTCGCTATCAGTTTCTTTACTTGTAATAGAGTTGGTAAGCGAACAGCATGGATCCTGATCAGACTGCGCGGATACGCAGGCTGGTCTGGATCCATGCTGGTCGCAAACGCACTATGTTGGTTTTGTCGTGACGCGGCTCAACAACAATTTGATTACAGACATAAAGTCTAAGATTAAAAGTATATCGTGGTGCCATGAAGCTAGATCTGTAAATATATAAGTAACCATAGTTATACAGTTAATTATTTCAATCTACTGGGCCAATGATTGCATTACAAGCATTGTTCAGTTTTGACAAACAGTTACTTGCAAACAGTACATGTACCTTCATATAATAAACTTGCAAACCTTTTTAGAGAAAATAAAAGTTATCAAACTTTAATACATGTACAGTTTTTCAATGTAATCATGAGACTTACTCCAAATGCAATGCGTAACTACCATTGATACGTTCCAAGTGTTTATTTTTTGTGATGCCCTTAAATTATGATATATTTGTTTATATAATATTCATGGTTGCACAAGTTATCCTTACTTTTTGAAACAAATTATTTAAACTAACAACACGTCCATGTATTTGTTTATTGCATATATTCTTTACAGTACATGTTTCTATTACAAAGTTGAACTTCAAATGTTGTGATTTATTCTCCAATCATGGTACGAGTATCATTACCATACACGTTATTTTTATCTTATTAATTGAATAATTGTTATTTATTTAGCGACAGTGAGGTGAAAAATTAAATGTATTTTAACTTTTTATCAGTCTGCTGCCAAACAAGCAAATACTGGTGTAACAAAATCATTTTTAAAGAAAAATTCAAAAGTATGTGCTGCCTGAATAGCGAACAGTGTGGACCATGTTCGGATGGCACAAATGTACCGGCTGACCTAGATTGCTCTGGTGGCATTGGTGGCAGCATGTTTAAAGTGACATTATGCTCATATTTTCATAGTCAGGTTGAGCTGAATTGACTTTTTATTTCAAAAGATTGACTGTAAAAATAGTGTTTGACCAACAGTTTATTTTGGAAAATGTTTATGATAAAATTAAAAATCTGCCTAAAATATAAAAAGACTCTTTTTATAACTGAACGTTTCAGGTAAGTTCTAGTTGAAATTTACAGAAATTCCGTTTCAATCCGAGGGTTATTTATTGTTTATATAAGTAAATTATTAAATTAAAAGGAATTATGGTTATATAAAAACTTATTTTGATTTTCACCTGCTCACTCCCTGTATACCCTTGAATGAGCATAATGTCACTTTAAGGTTAAACATGCTTGTTACTGAATTTCGGGCATGGAACCTTAGAGTGACAGATACTGTAACCTCTAGACCACAACTTTCTAGACATAATATGATTGTATTCGATAAAGAGATCTAGCTGTTGTTGTTTTTTCTCTATATAAACTTATACTTCACATGAATAAACCTTACTGTTATCTTTGTTTTTCATTTTGCATTTATATTTCCATAAATTTGTCATATAGTATTTAAACGGATAAAGCGATTTGCACTTTATGATTCGGACTTGTTTATCTATGACAATGATGATGATTTTTTTCTATGTGAACATACAAGTATTCTTACTTGCAAGACTGTACCAAGCAAGAATCATACAAACATTTTAGGCCCATCAATGTATACATCGTATGCACCATCCCCTGTTGTACTAAATGATAATGAACACTAAATACAACAAAAACTTGATTGTGATAATGCAACAAATATTCAGAGTTATTTAAAATGACCGATCCCATTAAAATATCTTATAAACCCACAACACATTAACAGGAACATATGTGAAGATTCTAGCATTTTTATGCAATGCACAGCTGCACCTCTTTTGGTATGTATTTAATACTTTTGATTAATGAGCAGTCCTTTTTATGCACTTGGATAGATAGATCAAGAGTGGATACATGTTTCGGTCTTTTCTGTGTGTTTGTTTGTTTTTCTGTCAGTTTCGTTAATACTTAATCAAAGAGTCTGTAAATGATCAAGATTACTACAAACTTTGGTACTTGCATTTAAGACGTTTTCTCATTTTTAAAATAGCAAATATAATTATTGAATTTACTCCACCAAGGACCATTCCCACTGCTGCTATGTAAAATATCAAGTTATAGGATCCTGTTACGTCCACGCTGAACCCACCTAGATATCCCCCTATTACACTTGCTATACCCATGACCATGTGTTCAATAGCAAATGTCTTAGGATATTGTTCCGGACCTCGGAGATCGAGTAGTAAAGATGGTGAAAATGAAAATATCACGCTCGATGAGAAACCCCGAACAACCATAGCTAAAACCATGCCCCAATATACAGGTGATGCCACCACACTTACATGAGCCACTGCTAAAAACATGAACGCATAGCAGATATGTAATTCCGGGCGAGTGTTTGGGTAAAATTTCAAAATAACTGTACATATGATTCTGCCTAGAAATCCAAATATTCCGTTAAGTGATAGTAAAGTCACTCCTGACTGAGCTGCAAAGCCTTTAAGAACAGTGACGTCTACAACGAACCATTGCTCAACAGGACCTAATAGTACCAGTACAAATGACGCTAGTATCCAAACCATGAATGCACCGTCTGTCAAAAAACTCATAAAAGACTCGTTTCCACCTCTTCCATCTGATTTACGAAAATGTGTTTTGGAATAATACATAACAAGCCCACACGGTATTCCATTCAAATATGCAAACGCACTCAGAATTAGTAAACATCCGTTCCACGAGTATGATTCTATCAAAGCACTAGTGATAAAAGGATAGACAGTTTGTCCAATTGCTGAACCGAAAGTCAGAATACTAAGAGCAAATTTTCTGTTGTCTATAAATGTCCAATTTATAACAGAGTATGCCGCAAGTATGTTAACGCTTGTGAACAGACCCATGGCAACTCCAAGAAGAGCGATAACTGTACCAATATCACATGCCAAACTCCCACAAGCACATGCAATACCTCCAAACGCTGATGTGATCATAATACATGCCCCAGTATCATACTTTCTGACGATTTTCGTGAAAAGAACTGCGCCACCTGGATGAGATAAAACATATTAATATCATGTCAAAGCAGAAACTACTATGGTAGTAAGAGGAGCCAAGCCATTACACAGTTTAACAAGGGGCATTTGTTGCAATTCGCTTAAGGTCTCTAACTAGCCCAAAACCGCAATGGGTTCGGATCAGGCGACAAAGATTTGATTGCATGGAAATAAGCCATACACAGTAAACACTGAATAACTATATATGAGGCCCGTACGTCACCAAGTAGCATGTTTTGAGAAATTCCACAATTGTACTACATTCAGTGGAATTTTGTTGCAATTGTAATACAGAAATACTTTTGGAAAAATACAGAATCTGTTTTAAGATTTTTTGATAAGTTTACATATTAGATAGTGTGTAAGATTTATAATACGGTGTAAGTAACAGTAATGTTAATAAATTTATCTATGATTACATGAACGATAATACCTGAAGATTTCTATACATACCTAACATTATACCCACATACAAACTTTGAACAAGTGCTGCCTCTGATCGTAGACACTGGAACGCTGATATCAACTCCACATAAACAACTCCTAAAGCAGACATCATTCCAAAACCTGACATTGTGATATACATACACGCTGTCATAATTACAAAACCACGTAATGGTGACGTAGGCATCTTTTGAAAATACTGGTTATCTCCTATATTACCGTCTGCGGTAATACCGTCTGCAGAAACAGGTTGATTTGATGAAAACCTCCTTGTTTTATTCCCCGATATAATAACAGAAGTTTCCATTTTGTGATCATACGAATCATGTGTTACATTTTCGTTTTCAGAAATCACAGTCATTTTGATTTTAGTAACGGTGGAGATTCAAAATAAAATGAAAAACACATCCCTGTGTGACCTTTTCTACTTCATTTGCAGATTTCAACAATATCTTTCTGTCGAGTGTATGATGTTTATATATATAAATCTATATGCATTGGATATCTTATAATAAAGTTTCAAAATATTGTGCAATAGGTTATTTGTCCAGAATGGACGTGTGCTTGAATAAAACTATTGTAAAAAATACTTAATCCGTGTTGGAATATACGTCCCAGAATACGTCCCAGATTCAAGTTAACTTTCGTAACAAAAACATGCTGATTTATGAATAAATTTGTTCAGACAAATGTAAAGTATTATATTTGTCTGCGATTGCAGTGGTCAGATATATGTTCATACACACATCTTTCTTTAGCTGAATAAATTACAGATGTTTCAAAATTACTAAAGTATTAAGAAATTCAGTCAGGTTTTTTTGTAATGATTTTATTGTGCACATAATTCAAACACAGCGCCTAAACAAGAGCAGAATGTTTCGATGCATATGATTATCACCTGGTATCTAACATGTTTACATGATATTTAACCTATTGTGTCTCAACTATCTCGTTTCTAACATTAGGATAATATTTCTTACATCACAATAAATGGGATGTATCATATTAAACAAATTCAAATATTCATGAAATGAAATGGTTTTTTTTTAGAAACTATAAAAAAAAGATTGACAGTGGAATTGTAGAAACTTATCAGTTCACAAAATTCAAAATTTCAAAATGTTTCCACAAATTACTTATAGTCATATATCTAATGATCATTTATAGTGGATTGGTATGCATTGCGTACATGTTTAAAGTATTTCAAATGTTGATAAAGACAATAGGAATGGATCAATTGGATGGCCCCCGCCATTATAACTTGTTAATTTTTGACTTCTCGCTGGCGGGGTTGCAGGGCGAAAATACGAATGGCACAAATCAGCCAACATACAAAACTGCAAAATTGAAAACGTGGCAGGATCGGTTTGATGGACAGTATTGGAAAGTGCAAGCTACCATTCACACCCTTTACACAGACTTAAGCAGTATTCAACATTTAACATGAAATGGTAATATTTTGATTTTTGAAACATTCGCAGATGTATTCATACGACGGTTATTATAGAATCTTCAATGTGACACGTTACTGCAGAGGCTATGCAGCCTGCATATCACAGAAAAGCTGTCAAAAGACAAAATTAAAAATCAGGCAACATGTCGAAAGGGTGATTTAACAGTATTCAAGTAAGGATACTGGATTCATCCGAGAAGGAAAAAAAGCAAATAGAAATAACTAAAGGTACCACGAACACATCAATAATGTCGTGTTGAACGAGTTTCAAGGATTAGAAATAAAACATATCTGACTGTATATACGAGGATATATCAACTGGTCGGTTATTATTGTATCATATTTGTCATAAATTCGGCTAAAATTGAGCCGCGTCATGACAAAACCAACATAATGGGTTTGCGACCAGCATGGATCCAGACCAGCCTGCGCATCCGCGCAGTCTGATCAGGATCCATGCTGTTCGCTATCAGTTTCTCTACTTGTTATAGGGTTTGTAAGCGAACAGCATGGATCCTGATCAGACTGCGCGGATACGCAGGCTGGTTTGTATACATGCTGGTCGCAAACGCATTATGTTGGTTTTGTCGTGACACGGCTCAAATGTATTCCAAAATGTAATAGTTCCTTCTGAAACAAGGTCTGAACACGACTTTATCCTGGTTGTGAAGTTTCAATGGTATTAGCCGCGTAGATTCATTTGGCAAATAAAGGTGTATTTAAGGTGTATTTAATCACGGTAGATTTTGATATTGACGCTTTCTTTGTCTGAATATGACAAATATAACAATCATACTGATCCCACAATATATCATACCAACGGTTGCTATGTAGAAAATCAAATTATATGAGCCTGTCACATCGACACTATACCCACCTAGATAGCCACCTATTATATCTCCTATACCCATTACTAGGTAACTGATAGCAAGTGTCTTTGGAAACTGTTCCGTACCTCGTAGCTCTAGCTGTAGAGACGGTAAGAAAGCTATTACGATGCTTGTCGAGCAACCACGAAGTACCATCGCTAAAAACATTCCCCAATACACAGGAGAGGCAACTACACTGAAATGGGCTATAGCCCAGAGTATAAATCCATAGCACATATGCAGTTCTGGTCGAGATTTCGGATAAAATTTGATTAGTGCTGTAGCTAGGAATCTGCCAACAAAACCAAATATTCCGTTTAGTGACAGTAATGTAGCTCCTGATTTAGCTCCAAAACCCTTCAGAACAGCGACGTCAACAACAAACCATTGTTCGACAGGACCGAGTAATATAAACACAAATGTTGAAACAATAAACACCATGAATGCACTGTCTGTTAGGAAACTTATGAAAGACGCGCTATTTCTTTGGTGGGCATTTGATTTCTCCTGTTTATAAAAGTATTTTTTCGAATAATGAATTATAAGTCCACATGGAATGCAGTTGAAATATATCAGGGCGCCCATGATTAGTAAGCATCCGTTCCACGAATATTCTTCAATTAAAGCGTTTGTTATATATGGCATAACAGTCTGTCCTATAGTAGCTCCTAATGTTAGTATACCTAGTGCGAATTTTTGGTTGTTAACAAACGTCCAATTTATAACTATTGATGAACTGAGGGTGTTGACACTGGTAAAAAGACCAACGACTATTCCAACAAGGGCGATAACTGTACCAATATTACGCGCTAAAGAAGCACACGACAGAGCAATTCCGGCGAGTGCAGAAGCTATCATTACGCATGCGCCAGTGTCATACTTCGTAACCACAATCGAGAATAATATTCCACCAGCTAAAATTAAGTGAGAGAAAATGAAGTTAATATAACTGCATGACCATACATGACTGCATTACTTGGACATAAAAAATCAACAAAGAATATAAGTTTATCAAATAAATAATAAATTAAAGTTATACCGTTATAGAGAAAATTTACTTTGCAGAATTATATACACGCACATGTATTTGCATTTATTAATGACTTTCTACTGTGTCTTTAAATAAATTATAAGAACCTCGTGTAATTCTGCTGTTATTACATTGATTAATCATTCTATTATTTTAAAGCAAAATATGCATCGAATATTTGATTGAAAGTACACAATAGTTACGCTATAATAATTGAGCCGCGTCATGACAAAACCAACATAATGGGTTTGCGACCAGCATGGATCCAGACCAGCCTGCGCATCCGCGCAGTCTGATCAGGATCCATGCTGTTCGCTATCAGTTTCTCTACTTGTTATAAAGTTGTAAGCGAACAGCATGGATCCTGATCAGACTGCGCGGATGCGCAGGCTGGTCTGGATCCATACTGGTCGCAAACCCATTATGTTGGTTTTGTCGTGACGCGGCTCATATTACCTAACGACAACCCCATGTACAGGCTCTGTACAAGCGCGGCTTCTGATCGCAGACACTGGAACGCTGATATGAACTCTACATAAACTACCCCTAAAACGCCTACCATTCCAAAACATGACAGGTTCATATATAAACACGCTACAAAAATTATTACACCGCGTGATTTTGACGCGAGTTGTTTCTCGCCATCTTTGATACTTTCTTCTTTACTCTTCTGTGAGCGACTTGAGTTTGACAGAAACCTCGTAGATTTATCACCCGGCAATAAGGAGGATGCCTCCGTTTCTCGCTCGTAACTAGCATAAGTAAACGAAACCTCTACGTCATCTGCGTCTGAAACACGTGATGGCATTTTCAAAGCAGCTACTGTTTTCTTAAAATAACAAATCTACTGTTTTCAATGACAAATCTACTGTTTTCTTAAAATCACAAATCTTTTTTCTTAAAGTCACAAATCTGACGTTTTCTTAAAATCACAAGTCTACTCTTTTCTTGAGCCTAAACATCTACTGCTTCTTAAAATCACAAGGAAATGATAAAAATGAAAAGACCTATTTCAATATCACCTCTTTATGTATCATATATTAATGTTCCGATTATTATCTATTGTACGTAGGTATTGTCTATACATAATACAATATTCATGAGCATGATTTTGAATTAATTAATTATGTTTAATGAGAACAATTTATATGACGGTAATGCAGAAATAAATCCCGAATTTTGATTCGATAATGTGTAGAGAGGAAAAACAAAGGTTTTCCGCAACTAGGCGTGTGTGTTGTCTTTAGTTCTCTCAATCCAAATATCATTACTTCTCTAAACTATCATTACTTCTCTAAACTATCATTACTTCTCTAAACTATCATTACTTCTCTAAACTATCATTACTTCTCTAAACTATCATTACTTCTCTAAACTATCATTACTTCTCTAAACTATCATTACTTCTCTAAACTATCATTACTTCTCTAAACTATCATTACTTCTCTAAACTATCATTACTTCTCTAAACTATCATTACTTCTCTAAACTATCATTACTTCTCTAAACTATCATTACTTCTCTAAACTATCATTACTTCTCTAAACTATCATTACTTCTCTAAAATATCATTACTTCTCTAAACTATCATTACTTCTCTAAACTTTCATTACTTCTCTAAACTATCATTACTTCTCTAAACTATCATTACTTCACTAAACTATCATCACTTCTCTAAAATAACATTACTTCTCTAAACTATCATCACTTCTCTAAACTATCATTACTTCTCTAAACTATCATTTCTTCTCTAAAATATCATTACTTCTCTAAACTATCATTACTTCTCTAAACTATCATTACTTCTCTAAAATATCATTACTTCTCTAAACTATCATTACTTCTCTAAACTATCATTACTTCTCTAAACTATCATTACTTCTCTAAACTATCATTACTTCTCTAAACTATCATTACTTCTCTAAACTATCATTACTTCTCTAAAATATCATTACTTCTCTAAACTATCATTACTTCTCTAAACTATCATTACTTCTCTAAACTATCATTACTTCTCTAAACTATCACTACTTCTCTAAACTATCATTACTTCTCTAAACTATCACTACTTCTCTAAACTATCATTACTTCTCTAAACTATCACTACTTCTCTAAAATATCATTACTTCTCTTAACTATCACTACTTCTCTAAACTATCATTACTTCTCTAAACTATCATTACTTCTCTAAAATATCATTACTTCTCTAAACTATCATTACTTCTCTAAACTATCATTACTTCTCTAAACTATCATTACTTCTCTAAACTATCATTACTTCTCTAAACTAGCATTACTTCTCTAAACTAGCATTACTTCTCTAAACTATCATTACTTCTCTAAAATATCATAACTTCACTAAAATATCATTACTTCCCTGAAATAGTATTACTTCCCTAAAAATATAGCATTTACTTCCCTAAAAAATAATTACTTGCCTAAAATAGAACTTAATACATTATAGTAAATTTACTCATTATACTATTTACAATGTACAAAATCTTTTGCATTATTAATGGGATTTTCTTATGTACAGAAGTTATTAGTTACTTGCAAAAGTGAAGGCAACTAGTACTGGTAAATTGATTGACAGCCTGCCCATGAACGATGCGGAGGCTGAACTGTCCTCTGGTAAATTCACTATGGCTTACTGTCGTGATCCGGAGTGAAAACTACCAACACATCACCACCACCATCTATCATAATTATGAAATATATCACTCACCCCATAACATACATTTCCGTAAATGTCATGCGTTGATGTTAAAAAATCTTACATCTCAAAATGCATGTATGTCCGTGCAATTCGGAAGCCAATTATTTAATCGGAATGTATGAAGCACTTGTGGATGAACGATTATGTGCATCGGTGGTTCAGTGGTAGAATGCTTTTGACTTTGTCGTATTTTGTGTTTTCGCCCCGTTTGAGCGAAAGAATGACAAACTTTTTACTTTGTCGTATTTTTATGTTTTCGCCTTTTCGCCCCGAGAAGCGAAAATACGACATGTGACAAATCAGCCACCATAATGATAAGATTTTGGCTCTTTGGCGTCACTATTCGGTGAACATCTGTTGGTTGGTCGTTGACGGTTCCAGCGGTAAGATAGCGCTGAGGAAGTGATAATGAATACATCTACATATATATTCATCAGACCTGGAGCTTTACAACTATATCTTATAAGCACTCAAATCTTAAATAGATTTAGACTTGGATATTCATCAAATTTATTTTTCATAATAGAAAATTGGTTTGCATTGACCTTCATAGGATGTTATTGACCTGTTTATAACATTAATCTCCATATTATTTCCTATAACATTTTACTGGAAATTCATTTCATAGAAATCATAAATTACTGAATTCGTAACTCGAATAAACTTGGTAACTAATAAAAGGAGTGAAATTTTGATTATTTCAAATGCAACAAAAGTACCACCATTACGAAAACAATGTGACAGTTTAGAAAAAATGGAAATTGAAACACATCTTTTCAGTGACCATAATGACCGTTATGTTGACAGTAGCAATTATTCACAATTATTCAAAAGTATTATTTTTTTTCGATTTTTGGAGGAGTGTTTCTATCATGCGATTTTTTGTGTTACTTATTTAATAAGCAATTTAAAATAAGCTGGTATCTGAATGGTTAAAATAAATGTGTATGAATATAATGATGCTATAAGCGCCTTCGATATGAAAACGCTCTATTACAAAGCGTGCGTTCCCAAAGTCCTGTAGTATATGTTTCATACCCAGCCAATGTTTTTCTCGTTTTTGGTGATCTGTCAACAATGCTATTAGCCACTTACTTTCGCTATTTGTTGTGTATTTTGTATATCTCTTGACACATTATATAATTACAAACGTTAAAGAATTGCGAGAGATAAAGCAGAACTTTGTAATAGTTTTATTCCGTCTTAAAACAGTATTATTGTCATGTTTACATCATTTTTCACTAAAATAGAATCTGTCTCACTCTAATCTTATAATTCTGCACTAACATTCTATTATAGCTGCATAAACACCTTTTCAAATTAATAAATGCGTATCATGAAACACGCCGAATGTCACGAAACTATGTTAAATGGTTTTCTAAATATTGTACATTTTACTTTGCAGTTTTAAAACGGGGTTTTAACTCAATCAATAAGCGATTTCACATTTCATCGGATCATTTTTTGTATCCGTTGAAAATCTCATCTCATAAATTGGAATGCAAACAAGATAAAAGGAAAAGAAGTCCCTGTATAGATCACCATGTTTATATTGATTTTAAACATTTTGTAACATTTGTTTATGGTTCAATTTATTTCTGTAAACAAAAATTCCTCCTATTATTGACGACTCTGATAATGAAGTGGCAATTATACATACAAAAGCCTTTTTATACGAGAATATGGCTTTTTCGACCACTTGACATAGTTTGTAAACGTAAAATAACTTGTATCGAACTTGTTTTATTCTAAATCACATTTATTAAACCAATTGATCGGTAAAGCAAGGTTAGATATAACCTTCTTTCACAGTGATATAATCGGGGGTAGTAATTTTTTAGCAATCGCATTGTCAAATACGCGTTGAATTGTTTGTAATATCTGATAAAATAAATACTTTAAGCAGATGAATAGTTTTAAAATGAACGGATTGATATAAATTTTTAACAATAATGTATAATAAATCCGACACTAATACAAACGTTAAGCTACCGCCGATTAGTGCAAATAGCAGCTCTGGTATAAAAATTAACGCAGAATGTGGAATTAACGGGGGGAATACGTCAAACACGGCGGTCCTGAATAGTTCGGCAGCCCCTACCAGCGGAATGGTGAGCCAAAATCCTAGGGGCACGAGTTCGAAGAACTTGATATATCGGAGCATTCCGCCGAAACCTCACACGTTTACACTGTCGGATATGATTGAACCTAATTTCGCTCATCAAATGGGAGCTCCTCACAGTAAAAAGCTCGGACTAACCGGAAGTTCTTCCTCTGAATTTGCTAAAAGGTTTATGACTAGACCGTCAACTCAGCCTCGTGTTGTGGAATTTAATGTTTCTAAAATGGGATCACAGAAACGAAGGCGAGGAATAAATGGGTTTTTCCCACCTGTAAAACTTCGGGTCTCGGCGAAAGCTGATAAATCTCAAACCTCAGTATCTTTTTCAGAGGTAATTATTATTTTTTTTTTCATTTTTTTTTTTTTTCATTTTTAGTTTCTGAGATATAAAATATTTGAAATAAGAGAATTCTATGTACGATAATTAATTCTTAATTTCTTATATGTACTGCCTGCACATGTTTGAAATGGTTCCAAATTAAATAATAATAAATTACATTTAACAAATAACGTGTGCATTAGTTTTGGCTTATATTGTTGTTAAGCAACATGTCCCTAAGATAAAATGAGCGGTATTTGGAGGATCTATGTTTGGTATTTATGGACAGATTTATCTCTTAGGTTGTTAATTTATTGATTAATTGATATAGATTTTGATAATTTATCATTGACGACATGTTCGTATAAAGCGGCTAGTAAACACAACTCCGTGGTTGGTTAATCTCATGCATTCATATACATGTATATCTCAAACTGTAAGTTTTCAGAAAAATCGCGTGACAAAAAGGAACAAATAAAATCACAGTCATCTGTACCATTCTAATTCAATACTTATAAAATCAAAAGTATTGAATTATTTATTTACGTCCTGTGGGAATGCGGCGGCATGTTGTCATGACCCTGAAATTGTGTGTCAGATGGTTGTGTAACCGTTTGTGGACTAGCAAGCTTTATTGTTGTAAAATGAACTTCAAACTATTGATGTTAAAAATTCATACTGACATTGACTTTAAATGAGCCCCGTCTCGACAAAACCAACGTTTGCGACCAGCATGGATCCAGACCAGCCTGCGCATCCGCGCAGTCTGATCAGGATCTATGCTGTTCGCTATCAGTTTCTCTACTTGTAATAGAGTTTGTAAGCGAACAGCATGGATCCTGATCAGACTGCGCGGATGCACACGCTGGTCTGGATCCATGCTGGTCGCAAACGCACTATGTTGGTTTTGTCATGACGCGACTCAAATAATGATTAGACTCAAAATACTCAAGTTTTTACCTTTACGAAGTAGGACTATGTATATTAATCACTTGTTAAAAAATTCGAAGGCCACGCTTCTTTTACTCGTAAACACTAGTTAACAAACCTCATTATGCGCTTTAAAAACTTGATAAGAAAGTACTAGAAAATGTTTCAATCACGTTTAGTAAAGCATCACACAGTTTGTCACATGTATTATTTCATAGTCAAATCTTTGCCATGTATAAGGGAAGATTCAAACATAGCTTATATAAAATATACATTTTGTATTCTCTGATATTCGGAAATACTCGAGGATACCAAAACGATTCAAATGTTACTACATGGTTGAAATCCAGTGTTTCAGAGGGCCAGAAAGTGTTATACATAGTTTAGCTAAAGTCAGGGCTATAATATAGATTTGGAATGATATTCAGATAAAATGTAAAATAGTTTTGCTCTGGCTAAAATGTATGAAGTGTTTAATTTATGAAAAACTTTCCACTTAAAGTGAAGGTTTTAAGTAATTTAAGGAATAAAATCTTATTATTTTTCATTCTGTATATGTGACAATCGACAGATTTGTTGACAGTTGTATATACATTGTAATAGTTTAGTTTATTTGAGTCTCTGTCATATATGCATTAAAAATATACATACACAAAACACAGTTATTTAATTAAAGACATATATGGCTAAATTAGAATGAAAAAAAAAGATACTTAAACGCTACATATTGATAATACACCTTTAACAAACATATGTATGATAATATCTAATATGAATTCAAAAAAAGCGACTTAGCGACCTAACAAATTAAATTTCATTAAAAGACATATCTGGTTTAAAGTAAACAATTATGACAAATGTGCCTGGTATCAGGCAAATCCGTTTCAACATAACATTTCCTGATCCAGCGGGTTCCGGTATCAGGTCATGCCCCAGCCCCCCCCCCCCCGAATTTTGCTTATACTATTACAACAAGATCTGTATATTAAGTTACGACTTCTTTTTGTAAAAATCATGTAAAAATGACACTTGACCTATAGCCCCAAAGGAAAACTAGTAAAATGCCAAACACCCTCTGGAATATAAATAATGAATTTCCCCTTGTTAAGATTTTGTGACCTCCACCGGTAAAAAAAGCTTGCATAAAATTAGTCCTAATGAATATAAACCTTACAAACATTAAATTTTATACGCATTCAAGTGCTCAATCGTCAGTATTCAAACCAAGTAGATCGATTTTCTTAGATTCATTAAAAATTGTAAAAAAAGAGTTTCAATTCCCAATAGAATTGAGTATACGCTTCCTAATTAACGTTTTTAAAAATGATGAGCTCAGTTATCAAATCGAATAGTAAACACACTGATTAAAGAATGTATCGATCTATAAATATATAATCTAGGGCTATACAGTATTGGGATTTATACATAAGCGGAGTTTGTAAGACATTTTGCCGATACCCTTAACATTAATCTTTGGACGTATACAATAATATGCAATTTTATAATTATTTGGGTGGCGGCCAGAAATATTACTTTACGAAAAGGTGTTAACTGTAATTCGGAAGATATTTATTCAAGTCGTGTACTTTTCAGATTATAAAAACGACTATTATTTGGGTATAATTTAAGTGAATACATGTTTGTATATAGTCTAAAAAGAGTTATTTTAGTTCTAGCTGTTTGAATTACGATTATAATTATGTGTCTTGTTTACTTTAAATAAAAAAATCGAAAATTATAAGAAAATATTTGTTTCTCTTCTTTGCAAGTCGATATTTTGTACAAAGAACACACAATAATATAATCCTGTAATTCAGTCCACTGAACTAAAATCGTTATATTTTGTAATAGCTTAAGTGTTTCCGTTATGAAATACAATGCTGTTTTCATTGATGTAATTATATGAACGTGCTCTGTCGATATTTAAAACAGATGTAATGACGTCATACATATATCGACTTGATTAAGACAAAGCGGCCGGTGTAATGTGGGGAAGGTGGGCAGGCAGGGATTTATGACTTTAAGTTATTCTCAGTATAATTTCATTATGTGCAGATCATTTATTCACATTGATAAATCTCAAGCAATGTCCGAAACCAAGAAAAATTAAGGAAGGTAATGTTATTCTTGTCGGACATTATTGGTTATTTGTGCCAACACATTACCTGCACATTGCCCCGGCATTTTAGATACACATGGGAGGTAAAACCTTGACACATTTCTACCGTTACCCTTCTCTGTCCGCTCTTCCCCGGATGTGGGACCGGGTTATATTTGACTATTTTTTATTGTTTTATTTTCATGGTCAAATTAGTTTATTGCTCTTTTCAATTCTACTGAGATTTGAGGACATATGGTTTAAGAAAAATAGGGCTCGAGCCCATACAAAGGTTTAACGACATATACCTGAAGCAGTAGAAAACTGTCACCTTAGATTGTTCGAAATAATGTTATACTCTTTCAACTTGCCATTCCTTTCAATGCCACTAATATTTAATTTATCGTACGAGGGATGTTCCAAAAATAATGTCACTTGATGCCAGTATCTGGTCATAGCAATTGTCAATTGTTGCCAATAACTACGTTAAATATCATTATTCTTGCACAGCAGAATGCCGGAAATTTCATCTGGCATGGGGTGACAGTTGAGTCGCGTGCCAAACAACGTCATTTTAGCGCATTTTATGAATGAACCACGTTAAAATGACGTCATTTATCAACTGACGAAGCTAATCAACTGAAGAAGCTAATTAAGCGAAACATGTATTGATATTTACATGTGTGTTGGTTCTATTACTTTTATACTCAAAATCAATTCTACCTTCTACTTTTCGTACCTGGAATTCTCTTCCTGAAACTCTTCGATTTAGTCCAACTTTAAACATATTCAAGTCTAAAATAACCCCAAATATCAAAAGACCACCGTCTTACTATAATACAGGCACACGTAAAGATCCAATCCTTCACACAAGATTAAGATTAGGATGTAGTTCATTGAATGAGGATCTGTTCAGAAGGTCTATTGTGGAAAGTCCAACATGCACATGCGGAATGAGAGAAACTGTATCTCACTTCTTATTGCAATGTACCAAATACAGAAATATACGCGAAAGATTTCTCACTAATTTAAATTGTCCGGCTACAGTAAATAATCTTCTTTACGGTAACGAACATCTCTCTTCTGATGAAAACAAAACCCTCTTTCAGAATGTCCAAAAATTTATTACACAATCGAAGCGCTTTTTGTAAGAATTACTATCAGTGTGAATAAACTTGTCTTTCCGTACGCTCATATTTCCTTACATGTTAATATTAATTATTAAACTCCGATATATATATTCAATCATACCTTTCCTTACATTCTTCCTTTCTTTTAGCATTTCACCATAATTTACCTTAGATTTTTCTTTAGTGATAATTCAACAATCAATTATTCTCTTATTTTCTTTGTTGTACATTCAAAGAGCTTACATCTAACCGCAACATTCTTGTATCTTTATCTTGAAAATTACTTTTACTGGAGAGGAATTGATATAAGTATTGTTTTATTTGTTTTCCAATTCAGTCTGAATTACATTGTTGTGCAATGTTTGTTAATGTCATTTATGTACAATTTATTGAATAAATAAAGTTTAAACTAATGTGTGTTGGTTTTTGATCTAACTGTCCTGTCATTTTAGAAAGGAACTATGTGCTTAGGATGACGTCATTTCGCCGTTATTAAAGTTGTAAATTCATACGCTATTGTAAGGAAATAGTTATGGATGAAATGACTTTAATTTCCATGAACAAATATCTTATTGTGGTAAAACATTTTAAAAATGAAATAATATGGCAGAATATGCAAGAAAATATATCTGACATATGTTTGCGATTCGGATCGGAATATCCGTCCCTCGTCAAGCCTCGTTACTGCCCAATGGGCGTGTCCTTTCGGGACAGATATTCCGGTCCGAAACGCAACATATGACAGATATTATAAATCAAGACAAATCGTAATTCCCAAAGTCATGACTCATCACCGATTCTGTATTACTGTATTATCGACATTTTCCTTACCTTAGAATTACTGTTAGCTAATGGCTTTGTGGCAATTATCTTTTTTAAACGGTGTTGGCATTTGTTGTTTGTTATTTGCTTATTTCATTTTGATAGAGGTCTTTTAGAGCACACTTTATTTGAACAAAAAGTATGCATTAGACAGAATCGATCCAGTTTTTGTTTTACAGAAAAAAGAGATACGATAAATAGCTGAGTGCCAATTAAAATAACCGGTATTTCTGGAATTTAGATAATAGAAATGAAACAAGACATAATTTTTCAAAATGTCCGTGAAAATGTAAATCACTTTTAGGAGCTTTGAAACTTAGTAGAGGAAAAATGAAATTTTTACCAAGATCTAAAATAGATAATAAATTCAAGGCATAATTCAAAAATGTTCTTTTTTCTCTCTATTGCAGCCACCACCGCCACCCTCAGAGCCAAGCCCACTTCAGCTTGTCCCAACGGCCTATTCAGAGGTGCGACCAAAATCCGAATCCCGAAGCATTTCGCGATCATCTCGTCAGTCTCACAGATCTATACGCAAAACCCCGGAGTCGGTGAGAACAGCCCCACCACAGGATCACACTTCCATTTATCCGGACACTTTCGAATTTGACGACCTTAGTTACCTGCCACGCCCTAAAAAGTATTTACCAAAACGAGACTTACCATGGGTATTTAGATACAAAGTGAAAAGGAACATGAACGAGTTGTCAAAAATTATGGCTAGTAAGCCGGGGCCAATGATTGATGTATAAGAGGGCAGTTGTCTTAGAATGTTATCATATATTATAAAGATACAAATTACGTCATAAGATGACGACAAGAGGGTCGATTATGGTAATGGCGTTATGACGTCCGTATAATCTTTATTTTATTTAATGTTAGATATAAAGACATTTTACGTGCATTTAAAGCAGTCATTCATTTGTGCTGGAGTATAGAGTGTGTATTTGATGTTTTTGGAGCTAAATGTGATGTTAGCCAAAAGACAACTTTTTTCATGACGTCATCACTCAGTGAACGTTTATAAATGACGTCGGAATATTACACATATTAGTTTAATAGAAAGCAACATTTTACGGTGCAAACAAAATTGAATGACTATGTGGTTGCAGTTATAAAACTTGTGTTTGTTCCACAGTGTATGGTATTTATATGCGAAAATCATTTAAATCTAGTTCTATTTGGCAATTTGCAAAACCTGCATTTAAGAAAATAGCAATAGTATATATATACGTGAAACTGTTAAAGTTACTACACCTATATGTTTTCGATATTCGCCATTATATAGGTATGGTATACTTTAGCAGGATGTGTAGACTGTAACAAATAATCATCAATAAAACTAGTGCTAATTTCAGTGTATAAACAAGTCTACTTCCGGTTATCGCACGAAAAGTTTCAGACGTGACCGGAAGTAACATGTGCTAGTAATCACAAGACAGAATAAACATTGAATTACAGGCTTGCAAGACATTGTACAGAGATTTTGTTTATAATCCACTGTGAATTTCATTTCATGCCTTTTAGAGAATACAGTTTCCTCCGCAATTCCATTACACTTACAGTTTCTCGTTTTATCCTAGATAATTGTTATCATCTTCCAAAGACCTCCACCATTGGACTGGGTTTCAATTCGTTTGTATCGGGGTCACTGAGGCGGAAACTGTATTTGCCAACTTTCTCTCTTAGAAAGGCTATGTTTTCATTTGTCAAAACGATATCGGTGGAACATTCCAAATATGGTACCGATCACCGGTGTACCAGAAATGTAATCTTATATGTGTTTGAACACTGTCTTTAGCGTTTAAATTATATGCGGCAAATACTTATATTGTAATGGTCATTTATGTTATCAATAACATTTCTAATTGCTCAATGACTCGTTTTCTGAAATTGATACCCGGTATTTTATAAAGGTTATAAAGATTTATATTTACCGAATATCAATTTTCAGCGGACGACGAATCTGCCGAACTCTTGATTTTAATATTATATTTAATATTTATTGTATTCAAATTTCTTTCATTGTTTTTTACTGCACATGTAGTCAAATTCAATGCATTTAAGGTTTAGCATGTGGAAATGCTTAACATAATAAGTATGTATGTATATTATAAAGTTAAACTTTTAAAATATATATGTAAGTGAGTGAAACATGCACATTGAAAGTAATAGTTGAAGAATGCAAGCACCTGCTTTTATCATAGCTTTTCAGCTGACATGACAAGTTACGTCACAATGTACATTTTTGTTTGTGTATATTATATTGTATATTTGAATATATATATTGTAACGTTAAACTTTTAAAATTAAAGATAAATAATACAACCCACACGCTTCCGTACTCTTGCTTCTTTACACATTTTCACTACTGTTTACAAATGTATCGAATATGCTTGTCAATCCAAACACTAGTTGTGCCTTTGTACATCTTTAGGTTCTAGTCCCGGGCAACGTTGTATTGTTTTGTAAATGACTTCTTTTAATTCGTTTTATTTCTATTCCCCATCGGAAACCTACAAAGTGAAACGTCTCTCCCAGAAGAACTTAGTAATAATTATCTTATGTATTTGATGAAGCATGGTAAATTATTACAGATACTTGAACAATTAGTTGTTCACCTTATATAACGTCAATAACCATTACACGGAACCTTAGTTCACAGTGTATTCCCGAAGAATATTAAGTAATAGAAAGAGCATCGAAACACGAGGCTATCTGATTTGTACGAGGGGGGCGAGTGCCGAGATTGCCGAGTGTTTTGAAATTCTTTCTCTTTTGTATCATAGACAAACATAAAAACACGTTCCCTGTTGTCACAATATGAAATCCCGGAGAAAAAGCACAATGAAAGAGCATCTAAGTATGATATTTCTGTCGCTTTCCCTTTCTCTGCCGTCACAATAAGTAAACCCCAGGAGAAATGAGCCAATCAATGGGCATGCTCTAGAGTGCGGGTAACTAATAACGCACGGTGCATATATTTGTACACGATTTAACTCGTACATATTTTCAACAGAAATGTCCCCAAATTATGATACAAAGATATAATATTCGATGTAGCTGGAGATTCAACTTGGGAACCCTATATTGATATTTATGGCCAAACATGGTTACCATCGGACCACAAGACAACTTTCAAATTGATAATTATGTTGGCAACGTTAGTGTACGATACGTAAGCAACTTCTATAACGTAATATGTAGTAACTTTTACAAGTTCTCCGAAGTCATTTGAGCATTAATTAAATAATATAAAAAATCATGTTATCAAATGTTTATGTTTTTGTATTTATATGTATATATTCGCTAATCAATAACATATTTTAGCAAACACTAATTACACTCGACAAAATGTCGTAGACAAGGCCAAGACGGAGATAAATAAGCGCATAAAACAGGTTGGTTGTGATTTTAGTGAATGCGAGTTACCATGCGTTTTCGACAAAAACTCAATAATAGAGGCAGTGGCAGTAACATTTTTTTTTAACTGAGACTTGTAGACAATCTGTCCTTTAGTATGCAATTAAAAAAAATCGAATATGCTCTTCCGTATAATGAAATAGCAAAAACCCAAATGATGGGTTTTCAAAGTCAGTCAGTGTACATGGGTTGGTTGAACAAGTAATTTTAGGCGTATCGGAAGGTGCAACGGTAACCAGATACATGAATAACTAGATATAAACATATTGATAATCTTTATGTATGAAAGGTAATGTAATTATAAGATCTTATAACATCTTACCATGTAGATATAACAAATGGTACCTAGCAGATACAGTGTTCGTTTACTAATTGTAAACATCAAAGAATATGTTTATCAAATTTCCCAATGTCAAGTAGAATATAACTCCCGAATTTTTTAATTAGTTCTCGTATAAAATCATACAATTTGAACAAGAGTAGTACTGTTTCATTATTAGCAGAACAGAGCACGCACTGTTACTTTATAAAACACTTCAATGAAGTTTTAATGAAAGCTATGCGCAGGAATTTCAATCTGAATTGTAATATATTTAATACCCGAACTAAGCGTCTACGTAATGAAATTATAAAAGCGACTACGTGAAATTCTCTAGAATGTTATAATTATAAACTCAATGCTAGTCATATTAGGAGTATGTTAATTAGACATGTATTTCCCTTGTTACACTTACATTAACAGTGTGGTTAACAAGATAGATGCCCTCAGTTGCCACAGAGCGGGTTCAGGCCGGTTTCAGCCGTAAATCTAGAGGGTCGCAAGGTTGATACACTTCGAAAGCTTAGAGCTCAGAAATCTTCCTGGTGGGACATATACTCTCATAAACTCTCATTGTGATAAAGTGAAACTTCAAAATGTCAGTGTGACCTTGACCTTAGAGGTAGGGACATAATTCTTGGACGCGACACATCGTCTTGATGAGGTAGACATTTATGCGTAGTTATTTAAAAATCCTTCGATGCATGACAGTTACAGTCCGCACACGAATGTGTGTACCTATTTACTCTTATTGTGATGTGAAACTTCAAAATGATAGTGTGACCTTGACCTTTGAGGTAGGTCCTTGGACGTGGTCCTTGGACGCGACACATCTCTTGATGTGGTAGACATTTGTGCCAAGTTATTTCAAAATCCCTTAATGTATGACAAAGTTACAGTCCGGACACGAATGAAGTGGGGTCGCAGACAGACAGACGGACGGTGTGGCATAAAAAAGAAAACATGTCCTATCACCAATGCTTTTAACCAAAACAAAATAATATGGTCATACTTGATACAGGCAATCCATTGACGTATTGCCCCTTTTTGTTGCCATTGAAAGCAGATTTCTTTGTAGAATTTAATGTTATGAACTAATGGAATGGACTGGCAAGATGAAGCTAGGATGTACAGACAAGTCACAATAGCTCACATTAAGAAGGATGCGCTCTGGTCATATACTAACAGACCAGTCTAGACTGCCAAGGTATTTACAACTAAATTATATGAGCCGCGTCACGACAAAACCAACATAGTGCGTGTGCGACCAGCATGGATCCAGACCAGCCTGTGCATCCGCGCAGTCTGATCAGGATCCATGCTGTTCGCTATCAGTTTCTCTACTTGTAATAAGGTTTGTAAGCGAACAGCATGGATCCTGATCAGACTGCGCGGATGCGCAGGCTGGTCTGGATCCATGCTGGTCGCAAACGCATTACGTTGGTTTTGTCGTGACGCGGCTCATATATCTTGATATACACAAAAACTCAGTTTCATTCTATTTGGTAAAATTTATTCAATAAATTAAACATTTTATTCTTGAAAGATAAAAAATTGTACAGTACAGCATGAAGTAAATTAAGTGATACGTTATTTTTTTAAATAAGCATCAGCAAATGTACATAATATTTTCTCTCTTATGTACTTATGATATAGTCATTTTCTACAGAACATATATATATTCTGTGCAGTGCAGTCGAGTAAAACTCATCTTTTAGATATTAAATTCTTGCATGTATAACAATTTCAGTCTGTAATCCCTCACATTCATAATGGACAAGCCTAATTTCAAGTTGGACTAGACCATTTTACCAAACAAGACAGTCATTACATGTATAAAGATCTTTACACTTATTAGTTTTTAGACAAAGGAATGTACAATGAAGGCCACTAATATAGACCTGGACGGAATTATAAAAATAAATATCAGCATTAACTAAGATTTGAACAATATATACAGAAATTGTATCATTTAAATACACATATAATAGAAATATTCTACATCAACAACTCAAATGTCACCAAGTATTTTGCTAGGTTTCTAATTCATATGTGGGACCAATTATACAAATTCTTTGTCCCAGTTCATATAAATAATAATCTTATGTTAAAATCTTAAGTTTTATTCTTTGTCCCAAACCTATTTTTTCATATGTATCCCCCCCCAAATATATTTCTAAACAAATATTTTATCATCAATAGGTCAAAACCATTATTTATGCCTTAATGAGACAGACTACGTTTTAATGAGTTTAGTTTAAATATCTAAAATTAAAGGCATTTCAAATTCAAATGATTTTCTTTCTGTTTTACTAAACATACAGAGAAAATCAAAGAATAATCAAACAGAAAATATTCTTTAAGCTCAAATAAACAATAAAATGCAATGTCAGACATAATGTATAATAATCAATGAGATTTTCTTATATCACAGCCTTTCAACAGAGGCATAACTTCAGTCCATGATGTCATACGATATTGAACCCAAGGATTCAATATTTAATCTAAAGACATGAAATAAACCCAAAGACAATAGTCACACGAGGATCAGTTTACAATCAGATATAATACATCGATAACCTGACAAAATCTGAAGCCCCAGACTGTGACCTATTAATTCTTCCAAATGTGATTTAACCATGTACAATGGGTTATAGCTACAACAATCTAACATAAAAATAGAACAATGTAATGAAACAATCTTAATGATTGCTTCCAACCAGCAGTTTAGCTTGTGATATGTTAACCAACTCTACTTAACAAGGGAACATATACTTTTTACACAGTAATTCATAATGTGGAGCAGTAAACAAATTGTAAAAAATTTCATAGAAAAATATAAATGTTAAATGATGTTTTTTATTTGAAATTTTATGATGAACTTATGATCTTTCTACATGTATAAAGCTTCTTTACTTCAATTTATTTTTCATAAAAAGAGAATAAAAAATTGTATTTATTCCTAATCTTGCAATAAATTTTAGACAAAGCTCACATATGCCTTCATATCAAAACTACAATTATACTAGATTATTTATACAGCCAAATTCGGAATGTAGGTCAAACATTCCAATATTTATTAGTGATTTTAACTAAGCATTAGAATTTGAATAATAATTTTCAAGTACACACAATGAAGTAAAGGTTCACAAGTTTAATCAGCATGTGGCTCAGAGCCATGTGAACAGTTGACAGTTCAAAAATAAACTAAAATCCTTACACTTTACACAATAAGAAGATTAAAAGCTTTCCCTTCTGTTAATTGTTACAGTTTATAGCTCAATCTTTTTTTGTCCTTTAATAGCAAAGAAATACAATTAATCCTTAATAATCCAAGAGGAGAAAAGTCAAAAATATAAGGCTTAGTGTTGGCATTGAATGATAAGTTTTCAACCTGATCTTTAACCTTAAGCTTTTCCTTATCAGTTAATATTAAAGAAGTACTCATCTCACAATTCTAATTTTTTAAACCATTGCCGAGAATTAAATTTACTCCAATTTCAATGAAATCTGTTTTTTATTTTTCATTTTTGGAACATAAACAAATATAATCTGTACTTTTATGAAATAAGCAGATCGTAAGATATCTTTGTATAAAAACTTTTAAATAATTATAATCAACAAGTTAGTATACTTGTACATTACAATACATCCTCCTTACAAAAGCCATGTATCTTTCACAAGCCTCACATTTCAAGGTCAAGGTCAATTTTTTAATATGATATTAAAGCAAAGAGAAAAATCTCTTCACAGTATATGATGTTGGATGTTTGGTGAACACTTTTATCTGACACATCAAGGTAGAGGAACGAGATTTTCTTTGGCCCATTTCCTCATGGTACGGACCATATATTCTACCTGTGGTGTGCTGGAATTTCTCAACATGTTGATAACATCTCTCAATGTCTCCCTGTAACATTAAAATACATGATATTACAACAAGATATGGAATTATTATATACTTACAAATGAAATATTGAGAAATATTGATGAAATAAAATGCATATTTTCATATTCAGTATTTTCACTGTAAAAATTTATTTTTCACTGCAGTGAAACATATTTTCCGTATTTTCACTGGTGTCTTGCCGGACTACTTTCTTTTAAATTCTGCCAGTACACAAAATTTAAGGGAAAGTCTTTCAAATTTTAATGTCAAAAAAGAGAAAACTGTATATATAATAAACAGAAAATTCAAGTTTTTTCTATAAATACATGATTTATTTTCATCTTGTGGCATGAAAATTACCATATTTCACTCGTAGCTACCGCCACTCATGAAATATTTATTTTCATACCACTTGATGAAAATAAATCATGTATTTATAGACAAAACTTGAATATCCTCTATTTATGTACACTTTGGTATACATTAACTGTAAGAAATTAGTCTAGTGTTGCAACAAAATATTAATTCAAATAATTGAAACATTAAATAGGGTATAACTTGCTCAAAACACAATTGGTTCATAAAATGCATATACAAAAAAGTATGTTTTTATTAAAGGACAAATATTCCCCCCTACCTTTTATCAATAAAGAAGAAATTAGCCTTCTTTCAGAGACCATTATTAAGCACTAAAGTGTTAATTTCAAAGGCTTATCTTAAAAGACAGGTTTGTCTGTATTCCTGATGTATTATCATATTTAATGGGTATGAAAATTGCATTTCTGCAGTTGTTAATATAAGAGCGGAATTCAAAACCCGTCAGGGGCAAGAATTGTTTCCTTGAGCAAGAAACTTTACACTCATTGCTCAGTACTGGCTGGTTGCAGTAACATATTCGAAAGTGTGTCTATAAGCTTATAGCTTCCTACACAATCAGACTAAAATAAATTCTGTATAAACCAATGGAGGAATTATTGCTCACTGATGTTAAATTATCTTCAAGCAAACTATAACAGTCAATCTAGATTTAAAATAATATTATGTCCATTCAAGAGTAAAAGTCAAATCAACTTTACACTTTGCTTTAACTGTTTTTAATTTTATTTTGTGCTTCACAAAAATAATAAATGACTCACATGACCCATGGTAATTTTTTTTATAAATATCCATTGTTATCAAAAACGTTCACTTGACAACAAAAATTTGAGCATATTGTCACTTTAAGTTTGTAAGCATTTTTCTCTGTTATTTTATAAACTAAGTTAAGTTGGAGCGAAGTTAGTTAGTTGGTTAGGTAGTTACATACACAATGTTCAGGTCATATTTTGCTAAGCTATATTCTCAAAAAATGTTATAACTGAGATTAAGATGTACGCACCTTGGTTCATGTCCGGCAATGATAAGTTGGAACACACCCACACAGGCCCCTCGTTTACCCTCCCAATACTCTGGGTTAGGATCTAATCTTTCCAGAACATCAAATGCTTTAGCTGCATAGTAAAACTGTCCCATCTAAAATCATAATTAAAAGTAATTCATCAACTTATCATTCATCATGAAATAATTCATTTTATGATATAAAATGATTAATTTTATGATGAAATAATTTCTTATGATATGAAATAATTCATTATGAAACAAAATAATCATGATACATATTACAAATAATTTTAGCATAAATCATTAAATACTTCGAGCACTAAATCATTTATGCTTACATAATGTATGTTCCTTTTTATTAAGTCTTAAATTGAAAACAAGATTGCATTTGAGAAATGCTATGCCACCGCATTACACAAATTGAAGTGTATGAACAAATGCTGTTGAAGAACGGGTCTTTTATTAACCTCGTGTATTATTGTCTGGATGAGCCGGTACCAATGCAAAGCCAAAGTATTACTATAAACTGCTAGCATTCCCTTGCAGAAAGATAAGCAGACGACAGCCTAAATTTCATGACTACATCAAAGGACAACACAGTAAGACACTTTGTCAAAGTCAGCTGATAATCAAAGTTCACTTTACATCTTAATCTGTGCACATGGTTCACATTTCATAGCTGTACATCAAAGGACAAGAAAGTAGGTCACATAATCAAAATCTAGGTCACTTGATATAAAAGTTCAATTTTACAACTTAAACTGTGCACATGGTCAAAATTTAATTGCTGTACATCAAAGGACAAGAAAGTAGGTCACTGTCCCCTTGGGCAAGGCAAAATTTTGACCCAAGGGTTTAATTCAAAACAATCTTGATACAGGTCCACCAAACAACATTTCAAGTCAAATATCTAAGCTGTAGCTTTCTCCCATTCAGAAAACATTTGTTTTATTTTCTGTTTTTATTATGTGTACTAAATGAAAATCAATGCCCCCAGGCAGGGCCGATTTTGACACCAGGGGAAAAATTTGAACAACTTTGGTAGAGGACCTACAGATGATATTATATAGCAAACATCAAAGCTCTATGCCTTGTAGCTTCAGACAAAAATAGTTTTTATTTTTTTTTTACTATATGTACATAATGAAAATCAATGAACCCAATTTTGACCCCAGGGCTATAATTTGAACAATCTTAGTAGAGGTTCACTTCCTAAAGTCTCATGCCATAAATTTAACCTCTAGCCATTGTCATTTCAGCGAAGAAGATTTTTCAAGTTTTTACTTTATACATATAAGGAAAACTATCGCCTCTAGGGCAGGGCAATTTTTTCACTAGGGGCATAATTAAAACAACTTTAGTAGAGGACCCATAGATGATATTATATACCAAATATCAAAGCTCTAAGCCTTGTACCTTCAGACAAGATGATTTTATATTTTTTACTATATGTACATAGTGAAAATCATTGACCCCTGGGGGTTGGGCCAATTTTGACACCAGGACTATCATTTGTACAATCTTGCTAGAGGTTCACTACACAATGTTTCATGCAAAATATCTTAACTCTAGCCTTTGTAAATTTAGAGAAGATGATTTTTTAAGTTTTTATTATACACATATAAGGAAAACCTATGGCCCCCGGGGCGGGGCTAATTTTGACACTAGAGGCAAAATTTGAACAACTTTGGTAGAGTACCTATAGATGATATCATTTAACAAATATTAAAGCTCTAAGCCTTGTACCTTCAGACAATAATATTTTTTCATTTTTTACTATATGTATATATTGGAAATCAATGACCCCCGTGGCAGGGGCAATTTTGACCCCAGGGCTATAATTTGAACAATCTTGCTAAAGGTTCACTACACAATGTTTCATGCAAAATATCTAACCTCTAGCATTTGTCAATTGCTAGAAGAAATTTTTTTAAAGTTTTTACTGTAAGTTTTTACAATATACATATAAAGAAAACCAATGACCCCAGGGGCGGGCCGATTTTGACCCCAAGGCTAAAATTTGAACAATCTTGCTAGAGGTTCACTACACAATGCCTTATGCAAAATATCTAAGCTCTAGGCCTTTTGGGTCTTTACAAGAAGGTATTTTAAGTTTTTACTATATATGTACATATAGTGAAATTCAATCACCCCCCGAGCGGGGCCGATTTTGACCCCAGGGCTATAATTTAAACAAACTTGCTAGAGGTTCACTACACAATGCCTTATGCAAAATATCTAAGCTCTGGGCCTTTTGGGTCTTTACAAGAAGGTATTTTAAGTTTTTACTATATGTACATATAGTGAATATCAATGACCCCTGGGGCGGGGCCGATTTTGACCCCAGGGCTATAATTTGAACAATCTTGGTAGAGGTCTACCAGACAATGCCTTATGCAAAATATCTAAGCTCTAGGCCTTTTGGGTCTTTACAAGAAGATTTTTTAAATTTATTCTTATAATTCCTTTTGGTTGCCATGGCAACCAGATTTCTGCATGGAATGAAATTCTTTGAACAACTTTGTGAGCCCTTCACCCAAGGATCAATCCTGCAAAGTTTGGTTGAAATTGGACAAGTGGTTTTTCACAAGAAGATTTTTTAAGTTCACTATATAATCTATATAACACACACACACACAAACAAACACACACACACACAGGTGAATCGCTATATGCCACCGCATCGCAGATGCTGCGGTGGCATAAAAAATTACATGTATGGAAATAATGCTATGCTTGCTGGTGACCCCTGACCTATTATTGACTAAACTATCTTAACAGTGGGTCTTGAAACGTTAAAATTCTAAGAAACAACATCAAAGTTTGTTTTAAAGATTACTGTTTAGACCCCAGAGTTCAGCTTTGGTGTGCTTAAAAGTTAATACTAAACATGAATAATCGGAGATCAAGTGAACAAAAAACCTGACATAACTTGTCTAAGAATAAATGAGAGAAATATTACAAATAAATAAACCGACCTTGTAGCAATCATTAGCTATCAGTTGTAGTAGACTGAAGGACTCCCCAGATGTCTCCATCTTCAGGTACAACTCCCAAGCTAACCGCGCTTTTCTGTTCATAATATCTACAAACATACAAGATGCAACAATTAAAATAGTTAAACAACAAAGCAAAAACAAGAGCTGTCGGTAGGACAGCAACGCTCGACTATTCTTAGTGCTTGATAGTAAAAAAAATGCTTGATAGAGTTACCTCCTCCTGTTTACAGGTTGGGGTCATGATGGTGAACAAGTGTGCAAAGTTTCAAAGCCATATGTCAATGGACTTTGAAAATATTTGAACTATTACAAAAACTTTAACGTAAATTCTAAGTCGAAAAGGGGCATAATTCTGTCAAAATGCTTGATAGAGTTACCTCCTCCTGTTTACAGGTTGGGGTCATGATGGTGAACAAGTGTGCAAAGTTTCAAAGCCATATGTCAATGGACTTTGAAAATATTTGAACTATTACAAAAACTTTAACGTAAATTCTAAGTCGAAAAAGGGGCATAATTCTGTCAAAATGCTTGATAGAGTTACCTCCACCTGTTTCCAGGTTGGGGTCATGATGGTGAACAAGTGTGCAAAGTTTCAAAGCCATATGTCAATGGACTTTGAAAATATTTGAACTATTACAAAAACTTTAACGTAAATTCTAAGTCGAAAAAGGGCATAATTCTGTCAAAATGCTTGATAGAGTTACCTCCACCTGTTTCCAGGTTAGGGTCATGATGGTGAACAAGTGTGCAAAGTTTCAAAGCCATATGTCAATGGACTTTGAAAATATTTGAACTATTACAAAAACTTTAACGTAAATTCTAAGTCGAAAAAGGGGCATAATTCTGTCAAAATGCTTGATAGAGTTACCTCCTCCTGTCTACAGGTTGGGGTCATGATGGTGAACAAGTGTGCAAAGTTTCAAAGCCATATGTCTATGGACTTTGAAAATATTTGAACTATTACAAAAACTTTAACATAAGTGGTTACGCCGACGCCGACGCTCGGGTGACTGCAATAGCTCTACTTATTCTTATCGAATAGTCGAGCTAATAAGCTGCCATCATTCACCCAAGCAATAAAAAAGGTCCCCTGAGGGAAGGTTTCATTTTTTTAACAAGGGTCTTATTAATTATCAATCTTTTGTAGATGGTCACTAAATGATGCTACATACCTTACAAATTACTTCTAGGAACGAACAGATTTCTCAAAGCTTGTTTTCCATAAATAATGATATCCCTACAGATTGTATACTCATGAAGTAAAGAACTAAGATGATAAAATGACTTGCAATATCTGGCTTATAGATATATAGTCATAAAATATAGACCTAAGATGATAAAAAGTCTTACAGCATCAACATATGTATAGTCATGAAGTATAGAACTAAGATGATAAAATGACTTACAGCATCTGGCTAACCAACTAAGATATGTATAGTCATTCTTGATCTTGTCACTCTGAATCAACAAAAACACCTGCAAAACAAAGACAGGACAAAGATTAAATTTGCAGCTTTAAATTAAGTAAGTTTAAATTGTACAAAATGAAAACTCCTTACAATTATTAGCATGAAAAGAACAAAAGGTTTAAATATTTATTAAAGGGAATCCACTGATCTTTTCCGTATGATGGGACTGGAAATGTATTTCTGAGATTTGTTTACCAAATGATCTAGGTCTGATCCAGTAAAATGTGTGCAAATTTTCAGATCAGCACCTTATCCAATTTCTTCAGAATAATCATTTTTGTGTGTGCAAAAATGAGAAGAGTTGCAATGGTCTGGCTAAGAATTATCGATTTTCAATCTAATTCTGAGTATTTTTGTTTAGTATCCTTCGCAGATTTTTCTATTTTAGGTGCTTCTAATAACCTACGTAAATATTTCAAATTATATGTTTTTAAGGTTTTTTGACCTCAGTTCCTTAAACTAAAACAATTTTTCACTGTGCTAGTCAGGCAGTTTTACTATTTGCTAATGTGAATTTAAATGATATTGTCAGGGATTATTCAAATGTCTAGGGTCAATATTTTTTCCAGGATTTTAATGAAAAAATCGTTTTGATATCATCACAAGTTTAACTTATTTCCGAAATAAATAAATTTGTATCAAAGATTTAACCTGCTTGGAAATGCACATTATATTTGTGTTCAGATTTTGTCATGAAAATTTTAAAACTATACAGTTAAAAGAACAGATATTAAACTTCAAAGAAAATGCAGTCAGGCTGGCTCTTCACTGACATAACAGACTCATCATTATTGACATTATCAATCAACCAGTTAGATAAATGGCAATATTTACCTCTTCAGCCTCCTTAAAGTTACCCACAGCAGCTTTAGCCTGAGCGTAGTTGAAGTTAAATGTATCATCATTATAGAAATAACTCTGAAAATGAATTAAACCGAACTATTGAAATAAATAACCCAAACGTTTAAATAAAAAAAACCCCAAATATTGAAATAAATAACCCAAATATTGAAATAAAAAGTCAAAAGTAATTGATGTCTGGATCACTAAGAGCATTAAAATAACTTGTGTGTTATTGTGTAATTATCACATGTAATAAATTTTAAATAATTCCTATGTTTGTCTAATCAAAAATTCCTGTCTTGTTAAAAACTTAATGGTATATAAATCATGCTAATGTTAAGAAAATATTTCAATTTTCATGCTTTTCAGATTCACCTGTTTTCAAACAATCTATCTTAAAAGTAGAAAGTTATACAACATAAAGTGTTATAAAATACATACTGGGCACATATTTAATGTTGGATCTGATCAAAACTAACTAACTACCAGGTTATGAAGCTAGTTTTCAAGTTAACTGCAGTAGACAATCTAAGATACAACTTTGTACATCCTTAACCTACTGAATTTCTTAAATGGATTTGTCCAGGTTCTATTAAGGGAAATTCCCATTATCAATTTTGGGGATATTAAGATGAGAATTTAATTTTAAGTAAGCCACCAGTATATAGCCTGGTCAGACTGCATGGGTTTGCAAATCGATCTGGCTCTATACTGGTAGAAATAGCCAGTCAATTTTAGTTCCAGCAGGCTTAGGGTGATTGTTCTGAAATTTATAATTTCAATTCTTCACTCACAAAAGCATGTCATGTAGTAAATTTGTAATATTTAACAAATTAGAAAGTGATTTTACCTTAATAGAGTTAAGATAAATGAGGACATCTTCAAACTGTTTGAGTAGGAAGAAGCAGGAGGCCATACACTGTCTCCCAGGAATAGTATCTGAAATATACATCATTATCTTAATCATATATAATCTCTATAACATGTTAACATGGATATACACATATTACTGATATATATATTACATCACTTTAATCATTGTTAAACTTTTTTTACATTTTTATTTTGCAAATGTTTATATTTGTTTGTTTGTTTGTTTGATTTTACGCCTTTTCCCAACAGTATTTCAGTCATATAGGCGGGTAGTTTCCTAACCATCGTTCCTGGAGAGTTACACCAGTACTAGACTACCTTCCTCCGTGCTAAACTACCAAAGCATTTCCCAGGGATTGAACCCACGCCAGAGAGGTAACTGGATTAGAAGTCATCGACTCTAACCTCGACCACAGAGGCGGTTGCAAATGTTTATAAATGTCACTCTAGTCTAATCAGCTCTTTCATTATAAACTCTGACTTAATTATGTATGTAATATCTATAGTTTAATTCTTATATTGGAAAATTTATTTCAAAATATTTAAGTGATACAGGACAAAATGTTAAAGAGGATGCGACACTTCCATAAGCTACTAAAGATATTTTATTTTGATAAAAAAAATTCAGATTTTAGAAGCTATTTCACAATGTAAAAATTCTAATAATCAGGGCTCATCCGGAAGGGCGATTCAGGCGAAAACTTCGCCGTGTATATTCCAATTTCGCTCTTCCGATTGATCAAAGAGAAGTCAACATCGCCGATAAAATCTTAATTCCCAAATAGTAATTACTTAGCGATGTAAAGAGCAGAGATTATATCCGCCCATATGACGACCGCTAATTATCATTATCCAATCAGAACGTCGCTTTATACTACCATGTCCAGAGAGGGTACCGTTTCAGCAGATTTCGCAAAGAGGGTACCGATATGGATATGCACCGTGGATAATTATAAATTGTTTTTTCCCCGATTATCTAAACACGTGCAATCTTGAACCCTAATTGATATACACGATGCACTTCGATGGTGGGTTTTTAACCCGAGTAAAGGCGATGTGCAATGGATTTTTCACGGCTATCACAAAACTAATCAATTTCATTAATGATCAGCGACCACATTAAAAACTTAATCATAGTTTTGAATGATTTCAGTCTGTTAAAATTATTTGAGTTGTTGAGTTGTTAACATCAATTTTTACTGTAAAATTGTTATGTCGCTCACGTCATGGCTACAAGGTGAAATGCCGAAACCGAGCAGTAAGAAATTTAAGTCACTGATTCTGATAGTTACACCTACGCGAAAATTTAAGAAAGCCAATTCGCAAAAATCTAAGATTATCTTGCGATTGGTATGTTGTAGACAGTAGGGGTGTTTGGCATTGTTCTCTTTGTAGAAATGCCAAATTTGACACAGTTTACGCACGTGGGGGCAAGACATCCCGTCTTAACTAGACATATCGGTCGTATATCATGTAACAACATTTGTCTGGAAAGAAGTGTTCTTATTGTTTCAAAATAAATTCGTAAACATGACGCTCAGATTAAGATTTATCAATATTGTAAATTTTAAAAAGCATTATTTATAAAGATATTACCGATTTTAACATTTCATGAAAATAAAGGGAGGTAATTAGAAATTAATTTTCTACAATTTCTCAGTCAAATTTTTCAATAAGAAATGAATGTATGTAATTTTAGTGATCAAATATAATGTGCACAAGTGTTTGCAGTACATATTTTACATATTGTTTGATGTTTGAAAATTGTTTTATAAGCATAATTATATGCATATAAATGTGACATTACAACCTTCTGGACTTTGAGAGAAATTTCTGTTACCAGAACAGGATAGAACAGATATTGTTAATCAATATCCAATGTCACTTCATCTTCTTTTAAAGGTGATGAAAGTAAAGTAAAAAATATGCAATTGATAATATCATCATATCTTTTCTTACACATTATTAACAACAAATGAACATGAAAATATATAAACACATATTTAGAGAAAGCTTATAAATAGCTGATCAATAGATACCAAAAATAATTTTTTATATTCATATATGCAGCTCAAAAACATTTAGATGCCATTGCCTGATCTACTACTAAATAATTAATCTACTTTTAATTAATACTACTATTAATTAATCTACTATTAATTAATAAACTGGAGAAATATTATAAGTGATGTTAATTGTGTTTATATTATAATTAAAGGATGTATAGCCATGCATGTTAATGCATACACATTGGGTTGTTTCCCTTCTCCCTAATTTTCGCGAGGTCGTCACTTCTCCCTAAAATTTCCCCCCAGGATGAGCCCTGATAATATTTATATTCCAGCTAAATGTAATTTCTTTAGTATGACTAATGGAGGTGTGATAGCAAATCAACTAATTTAATGGTAGTAAGAAGTCATATCTGTAAAACTAGTTCCAGATTATGTAGTACCACGTTTACGTGTTTGCTATACCGATTTTAACACATTTTTAGTGTTATTTTGGTGATCGATCGACCTTATTGGCTTTCCAGGATAAGAAACCAAAAACGACCAATTTCTTTGAAAGAGATCAACTATTTAAGAGTGGCAGCAGTGGTTAACACGTCAGACTAATAATCTAAGGATTGCTGAACACGCAGGTTCAAACCCTGTCAGAAACAAGCCTTTGTTTCCTTGAGCAAGAAACTTTACATTCATTGCTTAGTTCTGGTTGGTTCCAGGAAAGGATTAAAGAATTTTCAATAAACTTATAGCTTCCAATACAATCAAACTAAAATGAATTTGTATAAACTAACTAAACTAACTATTTATCACACCTAATCTCTGAATCAGCAGTAAGAAACAAATGGCCATTAGACTCAATATCATAGGTTCATATTTTATTCAAACATCATATTTTCAAGAGGTTTTTATGCTGTGTCACTGTTCAAGCTAAATCAATACAAATGTATATATAAGCCAAGTAACTTGACTTTGATGTATCTTTTGACAAACCTTTTGCAAAAAATAACTTTAAAATCATCTTGTTTATTACAGCTGGGGTATATAAATCTGTTGTCAGGTATTTAAATTGTTATAACAGATTCTAAAACTGACTTTTTTTTAAATAATAATAATACAGGCCATTCCAAAAGCAATGAGGTTGTCAGGGCTTTTCGTTGTTCCTGGTCCTGTTATAACCAGGATTGGACAAATTTAGAAATTTAACACCGTCAGTTTTCATTAAATTCTACTTTGGGTTTCACATACTTCCTTCTTTTTGAAGACTACATTAAGAGAGGTATCTCTTTAAATTTTATTACCCTAGCTTACATGTTTGTGTTTTTATATTATTAATATTACAGCTATCAACCTATCATAGAATTAAAACAAAACATTACAAAAACACAAACTTCCCAATACTGTGTGTGTCTTTAATAATATGTACATACATCTTAAATTATGTTTTCAAAACTTATGCATTATCTTTCTCACAAACAAAAAATAACATTGCAAAAAAAATAGCTGTTTAAACTATCACTATAACCAGTATTTAGTAAAAGGGAAATAGAAGGGAAAAGGCTGGGACACAGTTAAATGTACTTTTGTTATAAGGGGTATCTCGTTAAAATGGATCTCAGTATAAGTGGATGAGACTGTATTTCAATTAGTGATGAAAATCGGATGAAATTTGTCCCAATCGATCATCGGTTCAGTCGGATGGGACATAATCGATAACTTTTCGAATAAAGTCGCGTTAAAAAGATATAGGGAAGTAACTTTAATTTTCTTCCTAAGGCACTTGATTACATTCAGTAACATGAACTTCATTTAGCACTTTTCAACACAGTTTTAAACTTATATAGTCATAATTTTACGAAATAGATTTTATTTTTCAATGGATGTCAAAAAATAACATTCACATCACATTATATTATTTTTGTTTACATCACTTATTGATCCTGTTCAACTGAGAAGATTTTTTTGCGATCGGCGAGGTGTTTACCGTCAGAATTAATTCCCTTTGATAATTTAAACATTTTCGACGATGTCGCGGAACAAATTTTTATGAATCGATTATTGTCGTTTTACATAACAGTTACTGATTATCGGCGACTTGCGACAATCGGAACATCACTAATTTCAATAGATAGCAGGCAGTGCATTTAATCACAAGTTGACAGCCTGATGCAAAATATTTATTTTTTCACTAAAGTCTTGTCCATGGACACATGAGCAGAAAAAAATCTTCAATCTGATCTTTAAATTTTAGACATTTGCCATGCTGCTTTTACTAGAAAACTTCAGCTCCTAAATAATATAATACCTTTACATTTGAATACGACGCAAGTCTTGTGCTTTTAAACAAAACTTATGCTGTTAAATTCTAGATAGTTTTGTGGTCCAAATGTGATTTTTGTCCAATGGACAAGAACTGAGAATAGATAAATATTCATATAACAAGTATAACTTGTTTGAAAAATACTTACTTAGTAAGCGAAATGAAAAATTAATAATGTCCAGAAGTAAGTTAATATGCTAAATTGGCCAAGTTGAACAATACAATTCTATATCCAAGCTTTATATAAAAAAAATTTCAACAACACTTTATGTATTTTGCACAAGCCTTTGAAGTGATTTGCACAAAAAAAGGAATGGAAACAGAAAAGAAGGAGACAAATTGTTCTATTAAGTTAGTATGACACTGACAGATGTAAGATATTTAAAAAGATGTTAGTAATTTCATTTTACTACAACAAAAAACACGATATAATGGCAACATTAGTGTGATTAATTTGTGAAGCCACAGCAAACAGAGGGATAACAAAAAATAAAACCAGATATTGACAAAAAGAAAAAAAACAACAAAGATCAAAACAAATATGGGGAATATCTTGTTGATAAACTCCGAACAAAATATCTGCAGTCATACTGCCTAAAGAATTGGGTATATTACGAACAGAAGGAGTCTTTTAAAGGTGGAAAACAAGGGACAAAAAATATCAGATATTTTCTGGAGAAAAAAAATATACATTTCACCAAAAAAACTAAAATATTCAAACCGACACTGAGATGATTGTTCTACCTACCACTTTCGCTGGCAGACCCACCAACAAGTTGGAAAAATTGTTGAGCAGCCTTTAAGCCTTCTCTCTGAATTGAAAATAAAAAAAAAATTGTTTTGTGTGCGTTTTTTTTTGTGGTGTATACTTTGTCCAGGGTTTATCACCAATCATTCCTTCAATGTAAAAATGCATGCCAGGTCAAAGCATGGTACAGTGCTGAATAAGTTTCTGTCTAATAGTGTTTCCTTGATCACCTTTTTTAATCTTTAACCTTCAGACTTCACGTAATTGATTTGCCAAGCTTATATTTTGGAAAAGTCTATTTGGAGCTTAATATCGAAATATGAAAATTGAGCTTCTATCAGTATATAGACTGGTCAAACTGTAAACAAGCACAGGCCAGTCTGGTTCTATACTGATGGCAAAGGTTATCAGGCTAATGTTTCCAGTTCTAGGATAATACTTAATTGTTGTTGTTGTTTTTTTCTAATTTAAAATAATATCACCTGAAAACCTAAAACCTTCATGTTTGGCTGTTGGGTTAGTTTAATGTTAAAAAATCTTAAGAAGCCTTTGAACTTTTTTAAAGACTTTAAACATTTTCAGTTAAATCAGAACTTTCATTACTTAGTGTTTGGTCGTGTTTCAATTTTCCATTCTTAAACTTATTTTACACTTAGAACAGAAATCAAACAATAACACTGCTAGTTGTATCAAATTATTTCAATCAGAAATTGTCATTCAAATAAAAATCAGCAAAAATTAAGTAAAAATAAATAAACTGTGAACAATAAAACACATATTTTAACAGAAACTTATTCAGGGATATATATATAAATATATGAGCACATGTCTAGAATGTATAACAAGTGGCTACACTGTCTTACATACCACATTCACTGGCTGAACCACCAACCAGCTGGAAGTATTGCTGAGCAATCTTCAAATGTTCTCGCTGTGAAGGAGAAAACAACCATATAAAAGTCAAACTTTTATCCTATCCCTTTGTTTTTCCTTACAATTTATGAACCAGTCATTTGTAACCCTGTCCCCCATCCCCCTGGGATAGTGGTGGGCCGACAAATTAAATCCCATTTAACTCCCTGCCTTTATTCTGGGGCAATCAGATGTTAACCCCCAACCATCCCGATTACACTGTAATACTGGCCAGGTGTCTGTATTCTTTATGGCTTAGTAACTGTAAGTGGATGGCTCATCATTAAGCTAAGAACACATCAATACACTGTCCGTAACCCTCTGTTATTAATGCTAAAAAAACTAAAACATCCCATTTACCAAGCAATGGGGAAAGGAGTGAATTACAAATGACTAGAGCATCAGACTATACATATATATACATATACAATGATAATTTGACAGTTCTTTTGCTAAAATTTCAATTCTTTAATGATAATTAGCCTGTAACCCCGTATAATTGTATCAAAGGTCACCAATACTTAAGATTTAAGATTCAAGCTTAAATGCAGAGGAAAAACGCTATGTGCATATCTTCATGTACAAGTGGGCATTCTGAGTAGATCTACTGCCAATAAGGCTCTTGAATTAATTTAAGAATTCTTGTCAGACTTTAAGTTGACATCATCCTTCATTGCTGCACAGGCCAGCAAATCACCATAAATTGTGTTGGCAGAGATTAAGTCTTTCACTATCATTTAAAAATGTTTCGTTTGCAGCCTCTAAATTCTACAACAATTAAATCAAGCTATGTGTGGCATATTGAACCAACTTCAGGTTATAAAATGCCAAAAATTCATACTTAAAGTAATTATATGAAAAAGAATGAAAACATTATTTCTGCCAAATTATCATTTTTGTAATAAATGTAAATTTAATTCCTTTTCAAATGTGTTTGAAATCATTCAGGAACAGTAGAACAACCACCACTTCCTCTGCAATATAGTTTGTTATATTATTCAAAACATACACAATATTTCTATTCTAAACTACTTGAATTCCTGGTAAACACAACAAATGCATTAATCAGTGTGTATGGTTAGTTCATAATATTTACATTAATCTTTATGCTTCATTAAAAATAAAATGAACATATGATATGAGCCACGCCATGACAAAACCAACATAATGTGTTTGCGACCAGCATGGGTCCAGACCAGATCCATGCTTTTCACTTACAAACCCTATAACAAGTAGAGAAACATATAGCAAACAGCATGGATCCTGATCAGACTGGGCAGATACGCAGACTGGTCTGGATCCATGCTGGACGCAAATGCATCATGTTGGTTTTGTCATGGCGCGGCTCAATTATCTATCCAGCTTATTTGGTAATGAATCAAATATATACATGTACAAATGTATATCATAAATATTAGACCACATGTTTATGCTACTATTAAAAGCTTTTCTAAAAGTATAACCTTTCTTAACTGTTATATCTCTCTTTATTTGTACCATACTGTATGTGTAATTGGTAGTAAATAACTGACTGGTTGTAACTACTGACCATAAACATGTAAGTAGAATACTGGCTGTTTTGCCTTGCCCCAAAAAGCTATATTTTCCCTTAAAACTGGTGCATGTTTGTCACAAGAACCATGACTCAAAAGCAGCTTAGATCTGATTGTTGATAAATCTAATTGAATGAAAGACAAAAAAACTTTCAATATTAACTGCCTCTACTGATTAACTTTCATGTAAAATTGACAATTTAATGAACATTTTGGTCATGTTGCATCCAGAATTTTAGCCATGTTGCATACAGTATATTTAGCTATATACCTGACAAGACGAATATTTTTTTTTGTCATCTCTATGCTGTAAGTCATAGAGTGAGAAAATAGCCAAAATTCATTTCAAAGGCACAGAAATGATTTACAGCAAATTTAAATGCATTTTTTTCCAAAACAAGAAAAAGCAAAAACTAGGTTCTTACAGATCCTTGTTCCTGGCCTAAAGCTGCATTGACTACACCTTTGAGAATGTATTCCTGGGGAGTGGTTGGCTCCAAGTCTTTGATAAGGTTATATGCCTCTGTTACATCATCTATAATACAAAAATATACAGCTAAACAAAAATATCAACAGAAACAAAGCAACAAACTAAAAACAAAAGAATCATGTGTTACATCAATGTGCCCGACTTTGGTTAAGATATTTAAACTAGTTTTGGTAAGTTTTTAAATTTTTGCATACATGTAAATCTGAATATTTAAATTATTTCTACTGATAATGTATAGTGTACATGTACTTGTAATTCAAACAAAGGTTCTCATTTAAATGTGGTGTAAATTTCTATCTTGGGATCTTTGGTTTTTTAAGTCACACGAATACTACAGATGTCATATGGCTGCTTTCTAGCTGTACTAGAGGAGGGAAATATTATATGCCATGTTTCGGGCAAGAGTTTCACTTAAGTAGAACAACTTATTGAGTTTTACTGGTTGAGTGGAACATCAGATACAGAGTTCAGGTAAAGCTGACTAGAATAACAACTGACTATCCATAGGTTAGCTGGATAGCAACCTAACATCAAACAGTTCAACTTCTCACTCTTAGGAATCAAATCCAATGATGAGAGTAAAGGTCAGTGGCCTTATCTCCTCGGGACATGCAAGCCCTTTTTATAACTGCAGTATTAAGATAAATCAGAAACATACAAGTTTGGACAGTCTAACTACCACTACAAATTCTTTAACTTTGTCCCTTTCTCATAATTATCATAACTCTTTCTTATACAATAGTCATATTATAATGTCAAGGCAGTGTAAATAGGGGAGGTAATTGCTGATATTTGGATGGTACTAAATAAATGATAAGTTTTCACACCAGTTACTTACCTTGTTTAAGATAATATATGACAAGATTTAGTCTAGCTTCTGGTATAACATCTATCAAGGGAGGTAAACACTGTAGTGAACCTTCTCCACCTCGGAATACAACCTTGAAATTAACAAAAATACAAATATTGTCTCATTTTCCGTTAAACAAATGCAACCAATTAATGACACAGATTTTGCTTCATCCAAAGCTTTGGACTATTCATATGAAAGATCAGATTTATTTAGATTACAAATTATGAAGAAAAAGGCATTATTTTTCCCCTGCAGACCTGTTTTAATTAGATTTTCAAATACTTTTAGCAATTTCAAATTTTAATTCTATTGTATTTTTTTAATTTCTTTAATTCTTGTAATTCTTTTAGAGTCTGCTTGAGGACTTGAAATATCGAGTGCTTCTCTCACACAAGTAAACATAGTAAAAATAAAAAACAATGAAATAAATTTAATAAAACAGATACCAGATCTAAACACAAGAAAATTAATTAAAAGATTACAAAAGTTACACAACCATATCAACTATCTTCTATTACAGAAAATAAGTCTTCAGGCAGCAATTTCAGTAAACTTAGCAAACCACAGTTCAGTCGTAGGACTTAGGATACACTTAGGACTTTCTATGAAACAAAGCCCAGGTAGCAAGCTATTCCAGTCACACTTTAATAAATTTTTATTAGAAATAAAATAAAATGGAAAAGATCTCAACAGACTACAAATTTACAAAGGGTTAAATTAAATTGCTTGAATTGAATAAAGTTTATGATGTTATAGACATAGATATCTATATGCTACATTCTAACAACACTCGCATTTTTCCCTATTGAACATAGAAGGACCGAAAGTGTGCGTTATTATGCAATAAAATCAATGTTGACATTTTATATTTAGACTTGGGACGTAACCATTTGACGTGACGTAACCATTAACAAGAGCTGTCACAGGAGACAGCCAAGCTCGACTAATAAAATATTGGACGCAGTAAGGAGGACAAAACTATGAAAGAAAAATCAATAATGTATTAATACATGTATGTATTAAGTTATAGTAAAACAATAACATTTGTTAACCTAAATTCCAAGATCAAGGGAAATAATTCTAGAAATAGTCACGCTAGAGTTATAATCCTTGTCACACAACATGTGTGTTATGATAAGAAATATATATTTGAAGTTTGAAATAGATACCTTAAAAAGTAAAGCAGTTATAATATTTCTTAAAGAAAATCCTAAGTTCAAAGAGAGATATATCTGTGAAAATTGCTTCAAGAGTTATGAACATTGTCACATAAAATGTAATTGATGATAAGGAATAAGTATTTGAAGTTTGAAGTAGATACCTTTAAAACTAAAAAAGTTATAGTAAAAAATAACATTTTTCTAGTAAAAAAATCTAAGTTTATGGGGAGATAATTCTTGCAATATTGGTGCTAGAGTTATAAACCTTGTCACATAAGATATGGATGATGATAAGGTACATATGTTTGAAGTATGAAGTTGATCCCTTTAGAAATAAATAAGTTACAGTAAAAAATAATATTTTTTTAAGGAAAATTCTAAATAAGTTACAGTAAAAAATAATATTTTTTTAAGGAAAATTCTAAGTTCAAGGGGAGATAAATCTGAAATTATTTGTGCTAGAGTTACGAACCTTGCCACATAAGATGGGGATAATGATAAGGTACATATATTTGAAGTATGAGGGTGATCCCTTAAGAAATAAAGAAGTAACAGTAAAAAATATTATTTTTTAAGGAAATTTCTAAGTTCAAGGGGAGATAAATCTTAAAAATATTGGTGCTAGAGTTATGAACCTTGTCACATAAAATGGGGATAATGATAAGGTACATTTGAAGTATGAGGGTGATCCCTTAAGAAATAAAGAAGTTACAGTAAAAAATAGTATTTTTTAAGGAAAATTCTAAGTTCAAGGGGAGATAAATCTGAAAATATTGGTGCTAGAGTTATGAACCTTGTCACATAAGATGTGGTTGATGATAAGGAACATATATTTGAAGTTTGAAGTTGATACCTTAAGAAATGACAAAGTTATAGTGAAAAATATTTTACTGCACCAAAACTTTAATCTGAAATCTGGACGCGGACGCCGACGCCGGGGCGAGTAGGACAGCTCTTAATATACTTCGTATAGTCGAGCTAAAAATAAGTATGGAAACAAATCAGGTGCAATTAAGCTCGATATCAGGTACGGCAGCATTTATTTTTTTATGTCATGTTAGAATCGAAATTATATATCCCAATCAGTGGTTTTATTGCTTGATAAAATCACTGTTTATTGTTTGGATGCATATAACCATATCACTTGGCCTATATAATTCCTCACATCCAAACTTCAAACAGTGATTTAATTTAGCGATAAAATCACTGTTTTGGATATCCTATTTTGTAAGTATAACAAGAGTGAACTACACACCAGGTTATGTTTGATGAGGTCTCTAGCAAAGATGAATGACGGGGATGCTGTGTCTTGAAGATTTTTTAATTCTGCCTGAAATAAACAAAAGATAAAGTACATGATACAGTGGAAAATTTATCAAATAATTACACATAATTATACATGCACTAAATGCTTTTACTGTGGTGAAGTTTTTAAATAAATAGGTGGAGAGTGTAGTTAAGACATGGCTTATTTTATTCAATAGCAATTACAAACTCATACGGCTATTTTGTGTCTGAGACTGTAGCACTATAGAAGATTAATACCTGCATGTTCTTTTCAAGTTACATCAAAATTTCTCATGACAAAACTAAAATTTTCCCACTTTGATAGTGGATAAAGTGCAAGGCTTATAAAACCAAATCAAGATCATTGTGTTTCTATCCAGTTTTTCATAAACAGGGGCTTACACAGCTGAGTGTTTAAAGGAACTCCACTGAGGTCCAAAAGCCTAAAATCATAAAATTTCAATTTCTGACGTAGATTAGCTGGAGCATAGAAAGATATGCAAAAGATAATTAAGAAATATTCTCTTAAATAAATTGAAAATCCTATCTATGTGCTATTCTAACAGTGTTCGAAATTAGCAGTAGTCCTATAGCCCCTGACTACTAAATTTCTCATGGGCTACCAACTTTTCACAGTAACAAGCCCGACCAGGCTACTGTATTTTCAGAGGCAATATATAAACAACTGTTTTGAACAAATGAATCGTGCTAGTGAAATGTCTTTTGGGCTAGTGAATATTCCAATCTAGTAGTCCGACCAGCCTAGTGGATTCAAATCTGAATTTCTTACACTGAATTTCTAAGCATGATTTGAGTGTAAAGCGTTTTCAATTTTGGTCATTTTTTACAATTAGAATAAATATTTTGAAAACTTAAGCAGAGTGAGCTAATGATCTGAAATTTAGCACACAAGTTATTGGTCTAGACCAACATCAATGGAACACTAATCTCAAAAAACTATTTTCAGTTCTCTAATGTCAAAAAAACCTCAGTGGTCTCCCTTTAAGATTTCTGTCTAAATAACCTTCCCCCAGGGCTGTTAATTCAAATCCTGTTAAGCACTTTTATCTATTTCATACCAGGAAGCTTTCCAGCAAGTTTGAAGAATATTTGCGATGCTGTATGTCAGGATACTGTTATTGCTAGAAATAAGCTTTATCACCACATAACCTTGACACTGCCAGATTGACTTCAAACTGAACCATCAAACAATCATACAGATAATGTTCAAAAACCGAACCATAACAGTGGCATAAAGTTAACCTTTTAGGAAAGCCAATTCTGTAAAACTAACGTGAATTTAATGTTCTGGAAAAGTAAACTCTGCAATAACATTTTTATTACTACACTAGCTTGCCAAACAAAAAAAGATAAACCATTTACGTAACTTTACTGCAGGAATTTCAGGGGTACCTTAGATGGCCGTAAATATTTCATTTCAGTTATGGGGATATCTTTTAACTATGTCTGGGTTGTTTTCAGAGCTTTCAAAACAAAGAGAAGTAACTGTTTTCTGTATAAACTATCCTCATGTCATGTCTGACTATTCTGTCTTGTTAAAGCTACAGTATGATCCAGTGTGCTTTGTTTTATAAACAATATTTAATAGAGGAAATATCATCACTGACACACTAAATGCAAAATATCTTTAATTAAATATGTCAGACAATTGTTTGTTTTTGGTTTACATTTCAATAGCCCAAAATTAATTTCTCATTGCTAGGAGTGACATACAAATACTGGACACACTATTGCCACCCGGTGTGAACAAGTAGGAGACTTATGGAAGGCTCAAATCACCAGCTTTTTGCTATCAGAAATGTTGTATGTTAACAAAATTCTTACCTCGGCAGCTTTTCCATTATATAATCTGAAGTGGTTGCATGCTTTAAGATTAAGAGCTATAGCACTGTCTGGGTATTGTTGTAAATATACTGCTAATACTTCCTGTAATGTACAAATTCATACTTTATACCTTTAAAACAACATTTTATGTCCAGTTATCAAATATAAATATATATTAGCTTTTAACATAGGGGATATAACAAATCAAATCTACATAAAACTACATTACATTATATCAGTTACCGGTAATCACTTGCTATATGATATTTTATCACGACTTCTTGTTATAAAGTAGTAGCAATTAAAACAGTCCTCTTCATATATGCTACTATAAATAATATTACTACAAATAAGGGCCTACAAAATTTCTGAGTGTGATGAACATTTAATACTTTTTTTTTAGGAATTCAAAAATAGCAAATCCCAAATATCATCTTGTACCTGACACACAATCTGATTTAATGTTTTGAAATTATTTTTTGTCCAATAGGATTGCAGGGTTTCAAATGCATAACAAACTTCCTTGGTAAATCTGTTACCTATAAAACAGTGTTGTAAATGAACTGTTAATAAAAATAATTCCAAACACTGAATTTCATAAGTAAGCATTTACATATGAAGTGTCTAATGGCTGAACACTAACCTATATTTAATGTGAATGTATATTTTTAATGACATACCTGTGACACATCATAGTAGTCTAATTTGTAATAGCACAATGCCACATATACATTTAATGCCAGAAAATCCCTGAAACGATAAATAAAACAATAATATTCTCCTTTGCAAACTTTGCTTTTTTTTTTTAAACTTTATGTGGTACATAGATTATACAAATAAAGTGCAATCTTATTATTTTATAAGACTTTTTTTTTAGATTTATCTTTTGAAATCATTCTTATCCATCATGACAAATATTCATAGATTAATCCTTGAATGTACATATTATCATTATACTACTGGAAATGAATATGTTTATACTAAAGTAATCAAATTTTTAACTTAATGCTGATCTTTTTATTAATGCCCATGACAGGTTTTTAATTGTGTAATCTCATTGGAAATTTACGAAAATCTTAATTTTTAATTCATTCATCCTGCACTGATATCAGGGGAGATAATAAAATTTAGGAGTAAATCCTTTAAAGGGACATGCCAACATGTAAGATAAAAATTGTATAAGGATGTTCAATAAAAACTATTTCTTTTATTTGAGGTGCACATCATGAAAACTCTTTCACAAAAAACAATAACTTAACAATAAATGGTAAACTCAACAGCTTCATACCTCCAGATTTGTTTAACAATGACTTTTTTAATATTTCAAGTTAAATACGATTTGATCTACTATGTACTAATAACAAAATATTTTTTTTTAAGAAATTTAATACATAAATGAGAAGTTTGGCTGAACTTAAGTTATGCAAATGGCAGATTTCTCTTTTTTGAATCAACCTAACTTCATTCAAAATATTTTACTAAATCAATCTGAAGGCATGTCTCTTTAAGGTATAAAAGTGTTCAAAATGATTTTTATATTGTTATTTATGGGAATGAAATATAGTCACTCCATAGTTATAAAGTACAAAAATTAAAAAATCCTGAAATAAGTTTTGTTGAGTTTATACTAAAGCACAATATTTGCAATAATAAACATTTTTTCAAAAATTATTATTTGAGTAGAATAATTATGTGATTACACAATGATTATAAAATATTGTGACTTTTTAAAATGAACTTAAGCGAATAAAAAAGAGACTTGTCCAGAAAAAAAGTGAAATTCACTTTTTCTTCTTTCAAAATTTACTGTATTTATCATGATAAACCTAAATGTAGGTTATATTTATTGCAGTTACATCACCAACTTATACTAGTATTATATGATAACTTGAGTATCTTATTGCTTGAGGGAATTCTCAGTGACTCATAGCTTGTAACATGGGCAGAATTCCATAAAAAATTATTCCTTTTATGCCATTATATAAATTCAAATGTTACAAAAATATCATTCTTCAAAATTTAATGAACACTAATATACCCATTTTTTAACATTTATCAAAACAAAATTTAATTAAAATTTAAAATTAAAGTTTTACAATATGCTAATACTTATTGGCAATGTCACTGACAAAATAAAGAAATAACCAGCACTTGAATATTGTTGGAAATTTTTGAATTAATATATAACTTCTGTGACAATCATTAAACCATAATAGCTTTCACTAATATAATCAATACAAAATATTTTTTCATTTCCAAACTATATTTTTAAACAGCACTGACAACTTGTTTAAATATAAAATTTAAAAATAATTTTAAAGCTTTATTATGATATAGATATTTTAGTTTATATAAGTCACCCTAAGAGTCCACTTTCTGGACTAACCAGTACTGTTATAAATATGCAAAAATGTAGTCACTTTGACCCTTATATTACTTGAACAGACGACCAATTAGATCAAACACAAAACCAAACTAAATAAAAAATTTGTTAGAGCTCATATCAAAATTTTATCAATATATAAAAAAAATATTACCTATTATCCAGTAGAATTCTTTTGTATATATCTATAGCCTCCTGATAATGTGAGCGGAGATAGTGTATTGAGGCGAGCGATAACTGGTCCTCGATGATATCTTGTAGTTGCCCATGGTAACCCATCAGTCGTTTCTCATCATTAAATTTATGTGACAGATGAAACAACAATCTGTTTTGTAGTCTACTGTGTGGGGCTGAAAATAAGAACCAAACATCCACGTTAATTTATATTATATTTAACAGGAGTAAAATATTTGACAGGGTAACTTATTTTTACTACATGTGTATATATGTTTAGATTATGCTAGTAAAATAGTGATGAAAACAAATGAAGCAAAGTTTTAACAAAGGTGTAACATAAAATCTACTTCATGGGTTAATTCTAATGTAACTACATGAAAAACATCTGATGTGGACACAGGCCATGCAATGACTTGCACCTGTTAACCCAATGACCCCTTACAGAAAAATATATAAATGTAACAGATACTAAAATTTAAAATCTACAGCTTGAATAGTATGTACAAATGAAAGTAATACACCACATGAAATTCAAACTTTTGATTTTTATTTGAATTACAATGAATTCAATTCAAAAAGGACATTTTTATTTCTCTGAAGGTACAATTTGGATATTTTAAAGACCATGACTTTTTTTGGTCTTGGTACTAGCTTAACCAGCTTAAATCTACAAAAAAGGTGACTCACAAAGATGTTTTATGATGGAATAAATATTAAACATACTAATAAACACATATTTTCAAAATCATAAATAAATTCTGTTATATCTTGGGTTTTATCTAACAATAGAAGTTATTAGAGTAAAATGAATTATAAAAGATTAGGAGAAAAATACAAGTTACTGTAATATGAGGTGTCATGCAATCATTCAACAAAACAATATTATACAGAAAGATTCATACAAATTTTTGACACATTTCATATAATATTCCAGAGCATAAACATGTACAAAGAAAATGTAAATATAATTATGTAAATATTCCAAAAACTTTATACAAATAAACACTTTTAATTTTTTTCTCTCCCTTTTTACATTAAACAAAGACCACATAAAATGTGATTAACAATAGAGGTGGAATGGCGACTTTCCAGCTTTACTGGTGGAGGAAGACCACATGTGCCACTCTGTGCATCATTTCTGGCAAAAACAGGCACCTCAACAAACAACAACATTCTTTACTTAAGCTAACTGGATAACTTCCACAAATAAGAAATCTAAAGTCCCTGGCCAGATTCTAACCCACAGCAGTGAGGGCCGAGGGGCAAGTGGTTTGAAGTCAACAAACAACCTCAACCACTTGGCCATGAATGCCTCTAACACAACATATAATATTTAATATTCCATACAAAAATCACCAGCTTTACGTTGAATATGTATCATTCTATCATTATAAATTATTAACTGTAAATTAATCTAACATCTATATACCAAAATATCATAACCTCAACCGGTGCACATGCTTTAATATATATATATTTTACATTAAATTAAAACTCATAAAATGCATCATCTGTATTAAATCTTAACCCTTAAGTGTTATCTTGACCTTAAACCTGTCTTAAAACTAACATTATAATTGTAACACTGTATTAAAAGTATATGTACAAATTTACACATACTAAAAATACCTATACACATGTACAAGTGTTATTGGTCAACAATGATTTGCACACAGTTATGCTAGCAGCATCTAGAGGTAGGAACAGTAACTTCTGGAACATTAGGAGGCCTCTTGTCCAAGTTTTATCTAGGTCACTGCTAAATAACTTGGGAGGCTTTAATATATTTCATTCACATGGAGATGTACATTTTGCACACCAGAGAGGGTGGTATAATCCTGCGGCCATTATGTGAGCTGTAGGGATAAACTTATCATAAAGAGTGTGAATGAATCCAAAAGACAAGGGCTCATACTGTAGAATTAAGTGGCCGGCCTGGCATACAATGTAGCCAAACTTTATCTTAACACTTTTTTACAACAAAAAATTATACTGAACAAAGCCAAAATAAATGTTTTGTACACAAATTAACAAAATCAAACTGCTCTTGTGCCTGCTAAATCCTTTCATATGAATATCATAAACAATAAGCAAAACATGACTGCTTGTATGTGAAACAATGGTTAATATTGTCTATATTATCATGAGGATAGCTGGAAATTCAGCTTTTAGTTTTTTTCATATTCAGATTTTGTGACATTTTTTTTAATAATGTGATAGCGTACAAAGTATTGTTTTGTTTTACAAGTGAAAATACACAATGGGGTGTGTGTGATTATTACTAGCCTTTATATTACTTTAATTTGATTTTTTTGTAAAATTCAGTCATAATAAAGGCAGAATCATAGTACACAAACATTGGAAGGACATGTAAAATTTGGACTTGTCCTAACAGTAAAAACCTTAAAAAAATATTAAAAATATTATTCTATAAAGCATAGAAAGTTAAAACATCATTAGAGTCTTGTTAAACAAGAGTTTTAAAAAACAATCAAGTAGGCCTACTTCAACAAAAATCAAACACACCCTTTTCATGCATGGATAGTATTTGTAAATTTTGGTGAGAAAACTACAGAACAAACAAAGACTGGCTACATGAAAAAAAAACACTGGAAATAAGGTTGATAACATAAATAAATTATCTTACAATGATCGTTCTGTAGGTTATCGATTGAAATTCCAGCTAGCTTCAAACCTAAAATGGATATCTGTATGTCAAAATTCAACAGAAATTTTCAAAACAGTGTGCAAACCTTTTCTTAAACAAAAACCCCCCCCCCCCCACCTTAAAACAAACAAAAACAACAACAACCCCCCCCCCCAAAAAAAAACAACAAAAAAAACAATCTGTCTTGAATTTTTGGAATATTACCCTTTTACCCCATGAGCATATTGTGAAAAATGGTTGTTTTCATTGAGCAAGTTCCACCTGCTATAAAACTATGAAAAATGCTTCAATACTGATGAAACTATGCACATATGTTGACTGAACCATAAGCTTTGTAACAACATGCTCAATCTTAAATTTCCTATTACCATGGCAATGGGGGGATGTCTCAAAATTGCAAAAAAAACACTAGTTTGCATGGGGTTTTTCCCGATCAAAACTGATTTCAAAGTGCTGCAACTTCTCAAGGCAATGAGATAGAGTAAAAGGCTTTTCAGGTTACACATCACCCTATTAAGGGAAAAGGTTAACTGTAGCGCAACAACAGGATTTTTATCCTTGTAAAAAAACATTAGTTATTGCTCATGCAATACTTTTGAAAATTAAAATTTTCCTCCTTGAAAATATTGAACCCCCACCCCCCTCTCTAATCAATCTCTTACATGGAATCTTTTATTTTTCAACACCAAGTAGAAAATAGGACTGGTTAAATGCAAGCTCCTAATTAAGGGTTTTCAAAGTGAAAATAAAAGGGTTTGAATTTTTGAACTGCTCAATAAAAATTAAGTGGAAAAATAACTCAACATAGAAAAAAAATGACAACAAAACATTTCCAATTATGGTTTAAAAAAAAGGATGTAAGCAGTTTAAAACAACTTTTTTTTTTGGCATGATGATAAATTTTATTGGTTTACAGTTTCAATATAAGTAAACCTAGATCATACTAACTGTGCACACTGTTTTGAAGGTTCTTAAAAACATACCATACACTACTGATAGACATCACACAAACATGCAACAATATACGCATGTCAGATGACATATGTTTTAATAACAAAATGCATGATAGCATAAAATGAGTCAGAATATACAGGATAATATAAGATCAACATACATGTAGCATAGAGAACAACTACAACTAAAGACTGAGTCAGTCATCTGTTTATATCAAATCAAATAAATACATGTATCTAGTATCTAACCTATTAAACATACAAAAAGATATTGCAGGTAACTGGGGTAGGCTATTTAGAAAAATAAACATTGAGGTAAATGAAGTTTACCTATATGAAAAGTAAGGCTCTATATTCAAATGAACTTAACTATTATGCATAACTAGATAGTGTGTAATCTTTTAGTTTTATAGAATTGTGTGGACAATGTTAATGGCTTTAAAAATAATTCAGAAATCTGTGAAACAAGAAATAATTCTTGCCTAGATATTAACAAGCCAGCTGATCAGTTGTATTTATACAATACAGCAATCCTTCCAATTATAATGATGATCCATCAGCTCATGGTCAATTAATAAAACTGTTTCCTAGATAAAATAGGACACAGTCTGGGGATAAATATAAAGCAGTAACTCTTATAATTTATTTACCACAAATAATTTCATACAAACTCTATAGGTAGTTTTCCTTTCTATGCTTTTAATCATTAATGGGTGCCAAGAATGAAATGCATGTTTTATAACCTTGTGTAATTCTGTATCTTTTAGCTATATGAGCAGTGTCATGACAAAACAAACGTAATGGGTTTGCGACCAGCATGGATCCAGACCAGCCTGCGCATCCGCACAGTCTGATCAGGATCCATGATGTTCGCTATCAGTTTCTCTACTTGTAATAGAGTTGGTAAGTGAACAGCATGGATCCTGATCTGTGCTGGTTTTGTCGTGATGCGGCTCAATTATAATCTACATTGAGGAGTTGTGTAAACACTATGGCTACTTACTCTTTAATTTACCAAGTTATTAGTATGCTGAATCAACACTATATAACACAAAGTATTTTCTATCCCACAATAACGGTAACCTACATCGGCACTTAATCTGCAAATGCTGTCTAAAAATATTAACTTCAATCTAAAAGAAAAACTTGAGTACTGTTGAAGTCCAGGGATTACTAATTTCTGTAGTATCTTGTACACTAACAAGGATATAATTTAAAAATATGCCATTATTACATGTAAAACACACCTTTTTGAGCAGCTTCATCAGCTTCTGGATACATGCCAAGGAAAAAGTAGGTACAACCTAGATTAACAAACACATCTGGATGGCAATTCCCTTTACTAACAATTCTGTTGTATTCCTGTAAATATTTGAAATTTAAACTTTGAAAATTGCATGGAACTTCAATTGCATGGTAATAATCTCAAAAACATTATCTATATTACATAATTTTCATAAAGAACAGAAAAACATTTAATTAAGCAAATGTTTAAAGAGCCGAGAGAAAAAATATTTGATAAAAGTCAATTAACATATTTGATTTATTTTACATTTTCCCTTATATAACGAATCTTAAATGAAAATCAATATGACAATTTAAGAATAACACTTTAGAATTTCAAAATTAATACATGTATAACATAGAGAAAATATTAGGAGTATTCCAAGCTTCTATAATATTAAAATCAAAGTATATTCTTTACATTTTTTTCTTAAAAATACTAAAGTTCTATATATAGTACAACCTCCATTGCCCTTTTATAGTCGGCTAAATGAAAAGCACAATATGCGATCCATAAGTCTGTGTCCTGGTCTCCTTTCCCACTGTTTCTGTTAAACTACAATCAAGGAAACATTAATTTAACTACAATATGAAAATACTTCTGTTTTATAATGCCTGTTGAAAATATAGTTAAGTGAAGCAACTGAAAACATTGTTGTTGACTGGATCATTCATTGTCATATGGTTTATTTATCTTAAAAGTTGACTTGTCTCTTGTATCTTTAAAAGGCACAATACCAATTCATATAAGTAACCCTTAGCCTGCTGTGCCTCCTGATCTTGGTCTGCAGTGTTTGTTATTCAGTCAGTGCATATTCAGAAACGTTCCTTAAAAATAATTGGTGATTTTCTCTATACTGACAGATGGACAAGTCCATTTAAGATACTTAGTATGGTAAGGACTAAGAATCAATAATAATGATGAAATATGTATTTGTGAGCATAACTCTTTTTCTTTAAATGAAACAATCAACATGGAATTAGTTTTAATATCTTTACTGAATGAAATGGAAAAATCCAATATTTCCACTCTTAATATGAGTTTTTTCAGGGTTTAAAAATACAATGTATTATTTTTACCTCTAATAAAGTGATTGCTCCAGTGTAATCCCTGTTTTCCAAGAATTCTTCAACTTTTGGAAGTTTCTTTTTCTTTTTGTTTTCCTTCGCTGGTGTTGTAGAGCCAGGCCCAATGGCAGGCTTTTGGCGTGAGAGCATCTGGTGTAGAAAAGAAATGAATAAGTGGTATACTGTGTCAGAAAAGTGTCATCAGGGACTTTTCCAGCCTCAACTAGGGAAAATCATGTAACATTAAACTAAATTTTATAAAGTTGAAAAAGCACCTTGTACCAGATGTTTTTTTTTCAAGTTTTATTCATTTTACTCATGTGTATGATGATTTATCCTGTCACTTTAAAGACTTGGTGCAACATGGTTATAACTTCTTTACTTCATACAAGTTACAACCATTTTAAACCATTTACCCAATCACACTTCTTCATTAATTTATTTAAAAGTATCAATATAACAAAAGAAATATAAACAAGACCAGTCCTCGGCCGGAGCTCACAACTTTTCGCAGGTGTTGGAGAGTAAAATAAGAGCACACAGAAAAGGCAGCATAATTCTCATTCTGCATAGTCTAGATGCTTATTTGATAATTCTAAAAATTATTAGAATATATCCTCCCGTGGCCATGATTCATTACCCTAAGCATTTTACAGTGTTAGTTTGATACACTATATTTCCTTATGATCCAAGCATTCTATGACAGGGCTCCAGATAATTTTTAAGGGCATTGAGTATTTACTCATTGATTTTTTTGTGAATGAGTAAAATTTGAAATCTGAAATTTGGCAGGAGTATTTTTACTCCTAAAATGTTTGTAAAAGAGTAAAACATTTATTATGCTTCCATGTTTATTGTATTATTATACTTGTAATACAAGATATGTAAAAGTCATTTCTTTTGCTTTTTGGTTTTTAATCTTGCATTTCCAAACAGCATAAGTTTTATCTGAACCTGAGGCATGTTTATGTTGCTCATACATGGCAGCGCTAATTATTTCATTAATTATAACCTTCACAATTACTTTCCGGTCGATTTTTTTTCGGCTTAAATACGAGTCAATCATTTTAACTATTGACAGCGACATTGTACCGGATGTTTATGAAATTGTGTTAATTCCACCACCTTACTATACATACGATAATAACCGATGATAGTCGGAACTACAGGAAGTTACCGTTAGACGTTGCAAAGCATTCATACGAAGTTAATTCCACCACCATACTATACATACGATAACAACCGATGATGGTCGGAACTACAGGAAGTTACCGGTAGACGCTTGCAAAGCGATCAGATGAAATAATCACGGAGTTTACTTTTGGTAACGTTTACGCAAAAGAAATGTTGCTCAATTCGTAACCTTAATTTTGTGTGCGTTTTCATACGCTTAAATTTTGTTTTGAATGCGTAAACGTGTTATTTCCATGCGTAATTTACGCGTATTTGCATCTTATCTGGAGCCCTGCTATGATAAAGAAATTTTGCAGATACATTAAATTTACTTTGATGTATAAAAATATATAACTGTTTTCTTTATAAACTGACATTTGTTGACTTTCTGACATACACAGTAAGGGTGTTGACTCTAGGACAGGGACGAATTTAGGACACACGACAATATATTTTTTGACTTATCTCAATCAAAAAGTCATTAAAAGACAGCTCTCATTTATATAATGCAATTAGTGACTGTATTTGGAAAAAAAACTTTAGCCCCTCCAAAAAAATACCTCCATGTCTCTTTGAGGAATGACAGACTATTCTCTCTTTAACAGTTCTCCCCCAAACCGTTTCCTACCCTTACTGTTCTCCCCTCAATCTTGAAATATGCAGATGATATATTTGAAACATGCAGACGGTTCTAACCCAAAATAGGGAGAGAACTGTCGGGGTGTAAATGTCAGGCAAGGAACTGGTAAGAGAGAGAATAGTTGGACTACCCTCTTTGAATTTGAGTCTGAAACTCTGACAATTCTAATTAGTTGCAACTACATTTTATCACAGTAAACGGTGTTCAGACATTTACGCAATGGTACGTACTTTACTGTCACCTGGTGTTTTATGAATAGTTTATCAAATATGTTGAAAAAATTTTATAGTTGTCATAATTGCCTTGGAAACGATTTTACCCCACCCACAAGTAAACATTAGCATTAATCGAATAAATAGAAATTGTACATTTATTTTGACAATGGGAATAGACAGAAACGGTGCCATTAAGGCATCAATGTCAAATAAACCATTTACCATCTTGATGCCTTTATTTGATGTGTACTTCCCTCAGAGAACGAGATTTTGTTTATCAGTTCGCTCTTTCTCAAACTAATCGGATGGAATTCGTGAAATGCGCATGCGCGTATATATCACCGCTTGATTAAAATTAAAGGATAATGAACAATGTTCCTTTAATTTTACAAGCTTTGAAAAGTTTCAAGTATCATGTGTGTTATTTTTTATTTTAAAAAATAAATTGATATTTAAATGAAATCTTCACGCATGCAAGTTTATTTGGATCTAAAAAATATCCAAGTGTGATATTGACAAATTAATGCTAGCTTTACTTTTTAAATCGAACCTGCATGGCTGTGACTCTAGAGACGAGAGGGGAGTAATCCCTTAATACTCGTCTTATTGCACGTCTCTGGATCATCTCAACTTGGTCAATATTGGTTTTAGTGTACGGAGACCAAATTGTTGAAGCATATTCAACCTGTGGCCGGACCAGGGACTTGTATGGTAGTTCTTTCACTTTCTCATTTTTAGTAATTACATTCCTTTTGATAAAGCCAAGGGATGTGTTTGCATCGGAAGTTATTCGAGATATATGTATATTAAATTCAAGGTCAGCAAAAAGATCTAGTCCGAGATATTAAGCATTTGAGACCGACTCTGAGACTTGGCCATGGAGCATATATTTGTGTTTAATAAGGGTTCTATTTTTGGTGATATGGATGACTTGGCATGTTGAAGGGTTAAACTCCATGTCCCACTGCTTCTTCCACAGAACCATATTGTCTAGATCATGTTGGATTGTTGGGGGGGGGGGGGGGGGGGGGGGGGGGCAGGGGGTTAGGTATAAAGCGGTGTCGTCTGCAAGAAATCTGACTTTGGATTTAAGGACAGAAGATGGTAGCTTGTTGATATATAGAAGGAAGCAGAGGGACCCTAGGACTGAGCCTTGGGGCATTCCAGAGGTAAGTGGAACTTCAGATAAGCAGTCACTATCCACATCTTCTGTCTGTCTACGGCCAATAAGGAAGGACTGTATCCAGTTTAGAATTTGAGGACAGACACAATGTTCTTGAAGGGTATCTAAGAGTTTAAGATGGTTTACTTTATGATTGATTTGGAGAAGTCAAGCAATATGGAATCTGTTTGTTTGACATTTGAAAGGTTGTTCACAATGACATGGAGGAAGACAGTTTAGAATGAATTAAAAGACTTGAAAATGACATGGGGTGAGGCGGAGAAAAAGGCAAAGAATCGGACTGAATAGAGAAACCTTGTGTTGACCTTACGCTCCGCTCAGAGCGAAGAGGATAGGTAGGTAGGTTATTTAACATGCATCAAATACCAATTTTTGTTGAGTTGCATGAGTTAATTTACTCCTTGATACAAAAACATATGCAATTCACATATAGAATGTCAGATAGGTTTGAAAATCTTAACACATCTTTTTGAGACTTACGTAGCAAGAGACTCCATGTCATATTGTCATATATAATTTTGAGAGAGAGCACATTTTTAAGTTATTAAGTTATTTTAATAGACTTTAAAAAGAAAAGACATCATGCATAAAACTCTTTATTCGTGACTTGGCGCATTGACGGACTGAGCTATTAGTACTGGACAATGTTAATGGTAATTTGCATTGAAAATATCAATATAAAGGGAGTAATAAAAAAGAAAACAATAAGCCCCCTTAGACACTTACTATTCAGAGACTCAATTCGTCGTAAATGGTTTTTAATTGCTTTGAATTACATATAGTTCTCTTACATGAATCCCCAAAAATGCAGTTGCATGTAAAGAGAAAGAATAAATTTTGCACCGATTCAATCCCTCCAGAATATATTGATTTAAAGTGAGCATGACCATTACCATTTGAAATTGGTACTCTCTACTTATAGTGCATTAAATATATACAATATACATTAAACATGCATAATGATACAATAACAACTCAAACTTAAGTATGACATAAACGTATAGGCCCTGCGTTCTATTTTTTGTTTGTTTCAGAACGGTTGTTACATTAATGAAAAACACATCTAGACTAATTTGAAGATAAGAATGTTTCTGTACTGTCTGAGGGCTGTCAGAACAGGAAAAAATGTGTTAGCCTATGAACAGGAACGACAAATATACACAAAATTCACTGAGATATCGATCTATTAGTAGTATTATAATATTTACCGGTAGCCTTTTTTACACTTGCTAACTTATCAAAATGTATGTAATTATTACGAACTCATATCGTTTCTTCGGATTAAAATGAAAAGAATAAAGAAATCAAATTTAAGAAGAAAAAAAAAAAGAATTGGTTCTGATAATTGTGCGTGTACATTTTTTTCTCTCGTGACATTCAATATTGATATAAATGGGGCTCTGATCTGTGAACACAATTTAATGGCGATCACGATCGTGTGCAGACTGCAATTTAACTTTATTTCAATCGTTGTTTTATATCACACTTGAGTGCATTATGATCGGCTAGGTTTTTGTTCCCGCGCGTTGGAGTAATGATATTTATTGAACTAAAAACCCCATTATTGTTTTACATTCATTTAAATAATGATCTTCATCAATAAAGCATTTGAATTCAGATACGATTAATATTTCCTATCCTTGGATATTTATTTTCCTACCGATTTTAAAAATAAGAGAAAAAAGAGTAATTGTTATTTCATTCGTTTGGAGACTATTTTAACATAGAATAATGTTTCGTGCTATCATTGAACACAATACTGTGTTAGTTTGGACACTATATACTATTGTAGTATGGCCATTTTACTATTTTAGTTAATGTTATTGGTAGTAATATTCATCTTATTATAAATTGTGGCTAAATGCTTAATTCCGGTTGTCCATTATCTTAATGGGCAAGCAACCATTGTAAATAATTACATTGACATTTTTACTAATACCTTTTTTCCTCTTCACAGACTTGTTCCACTTGCATGTACAAGTCAATCTAGCTGAGAAACGGTATTTTAAATGTAACATAAAGGATTCGTTACACTTGGCTGATACATTTTATTTATTATGGTAAAAGATACAGGTATATAATTTTAAATGGAATACACAAATATGTATGTAATACTTGACTTGAAATTGTAGAACGTTTTTAAACATGCATGAAAATGTGTGTATCTTTTTAAAAATGGAAACTTGAATAGAACCCAAAGACATATTGCAGAGCAAGCATGATATTCACTGCATAAATTGTAACGTCTTATTAATTGCATGTAATTGCAGGAATTCCTAAGTGATACGTTTACTTGATATCATTGTATTATTAACTTAAAACTATGCGCGAGACGTTTGGGGACATTATGCTAGTCCGAGTATACGAAGTTTTCGTAAACGATAACTTTGTGGACAATAACTTGTTATAATGGTTTACTTGGTTGTTTCATACTATAATTAATGTACATTATTACTCGTATTTATCAAATACTGGTTAAACTGCATAATTAAGCGTTACGAACTATACTTATAAGATTTATACCATGTCAAAGATTGATGTTCATAAGAATTTAAACTACAGTTTAACAACTGACATATAAATTTGACACTATCATAGAACATGATGCATATTGTATTTAAAGGGACTCCACTGAGGATTAAAAGCCTAAAAACATAACATTTGAATTTCTTACATAAATGAGCTAGGGCACTTTAAACAGAATTATATGCAAAGATAGTTAAGAAATATACTTTGAAATAAATTGAAAATCGTATTTTTAGGCTTTTCTTAGCCCGATTTGAGTGAAAAGCGTTTAAACGCTTTTCATTTTAGGGCATTTTTTACAATTTGAAAAACTATTCTGGAAAAACGGAGTGTGCAAAATGATCTGAAATTTTGCACAAAGATTACTGGTCTAAACCTACATCAAATGGTACATTTATCCGGAAAAAATATGTTCAGTCCCATCATGTCAAAAAACCCCAATGGAGTCCATTTAATGTGGGATAATCAATTTACGACGTACGTTTGATATTGTATTACTAAATATCGTTCATTTCATCTGGTATAGAGGTCATATTCAAAACCGATGCTAGTAATTAACGAATAAACTAATACTAATACTGATAATAATTGATGCTAATGGCCTTGTGCATGTTTCAGGATGCAATGATACTTTATTATCAAGTTTCTTTGGTATCTCATGAACAATTTTAACTTTTATTAACATTTGCCCGACTTAAACCTGCACAAATGATACTGTCCCAAATCCCAAGCTTGTAATCTTAGTTATTTGATATATTATTGTAAGGAAACTAACCATTATAAATTTTTAATGTTTATTTAATATTCCAAAGAGCATAATGATACAAATATATACTTCTATATCCTGAGAATTTTAATTTATATACTTGTTTCTAATAAGTACATGTGTGATTGTGGTGTAACATAGTTTAAAAACAGCTATTAAAATGAACCTTCCCCGTTCTATTAATGTTTGTCCTTATTGTAACGTTATCATTGAATTAAATGCTAATTCTTTACATCACATTTGCTAATTGTTACATTCGGACAATTTTGCTTATTGTTATATTCAGAGAATTATTAAATTATCATTACGATTTTATTAGGGGTTTTAACTTTTATTTACATTATATGACTCAGAATTAGCTAGTATTATGTAATTCAAGAATTGAACAAAAAGCTGGAGTCAACCTTTCATTTTTGATGTTTTTTATTACAATGTTTTGGCAAATTTAGCAATAACAGTCATTATTTTACTTTGATGTAACACCAAGGACACTAGTAATTGAAAAAGTATATGCGTAATAATCATAAATATATGTTCCACAGGAATATTTTTATCTTTAAAACATATTATCTTCTTTTCTATCTACAAGTGTATTTTCTGTAGTTAATTTCAGTTATAGTGTCAAAATTATAAACTTTTCCCCCGTTTATCAGCAATGTGATAGTTTCTGATCTGTTACTCCAAACACTTGTATTGCCACAAAGTTTTAAAAGACCCGTATGTTGTGATCACAGTGGTAAACCACACTTAAGTGAAATTATATATATGTACATAATCATGCAAATAAAACAATTTTTAAACATCGAAGAATATGTAAAATATGTACTGCAAATATTTGTGCATATTATATGTAATCATTAAAGTATA